ACTCAACAAGCTGACCTTGCCGCGCACCGGCACCGAGCTCAGCCCCCAGCCGGGGTGGTTCGCCGACCAACCCCCGGCTGCGTGCACGTCGCAGAGAAGCGACAGTTGTTCTGCGAACGCGCCGGCTGTCAGTAGAGACGTGAGCCAGGGCCAAAAGGAATCGCTACGACTAGCTTTCGGGCCATGAGACAGGCCAGGTTTGGCCCTGTGCTGGAAGCTCCACGCGGCTCCCACCTCGTCTGAGACACAGTAGTTGCACAGTTGCGTGCTGCTTCCACACGCGCCTGCCTATAGTCCAGGAACCCCGAGGCTCAACTTGACAAGTGCCAGGCCCGGCCGAATTCCCGGCGCTGCTCGACGGTTCTCCATCGTGAACGATCCTCCAGGCATCGGCAAAGCATGGTGTTGCGTCATGTCGTGGGGCACATGGTCGTAGCGGCGCTTGGTCTCCCACGAGCGCCATCGTGTCCACCGGACCTGGATCATGTCTTGGGCGTCGGTGTCTCGTGTGTCTGTTTCGCGTGTGAGTCCTGCAGGTCTCTACGGAGTAAACCCTAGATCAAGTTACCCTACACCCAAACCCCAGCTACGAACCCAAACTTTCTCCGCTTCAATCAACGCAATCAGCATAAGCTCCCTTGTGCCTCCAGTACAGCGCCGTTCACTCAGTAGTGTAGGCGACAGTGAATCTCGGAAACCAGCCTCCCCGTCGCCGGCGATGTTGGTCCGTCGCAACAGCGGGGTCGGGGCACGCTACTCCGCGACATCAACGAGACATCGTGTCACGAGGTCGAAACTGAATTCCTTCGGACACTCAGCTCGGCATCCGTTGTTTCTCAGCCCCACGACTGCTAGCCGAGGCAACACTTCAACCTGCTCGTCGGTCAATGTGCCCGGTCCCGGAGAACGTCGATCTTTCGACTGTCTGAGCACCGACGTTTGTTCTACCCGTGGCGCGGATGTCGTACTGGACTTTTCGACAAAGACAACGAGGTATCAGCTTCTGCATACATTCTTTCCTCCCGTATTAGTGCATAATGTACCCCGTACCTGAGTTCGCAATGGAACTGCCGTCAAATAGAGTCAGCCTCGGCGCGGTCTCTCTGCAATCGACAACCCATTGACTGCATGATCAAAGCCTAGATTGGAATACGGGGCCGACCCGCTGGACAGGCGGTCACGGACTTGACATGTCCTGCATGCTTATCGGATAACTGGCCGTATGCATGCGACGTCAAGCTCCTGATCATTAGCATGATTCTGTAGTATGTAAAGAAGGTTCTCGCCGAGGATTATGAGCTGTTGCCCCTTAGAGCCTGCGAAGATGAGCTGACAATCATCAAGATGAAACACCACATTCATGTAGTAAATCGCCCGGCGAGAATCATGACGACATGAAGCAGTCACTTTCTCAATGGGGCCCTTGAGCTTTCTAAATGACCCGTTGAACTTTGCGACGAATATTGGTAAGGTGCCGAATGCGTTGTCATGTCGCCTTGTGAGGTTTAGCAAACGCATCAGAGACAGGAAGTACTAGCCTCCTCAATCGGCTTGGAGGGGGGAAAAGCCAGCCGTGTAGAGTCGCGTGCTTATTGTCCCGACAGGCGGGCAATGTGTCCTGGCATGTATGCTGAGCACCTTGGTGGAGAGCATTGGAAGAGCGATGACAGGCCTATAGGGTGGGAGACTCATGGTTTCTGCTAGAGCGTCATGCTCGATGTGAGACAAAGCCATAGCACAGTACTATCTGATGTATAGGATAGCCAAGTAAGAGTTTTACTTCAGTAGATATCTACTGATGAGGTCTTGATGAGGTCGACTCGGACTGGCGAGCCGTCATCTGGCGGCGCTGTAGGCAAATGGCATCTTCATCATCAGATCCGAACAGACAGAGTGCCTTCACCGGCTTGTGTTACCCCTGCTCGAGAAATCGTCAAAGAAGACCATAGGATCCTCTCCTCACGGCTGGAAAGCATCCGCGTCGTGAGGGGAATAACTGCACGAGTCACAGGGTCTGAAAATGAAGACGAGAGTGGCACAGGGTTGGTTTCCTGGGACAAGATTCCGTGGTCCGGGCTGACTGGCACATTTTGAGCAAACAGTTGGACCACATCGTGTCCAAAAAAACCACTGTGTCGTCATCTTTGAAGAGGCGCACGGTGAGATTGAGTCGTTTCCTGTCGACGCCGCGCGGTCCGTGCCGCGGATGTGGCACTGCGCAGCCCTCGCGGCGATGCACACGAGGATGGCAGCTAAAGCGGGGGCCGCAGACAACACAATCCTCATGAGAAGTCATGTGAACCGCATGTTTACCCTCCATCTCCATGTCCATGGCCACGAGCTGCGGACGCTTTCGCCATTTCCATTGTTGCGCCCCCTCTGCGAGCCCAACTGTGGGTTTGCGTGTCGTTGGGAGCTGCGGCGCGGTCGGAAATCGGAATTGGAAGAAAATATCCGACGATATTCCGGCTTCAACCACATTGGGCGCATGATGGCGCCTGCCTCGCCATTGTTCCTGCTGTAGAATCCACAAAGGTCTACTCTCGCCGGCTCAGCGTCCGCCGACAATGTCTCAATAGACAATAGCAAGCGAGGCGGGGTGAACACTTGGTCCTAGGGTCTTTTTAATGGCATGCGCGAGCTGTTTGGCTGCCGCTACGTTATGAGAACCCGGGCAAGACCAAACCGCGCCAGACCCCGAGTCGTCTTCTTGCATCATCAACAGCCTCCTCGCACTTCTCGTCAGCTCGACAGTCGCAGCGCAAACGCCAAGAGCAGCAACAGAAGCCAAAGGATGGCGGCCGCGGCGGCAGAACCGGCTATGGGCGCCGCGCACCAGGAGGGTGTGAGCATCCCGCCCTTCTTCACCACTAATCCTCCGATACGCGACGCGCTCCAGACGGAGAGCTCGTTGCTGCAGGACGAGACCATCGAGGAATGCCTGCCTTTTCTGGCGGCGCAAGGGGAGGGGCATGAGAAGCACAACGCCCATGGCGTCCCGCACCTGTACCGCGACCGCCACGTCAAGTTTTTGCACAAGCAGCTCGGCCTCTTGCCGGCCATGTTCAAGGCTGCCGACCCCAGCCGGCCGTGGATATTCTACTGGTGCCTCGCGGGCATGTCGCTTCTCGGTGAGGATGTGGCCCCCTATCGCGCGAGACTCATGGAGACAGTCCGCCCCATGCAGAACGAGACGGGCGGGTTCGCGGGCGGGTTCGGCCAGACGTCGCATCTCGCCACCACATACGCGACGGTCCTGGCTCTGGCCTTGGTCGGGGGGGATGATGCCTACGACGTCATTGACAGGCGGGGCATGTGGAAGTGGTTGTGCTCGTTGAAGCAGCCCGACGGCGGTTTCCAGATGGCCGTGGGTGGCGAGGAGGATGTGAGGTATGCCGAGCTCCCCGTCGCAGACGCCAAAATGCTGTACCACCGGCCGGGCCACTGACACACTTTGCAGAGGGGCCTACTGTGCAGCCGTCCTCATCTCGCTGCTCAACATCCCCCTCGAGCTGTCACCCGACTCTCCTGCCCGTGCGTCCGGCCATACGGACCTCTTCAGCGGCCTCGGGGAATGGGTTCGGCGATGTGAGTGTCGCCGCCGTCTTTTCGTCGATGCATCCTCTCCTGACTCTTGATTTGCCTAGGCCAGACGTACGAGGGAGGCGTGTCGGCTAAGCCGGGCGTCGAGGCCCATGGTGCATACGCCTTTTGCGCGTTGGGATGCCTCTCCATCCTCGATTCCCCCCACAGAAGCATTCCGAAGTAAGTTGGTCGCTCAAGTCGTCATGTATTCCCACACCCCCCTCCAGTGCTACGGCGCGGACGACGACCCTCCCTCGTGCTGACCGTTGGCGAAACCCCGCAGGTATCTTGATGTCCCTCGACTCCTGTCCTGGCTGTCTGCTCGCCAGTACGCACCAGAGGGCGGCTTCTCCGGCCGCACCAACAAGCTGGTCGACGGGTGCTATAGCCACTGGGTTGGCGGGTGCTGGCCCCTGATCGAGGCGGCCTTGTACGGGCCCGCGGCCCCGGCTGCAGACTGCACACCAATGCAGGCCGACGACAGCCTGTTCAGCAGGAATGCTTTGATACGGTACATCCTCTGCTGCGGCCAGGACCTGTCGAAACGCGGGGGGCTGAGAGACAAGCCCAGCAAGTGAGTAGCCCCGTCCCCCGTGCTGACGTGCCCGTGTATGTCCGTCCGCGTTAACCCGTCGCTCAAGGTACTCGGACGCGTACCACACTTGCTACGTGCTCTCGGGACTGAGTTCTGCGCAGCACAAGTGGACTTTTGTCTCTGCCCGTGCGGATGCGGCCGTCTTGGATGGCGATGTCTGGAGTGTGTCGCCACACGTCAAGGGCGAGCAGATATTCGACGAGGAGGATCGAGTCTGTACGACACATCCCGTTTTTGTCATTCCCCAGCACAAGGCAGAATCCTGTCAGAAGTACTTTGCCTCCAAGCAAGGCTTCTAGAGATTCAGCGCCAATGTCATGCCGGATCCAACGGCGTGCTGCAGCAGCATCCGCCTTCTTTAATCTGCATCGAACTCGCCTTTGGCGCATGCACGCTCAAGTCGCAGTCGCACAGACATCCTGCGACTCCCGCATCACGTGCGTCAGAAAAAAGAATTATTCTCTTTTGCCTGCTTTCACGGGGAGGTGGATGCAGCCGATACGGTCGATGGTCGACGGCGCTTCCAAGCGGCGGATGTCGGGCGCACGGTCGAAGCGGGCCAAGCTGAAGCATCACCGCCACCGCCGACTTAGTTGCATGAAGGACAACTCATCAGTCCCGTTACTGGGTGGTCTTTGCGAAGGTCGATGGGCCTTGGGCCAAGCGCTCAGGCCTGCTCCGGTGCCGCCAACGTGGGCCAGGCCGGCTGCCCCAGTTTAAGTATACAGCAATAGGACATGTCGCCTGGGGCCTTGGGAACGTTGAAGATGATGCTACGGGGGTAATGCACGCATGCGTACTTTGGACATGGATCGTGTGAATGGTTCACGACGACGGCCTGCGGAGTGGGTTGCTCGTGCGTTTCGCCAATCTCCGCCGGCTGCTGATGCTGCTCACACTACCGGCTGCAGCGCGAGGATCAGCCAGCGCATCGTCCAGTCGCTGTTACAGAGAAGCACATGCGCATGCCTGTCTACGACGAGGGGTGCCGGCCCTCGGAGCCACACGCACACCGCATCTACTGTACGGAGTGCATCACCCAGGGCCCAGGGACTGGACGTTGGAAGTGGAGGCAAGGATAGTGGCGGTCATGTTGGTAGTCGCATGGTTCCGGATCGGGCGTCCACCCGGTGGACAAGGGTACGAGCGCGCCGATGCATGTCTCAAACACCGCGAGGCGATGGTCTTTGGCGGGAACGCAATAACCTGCTGCTTTGACAGATTCGACGCCATGCGGATCTTGGAGGGCCCTGTCATTGGGGGTTGCAGACGGTCGGACAGCCATGAAACGGTGTCAGAGACGTGCCGGCGGGCAGGCTCATGCGGAACCGTCTGGAAGCGCAACTTGAACCTGTCAGGTGGCCCTTTGCAGCCTAGCACCGCCGTCTTGTTGCAATTGGTATCGATGGCGAGGGCCAGACATGACGAGGGGGCTGGGCCTGGCCCAAGTGACCCGTGCTCTGCCTCGGAGTCATGTATTTTCCCTTGCGTTTGCTGTATGTACCTGGCCGCATCAGATGCGGCCGCTCCGTGCATATTGCGTTCCTTCGCAGTTTGTACGGAGTTTAGTGATTTACGAACAAGACGAGGGCGATGGTGAAAGAGATCCACAAGTCTGCTAAGTCGTCGGCGCATAATGCAAAGAGGGGTCATCCGGATATGTGGCGAGGTTTGCGGACAACCTATGTATGTAAATATCCCGACTTTTATGACAGTGCAGACGCACATCCGGCAACATGAACAGACGATGTCGTGGGCTTGCACAGCCGCTTTCCATGGTCGGAGCAGTCGCGTTTCGTGTTGTCCGGATTCAGAATCCCTTCTCGAAGCAGACCATGTCTTAGCCAGACGCATTCGTAGCCACCATCGTACAAAGTGAAAAGACGGCACGCCATGCCGGCACATTCCATCCATCTGCTAATGCAAGTCATAACAGGGCACGCCCGCTCGGCACGGGGGACGCGTATAAATACCACAATGGACCGGGCAGGGGGAAGGGATGGCCTGCACAAGAGCAGATTGCGACGCCGGCGCCACCAAGGGTCCGCTGGGACACAACATTGACGTGTCCCGGTGGGCGTATGTATCGTCCTGGGTCCGAGGCGAGGCGGGGAGCTTCCCTGCAGGCCGACGACTCCATGCAAGCAACAGCGCCGACCACCCCGATCCGCCCAGCCTGCGCCCGTCTGCGACGGAGCCGAGTCAGCCAAGGCGTGGATTCATGCAGTGCTGGGCGCGGGCGCGGATGCGGGCGCGCACAGTCTGCGCATCATTCGCCACGATGAGGCAACGAGGCAGCGAGACTGGGGCCTGCAGGGCTCGAGGCCTTGGTCGGAGCGGCCGGGGGAGGAGCCTTGAGTTCGAAGCATGAGGTGAGCCGGAGCATCGAGCCTCGAGAGCGTCTGCGAGTGAGAGTGTTTGTGGACGCTCGCGCCTTCCCGACGCAGCGCCTGCCAAACTTGCTCTTCCGTGGTGAGCCTCAGGCTGCCGTATGGCCGCACAAAACAGGCGGAACGACAAGACGGAACAACAAACACGCCTTCTGCGCGCGCGCGAGAAGCGAAACGCCCTGTTCCGGTCATCCAAACAAAACAAACACCGCACGCCCGCGTGTCGCCATTGTCATCCAACCCGCTTCGAGCCAATTCCGACAAGCCGGCCCAAGTGGCCACAAGGCCCGGGCAAATCATGGGCGAGCGGGCGGGCAACCACCAAAAGGACAGGAGAGGAGGGGACGAGAGGGGCGAGGGGCGAGGGGCACCGCAACGCACCCGCTGACAGCACGACGGATGACGCCCATGACGATGATTGCATGGCCCATGCTGCTGGGTGGCTGACGACGGAAGCGACTGGCCGGCACCGCCGCCGTGCAACCAGACGAAGCTCCAGGGCTACGGCAAGGCGAAAGCTTGTTACGGTGACGCTCGAGCCAGCGCCGGCAACGTGGTGTCGCTCTTGGGGGGACGCTTCCAGAGTGGCATCGAGGGCTGATCGGGCGGACGCTTCGCCAACCAAAATCCAACAAGCCGGTTACTCTGCGGCCTTTGCATGGAGGGGTCCCCCCCTCCGTCCTCTCCCACTGGCCTGGCCTGGCCTGGCCTGGTTGTGGCCTGGTACGGTCCCGTCGACACCGGGGCATGCAGTGCGCATGTGTCGGTCTGCCACGCACCTCTGGGGACACCTCTGTTGGCCAGCCACGCAGGTCGCTACCAATCTCGCGGGCTGCCACGCCGATCCTGGGGACACAATGCCGGCGGGCTTCCAGTTTGATCAGCGCAAAAGAAAGGACCCTTCTTTCGACGGGGTCGCGCGAGGGACGCGATCCACGGCCGTGGCCCCGGCCGACGGTGTCGTGCCATGCTATGCTATGCCATGTCATGACCATGTCTGCTTGCTGCGCTCGGCCCGATGGCGAGCAGAGCGTCGGCAAAGCCGTCATCGCCTGGAGTCATCGGCGGGTCTCCGTTGCGTTGGGTCTTAGGCACACGTCGACCAGCTGTTTTCTTTGCATCCAGTCGAGCCAGTTCGCTATTCGATTGATAGACCCGACGCGGCGGAGAAGGGCCCCCAATTGTCGAATGACGGGCCAGCGCCGGCAATCCCAGCACCGACCAGCAGCCCGCCCGCCACGGCGGCCCTGCACCCTGGTCCACCATCGGAACTTTCCAAGCAGCCTCTTGGACGGGGCGATTCAGCCTGTCCTGTCCAGCAGCTGTCCCGAGACCTTGGCCTCATGTCCGAACAGCCGGACAGACGAGCACGCGCCAGGGCTGGATTGCGAGAGCCCCCTCGTGCCGCGGAGAAAAGGGGCCAGACGTCAATCCATCTTCGCGCCTCCCAGGATCCAGGTATCCTCAACAAGGACGCCGCCGACGTCTCCCCAGGGCCGGCATCCATGTAACAAAACGACAAAGTAACGTACTTGGTACAGTACATGATACCCCGCGCGCAGGCGAACCACTTCAGGACCCGCGACGAGGCCAGAAAAGGCGGCCAAGCGTGCGTCTTTGTCGCGCACCTGGGATGCGCCGGGTTACCTGACCTGCCCGCGAAGCGCGTCCGGCCGCTTGCCCCTTTTATTAATATCGTCAAACCAGCAGCATTGCCAACTCATCATTGCAGAAGGGCTCGAGCAGGCCAGGCCCGTTTTGCGCCTAGTTGCCTCGCGACCCCTCCTCGACGGCCCAATCAGCCGGGCCTCACTCACCGTTCAAGCTTCCGTCGACAAGCTGCTGTCTGTGAAGCCCCTCCTGCTGGGCCGACCCAACCTCCTCTCGAGCGAGCGAGCGAGCCAGCGAGATGACGGGGGGGCGTGCGCCTGCGGTCGTGGTGGTCCTCATCAGGTTCGTTCGATCCACATCCCAGCCACTCGCCCATCCATGCAGTGCAGCTGCTGGCATGAGGGACGGCCACGCACCACCCGGCCACTCCTGTTCATGCAGCTTGCTGCTACCACATTCCTCAGATACAGTGCAGGCGCCGTGCCCGTTGCCGTCGTCGCCCTCACCGACCGTTCTCTGGCGCGCGCGTGTCGTCGTTGGCCGGGGGGCTCCTCACTGGGCAATGGCTCGCCACCACGGAGCGGGCAAGCGCCCCAGCGCGAGTCGGCCGCGGCGAGCCAGTAAATTTTGTTCTCCATGACGGCTTGAGCTGCCCGTGATGCAACTTTGTTGCGCGTCGGCGAATCGCCCGCGCTACCTGCCGGCGTTTGATTGCGGGCCCCGGGGCGCCGGCGCGTACGGTGCTGCCAAGAAGCGTCAACGAATCTGGCCTGCTCGTGCTTGTTCGTGCCGCACCATGATGGCGCTGACGATGGACTTTGCTGCTCCGGACGGACCCCACGGCCGGCTGCCGGACGAACGCTCGCCCCTCCCCAGCCGGCCCATGCTTGGAAGTCGGTCCATGGAGTCAGTCAGGGACCTTGTACGAATCGTCGCTGCAGCTCATGGGCATGGGCATGGGCAAGGGCCCCCCCTCCCCGGGAGAGTTGCAGCGTACCGGCCTTGATGCGCCATGGCTGCCACTGGACACTGCTTGACGTGCTCTGCATTAGTGGCCGCCAGAAACAGAGATCTCGGATGTCCTGTGAAGGGCCGTCCAACCAGAGGAGCGGCGTCTGGGCGTGAGGGTACGGGCCATGACACCGCGGGGGGGGACTTGGCCGCGGTTCTCCTGGTTTGCCTTTCGCCACCCCACCGACGAGTCGTCTAATACTCGACTCGAACTTGTGCATCTGCGCGTGTACCGTACAGTACACTTGACCTGCGGCGCGGTACTCTGACGGAGCCTCCAAGTACCGCTCCGCTGCTCTCGGGGCGTCAGACACGTCGACGGCGCCGCGCCTCGGGGCATCCATTGCGGCAGCCGATGAAGAGCCTGGATCGTGGCTGGCGCCGGGAAAACAAAACAAAACGTTGACGGCCAGGTGCCGCCATGGACGCGCCGGCCCCCAAAGGAGGCGGGAGCAGAGGCCCAGCAAGTGAGCAAGCACAGTTTCATCCATGTCCAACGGGCCAGTCGGTAGATGTGCTGGACCGACGACGACGAGGACGGCGACGGCGACTCGGAGGGTACAAGGTCGCGGGCAACGGTACCGTCCTGCTGGAGATCGACCCTTTGACCTAGCAGACGCCCGCCGTCCCCATGCGACGCCGCAGTGGAGCGGCCTAGTGTCCAGCGGTTTTTTCACAACTGGCGACGAGGAACGCCAACACATCAAGATGGGTCACACTCTTTCGAGAGCCGCATCCATTGCTCGCATCTGCCTCCATTCGCGCGTCTCCTGTGACTCCAGACACCCCCGGGCCGGGCGCTAGCAACATGCTCTTTGGCTTTGCAATTAAAACACACATGTCTCGCCGTCGCCGTCTCGTCTCCCCTGCGCCCGCTGCGTAGCTCGGTACCTATACTAAGGTTCTTCCTTGGCTTGGTCCCTCGCTCGAACCAGACCAAACCTCCTCCGACTTCTATCCCCCCTCCCCCTCCGCTCCGCTCCCGCGTCGTCCCATTTTGTTTATCTGCCCGGGAGTCGACCACCACGTCCTCCTCCTCCCCGTCTCTCTCGCCCTCTCGAAGCCCTAATTGCGTGTTCCCTGCCACCCTCTTGCTGCTCTCCGTTGGGCCTCGCTGCAGATTGACCGACTCTGCACCTGCATTTGGGCCTCTCTCTCTGCTGTCCTTGTCGTCCTCGGTGGCTTACTACCTTGTTGTCTCTTGCCGCGCCGCAAAGTGCCCTGAGCCGTTTGCTGTTGTTGCTGCCGCCGCCGCTGCCGCCGCCGCCGCTGTTGCTACTGCCACACAACACGCACAGGCACGGCACACTCTCACACGCGCACACGCACGCACGCGCGCACGCACGCACACACACAACCGGTGCCCGTCGAATATTTCCACTTTTTCGCCCCCCCCCAAATCGACGACAATCCGGCCGGCATCCCGGATCCCCGTTGGGCAACACCACGACGACCATGGGTGGTTTTTACATGCAGTACCTGGAGAGTAAGTCTGCCGAATTGAGTGTCCTTTGAATTCACAGCAGCCCAATTGGGCCGCCGGCGGGTTCCCAGCGGGAGTCGTCTGGGATGTAAGAGTGTGAGATCTGATGCGCGGGGTGTGCGTTCGGGAACAAACAGGACGGCAGGGGGATGCGTTCGCCGTCGTTGGGCACGTCGCAGTGAATCCGCGCATCGTCGGCAGGGTTCCTTCGCGAGCCGTGTGGTTGCCATTGAGCCTCAAGGCCAGCCCAAACCCCGACGGATGCTCACGGCCGTAGCCGCCAGGACCGCTTAGACGGACACAATTGCTAACATTGGCTTTGCTTGCAGGCCTTTGCCGTCGGCGCGGATGGACAGACCCCTCCTACGAATGCTACCGAGGCAACAACGGCTTCACTTGCCTTGTTCTCGTAAACGGGCGTGAGTACCAGACGGACCTGGCCTACGAGTCGGACGTCCTCGCGCAGGAGAACGCTGCCATGCGTGCCTTTATGGTCTGCCGGAACTTTTCCGTCAATGGCGGCATGCTCGCCCGCAACGGCATCGTCCAAGGACTCCCCGCCACGTCGGACACGGGTCGTCGCCGCAAGAGCCGTCACACGTCGTCGCGTGACAGCAGCGGCAGCCATGGCCGTCGCTCTGGGAACCACTCGAGCAGCAGCTCCACTGCTTCCTTCGACTAGAGCCCTGGCGAATGGGCTTTTCCACCCCTGCCAAGGCCAGGGTTGGAGACGCTGTGCCGCGGAGACCATCAGGTGCATACATAAAGGCGGTTGAAATGCTTCACGGCAGTCCTCGAGGGGAGATGACCGGACACACACCTCTGCAACGCGGCCCACTGCTCCTGCGCGATCTTGAACGAGGGTGGGACAAGGCCGGGAGAGCGAAAGGACCACCAGCAGGCGAAGAAATCAAAACCAAAACGAAAACCGAAACGGGCAAAAAGCGCTGCATACTCTGATGCTTCATGTTTTTTGGCACGACTTATGACGACACGAAACGACAACTTCTAGAGAAACGACCTTCCTCAGATTAACGGCCGCGCTTTTAGTTTTCCCTTTCCATTCATTTCTTCTTGCGTACATTGTCATAAACTTTTTTTCTACTTGTTCTTCAGCCTCGACGTTGAGGCTGCCTCAGGACCGGGATGACCAGTCCGGCCCAGTAGTTGGGAGCAAACAGGACCAGCTGCCACGGCCTCATTCCTTTTTTACCCTGACGTTTCTTGGAGAGTCCCTCCGTCCTGGTAGTCCGGCCCAGGTTACCAGTTACTTGGACCGCGGCAGCCGGCGTCGCCTTGGACAGCCTTTATCCCGGCATCTGGATGGACGCCCTCCGTCTCAGGTCACGACACAGGCAACCACTTTTTCCGCGAATCCGGGAGGCTAGACTGCTTGCTTGCTTGCATTCCTTTGGTGTTGTTCCAGGGCTGTCAAGCCTCTCGTGGACAGCGGGGAGGCCACGGCGGTGGCATTTGTGTATCAGGCATTTGCAGCAAACGAGGGACGGTGGCAGCGCTCCTTTGCACAACCCCACCCCTTCTTCGTGCCCCTTTGCGGGCTCCTTCTCACACCTTTCTGGCATACGTTTAGTTGGCACCATTGGGGGACCACGCTCTGCGGGAGCACATGCATCGGAGGAGGAGCAAATGGAGGCAGATGTTTCTCAAGATTGACTTGATGACGTCGGGGGCAAGACACGGCTGCGTGTCTCGACTCGAAAGAGCAGTGCCTGGCTGGGCCGACGAGGAGATCACACGATGACGAGCGATGAAAGACGGTCGAAAGAGCTTCATGATCTAATGACTACGAAGAAACGAGTTCCTCTCCGTACATACTGAGTCCTCTTTGCGCGTTCGTTGGGAGATGGTGACCCCAGGGGCGCACCCTGCCACGCACTGCTGGCCAAGGGGCCAGGGGTCTGCAGGGTGACCAATCTTGATTGTGCAACGCGACAGGTGCCGTGGCGTATCGGCAGTTGCGCACTCGCATGGGAGAAGTGGGCGGCGGTTGAGGGGGAGAGGGGCCGTTTCATGCGCTTTGCTGCGGCCGTGGTAATGCTGGGCCAGCGACCCTCTTGGGTGAGGTAGGACTTCCCCGTCGAGACATTTGGTTCGACCGAGGGACGAAGTGTACGGAGTCGGATGTCGACGCGTCGGCGGTGATGTCGGGTTCGACCGGCTTTAGCTCTCCCGTTACGATGCCCGCTCGGCTACTCGAGATGCAGAGGCGGTCGTAGAGTGCGTTTCCGGCCCATTGAAGTATGGAAGCGAGAGGAGCACGCAAGAGTGTTTTCCCACCGTCTCTGTGCTGCCGACCTAGTGAGTATTGCCAAAGGTGTCCCATCGCATGGCGGGGGTGCGGGATACGGGGCACTCGCCCGCCACGTGTGCCTGTAGGTTGGTGACACCAGTGAAAGAAGCGTGCCCTCAGTGAAGTCAAAGGCACCACGAAAGCTGTGGCTCGCAAGGCTGGCGTTCTGGCCACGGCGCACTCGTACTTTGCTGCTGGTATTGTGTCATGACGAAGTTGCGTGCTCCAATGCCGACATCGGCCCACGGAGGTCTTGCTCCTGTAGCTTTCGGGCGGATGCTTCGCGAGCACTATCCCCAACTCTTTCGTCGTGATTCTAGCCGCATGCTTATAATTGTAAGTAGCGTGGAACAATGGCCGTAGTAGCCCATGGTCGAAGCGACGTTCGAGTCCGCGGAGTGGCGGTCGAGATCTGGTCCTGGTCCCCGACGCGGGTCAGCAATCCCCGGTAGCCGCTGCGCACGCATTAACTCGCTATAATCAGCCTCAGGCACCATCGCCGACGAGGGGGGAAACCCGCGGACGCCATTGCAGCCGCAACGGATTCCAAAGAGAGAAAAGCCTCTCGCGCGCCGGCCGGTCTTACATGCAGGACCGGCGTTCGGAGCTCACGGGCCAAAGACACTTGACATGGGTTGAATAAATAGCGACTGGAGCTGCTGCCCATGCCTTTGACACGGTGATCGGCCTCTCTTGCTCTGTAGCTGTCGAATCGGCGTCCGGGAACGGCTCTACAGTTTACTCTTTCTTTACGTTACAGCTCGGATCGTCGAGATGCACTGCACGGTAGCTAGCATCGCACTGGTTGCCAGTCTCGCGGGACAGGCGGCGGCGCTTGGCGGCGACGCCATCGTCCGCGTGCGACAGCTGTACCAGTTCCCCAACGCGACGCAGTTCGTCGAGAACATTGCGATCCGGCCCAATGGACACCTCCTGCTCAACACCTTTGACGACGGGCGCATGTACACGCTCGACCCGCGGCGCCACCACCACGGCGGCGACGACAACGGTGCGGCGCGGCTCGTGGTCAAGGTGCCGGGCGTCACGGGGCTGACGGGCATCGCCGAGATCGCGCCCGACGTGTTCGCCGTGTCCGCGGGCGTCAACAACCTCAGCGACTACAGCTTCGTGGCGGGCACGGCGCGCATCCTAACCGTCGACTTCAACCGGCGGGCGGGCGCAGGCGGCGGAGGTCCGGTGGTGCGCACGGCGGCGCGGCTGCCCTCCGCGCAGATCCTCAACGGACTGGTGGCCCTGCCGCGGCATCCACACGTCTGTCTCTTATACACATCTAGATGTGTATAAGAGACAGCCTCCGCGCAGATCCTCAACGGACTGGTGGCCCTGCCGCGGCATCCACACGTCGTCCTGAGCGCCGACTCCAAGGCCGGGCGGGTTCTCCGCACAGACACGACGACGGGCCGCGTGGACGTGGCGTTTGCGGACGCGCGCCTCGCGCCGGGCGATGTGCCGCCGGGCCTACCGACCCTGGGCATCAACGGCATCAAGATCCACGGCGGGTTCTTGTACCTGACGACGTCGGCGCAGCGCGTGTTTGCGCGCGTGCGCATTGATGAATGGGGCCGGCGCGTGGGCGACCTGGAGCAGCTTGCGCAGCTGCCGCTGAGTCCGCCCAAGGTGCCTGATGACTTCTCCGTCGCGCGCGACGGGACGGCATATGTGGCGACGCATCTTGATACGCTGGTTAAGGTGGCGCCGGATGGGCGGTGGACGCCCCTTGTGGTCGCTGAGGGAGACGTGAAGTTGGACTCGCCGACGTCGACGGCGCTGACGCGCGATGAGAAGACGCTATATGTGGTGACGGGCGGAGGCACCGGTGGAAAGGGCGGGCAGGTCCTTGCTGTACAGCTGTGAGGCCTGAGATGTCTCCTGTCAACTAGGTAGCATATACAACCGGGTGCCAGGGGCTCTGGGTGGAGAGTCAGTAGAGATGTGCGTCATGCCGCACATAGTGTATTCCAGTGCCGTGTACCCCAACGCCGTCTAAGCTGTGATATCTGTGAATCCTACAGGTCGTGTTACAAGTTGTACAAGGTGCCGACTGCGTCGGCCACCTACTCCGACTCTTGCGTCTCCGTCTCTGCGTCTTGGTGGACCGGCGCGTCGCCACCCGGCCAGCGTCGAAACACGGCGACGAAGCCGCCGCCGGCTATCCTGTCGCCCACCTTGGGCCGCATGATCTGCACCCGCTTGCTCTCGTCGCCCTGGTGCTCCTTGGGCACCACCGTCTTGACGTCCCACTGCCTGCCACCGGCAGCGTCGTGGACGCCATCTGTCGTCGTCGCGATGGGCAGTTCCAGCACCTTTTCCAGGCGCAGGGGCTGGTGCGTCCGCAGCGCCCACGCCTGGAAGTCGGCGACTTGACTGATTGACGGCTTGAACAAGACCAAGAGCCCGTTTGGGCACAGCGCGCGGATGACCTGCTCTGCGTTCTCGTGCGCAGAGGGGAGGTCCAAGATGGCGCGCGATAGGAAGGGCTGCCCGTCGGATTGTGCCAGGCGCCCTGAGAGGTATTCCTCCACCGAGCCGAGGTGGAAGTCGATCGAGGCGAGGTACTGGGCGCGGCGGAAGTTGCGCACCAGCTTGTAAGCCGCGTGGAGGTGTTTCGGGTTGCGGTCGAGGGTGTGGATGACGGCGCGGCGGGTTGCGGCGTATTCGTCGAGGGCCGCCTGCTGGTCCGGGGAGAGGTCGACCCGCGAGGTGGACGGGTCTTGGCGGGATCTGAGCTTGGCCTCGCAGAGCGCGCGGCGCAGGGGCGGCGGGACGGGGGCGTTGGCCGCGTGGATCGCGCGGGCGAGGTGCAGCGTGAGGCTCCCCATGCCCGTGCCGGCCTCGAAGATCTCAAACGGAGGCGCCGCGTCGTCGTCGGGGTCCTCGCCCGGGCGCGACGGGTTCAGATCAAGCAGTGAGACAATGGTATTCGCATCATGGGGATATATCGGCGTGGCCATGCGCTCCGAGTTGATGATGTAGCTCGCCAGCGTGGCCTCGTGCAGGACGACGTTGTGGCCGCCGCTGTCGCGCACCACGTCGAGCATCTTGCGCCCGATGAGCTCCTCGCCCGCCAGCGACGCGCCGTAGGAGAGCTTGACGCGCGAGTCGGGCCGCAGCGGCGCGGTGAGGTGCCATTTCGGGTACTTGGCGCCTTGCTGGCGCAGGAAGAGGACGTCGTGCTCTGGCGGACGGCGAGAAAGGGAGGGTCAATCAGGGCGCGCCCCGTGCTGGCGAAGATGGGGGGGAGGCTTTCTGCGGCGTACCCTTGATGACTTGGTCGGTCGAGAAGTGCCTGCAGCGCGGGGCGGCACTCGCTGCGCGGCGGCGACAGCCGAGGGTGAGGACGCCGCGGGTGCTGGGGAGCATGGCGCGGGGAGTGGGAAGGTGAGGTTGGAACTGGCTTGAGTTTTGCCTCGGTGAGGCTGAAGCTAAGGTACGGCGCAGGTTGTCTGCCCGTCCAGGCGGTTTGGCGCATCGGCGTGCCTGAGACACAGTGGGGCTAATCGGTGCCCGGCGCTCCAGTGGCTGCGCTCGCTGTAAGCGCGAAGTCTCCCCGCTGGAAGCTGTTGAAACCTGCATGATTTGCGCCGGTTAAACCCCGGGGAGCACATCGACGCTGCGTGAGTCCCGTTCGAGCAAGAGTACGTACCGTACCTCAGCTGGAGTGCCCGAGCCCCCTGTCTCGCGCCCGGCACAGGCCGTGTCTGTTGTTAACGTTGCATCTGCCCTCCACCCCCGGACAGCTGATGCAGATCAACGGCCGTCGGGCAGGTTCGCCCAGCTAACCACGAACAGGTGTGGCGCTGGGCGGTGCGGGCGGTATCAGTGTCGTCGTCGGCTTTGCCGTGCTCTCGCCTGCTGCGGTCCCGACGCAACTTTATCTGCGAGACGATGACTGTGCTCTTCACCGTGCAGTGGGCACGGAGGAATGCGGCCTCATCTTCACACTAATGCCGAACGCCTTGGTTCAGACGTCTGCTATAATTGGACGCTGCTTTGTCTTGCTTGCCCGCGGCGGTATCATGGCACCCACGTGTACGTGCTCACTGGAAATTCCGCCCGTGAGCTCGGTTTCAGATGCATTACAACCACAGAGCCATGTCATACTTTGGGTCTCACGGCGGCGTCACGTTGGTAGTCAGTGCTCGGCACAGTTCCCGTGATAGGTAGATAATTTGCATCATTATTGTGTTTGTGTCGCTGCCTCTGGCAATATTGTTTTCTCGTTGCGAGGCCGTGGACGCCTCGGGTTGTTGGGCAGGAGGCAGCTCAACTGCTCCTTCCGTCCTATCCACGCCTGCCATCCAGGTTCCAGCGCAGCACCGACTGTGCCATTCCGTTTCCCCTGCCCTCTCCTCTTCTCTCCCCAGTCATGCGGTCTCCAGAGCCGTCAGCTCGAGACTCGTCTCTCTTCTTCGTCGCCGCCAGCAACACGCCCTGCCACTCGATCTCGTCAGCGTCGTCAGCGTCGTTAATCGCCAGTCGCTCAACCTTTCCCGCCGCCGTCTCCATGCCGACGGTGGCAGCGTTTGCCCATAACCGAATCCCGCCTTATAATATACACAATCGCCGTGCCCGCCTGCATGGCAATGATGAGCATCCAAAAACGCCGGCCTGATAAAGCAACCCAGCGGGGCGGATATACTAAATGATGAATGTTGACGGTAGAGAATCCCAAAGCAAAAGCAAATCATTTGGGTGTGTGCCGAGACTCCAGGCTCTTTGAGAGATGATTGACAACAATAAAAAAGGCACCAAGATGTGCAGCCCATTGGTGGCTGCGTTTTTGTTTTTCGCCCGGGGTATAGGGGAGCGTCGCCCTGAAAGGTGCCGTGGCTCCCATGGTATCGTCCAGAATTTCAGACCGCTAACGTATTCTCGCTCTTGTCCAGGCCGTAACTCAAGAAGCGGCGGCGCTCAGTCGCAGAATAACCGGCTTAGATGAAAGACCACTTCGACGAGTGCATATGGTTGATGGCCGACGACCATGCCTCCTGAGCATCCGGCGCGTGGACAGTCGTGTGGAAATCTTCCTCAAAGTACGGGTGAACCTTGACCCCAACATGGGTCTCCATGATGGCAACGCCAGAGTCGTATCGTCGTCGGCATCGCTTCGTCCAAGGGTCCACCTTGACCGGGCTGTGGTAGCAGTAGACGTTGGGCTTGGCGTCGCGAACGGGAAACACCACGCCCATCCCGCGCATATGGTTCCACACGTCATGCGCGGCATGCTTCGTCGCGTCGCTGTTCGGCGATGCGGCATAAAGCAGCTGCAAGATGGCGTATCGCAGCGTCAGCGACTCGACGCTGTTGGTGCCATGCCGCTGGTCCAGCGGGCGTTGGAGGGCTCGCAGCTCGACGACGAGCTTCTCCAGCCGCTCCGGGTTGACGTGGTTGTAGAACAAGGCTAGGTCAATCCACGTCCGTGCAACGTATGGGTGGCGGCGGCTGTATATGGCCTCGAGCTCGTCCGCTATGGTCGGGAAGCTTCCCCACAACAGTTCTGAGAGCGTCACGGAACCGTGCTTCTGCTGAACCTCGTACAGGCAGGTGAAGATTTGCCGAAGAGGATGCGACCGCTCCAGGTTGGTGCTCGAGTACGCCGCAAGGTACTTGCAGAGCGCCGTCATCATACCGGGGTCCCGGTGGACCATGCCCAGGAGGAGTTCGTTGATGCCAAGCGGAGAGAGCTTCTTCAGGTCAACCTCCAGCTGCTTGAACGCCCGCATGAGGAAGTGGCCACCCTGGTCAGCGTCCCTGGCTTCGAAATAAAAGTTGGCTTCCATCAGTAAATCGCTCGATCCCGCGCCCCAGACCATCGTCACCGGCCAGCCAATCTGGGCGTCCGTTTCCACCTCGAACTGCCTGCTGTGGAGGAACGCCTTTCTCATGTTCCCAACGACGAGTTCCTGGGCTCGTACCAGGTCCGGCGACTGCAAGTAGCCCGGCGTGGGGGGCGGCGTCGGCGTTCGGCATCGCACGTGGGCCGGCAGGTCTGCGGGCAGCTCGAAGTCGATCAGGTCGTACTCGGTCACGCCCTTCCTCTTGAGATAGGTGCCCAGGTTCACGACCCTTCCGTTTCGGACGAATTCGGACACTTTGCCCTCGGCGTCGCGCTGGAATTTCATGGACAATAGCCTCTTGACTTCCTCCTCTGTGTTGTTCTTTACGAAACCCCATTGGGAAAACCGCGTCTTGTACATCTTTGGCCTATAACATGTAAGCTCACACACCCAGCTCCCCGAAAACCACACGAGGACGAAACTTACGTCGCTTGAAAGTTGTACTTTTCAGCCATGATGGACATGACTTCTTTCAGCGGTCTTCTCTCCTCGAGATAGAGGGTTCGGATGGTTGACTTGAATTGCTCCCAAGCCTCAGCAGGAACCTGTTCCCGTGACGGTCGAGTTCCACCCTGAGCACGGAGAGTAATCGATCCTTGCCTCTGGTTCTGTGTCGACAAATCAGCGAAGGCTCTAGAAGTGATCATGGGAACACTTACCGGCAGAGGGGTGGATGAAGGCGGCACATCGGACGGCTGCGGTGTAGCCGGCTCCTGCTTCACCTCTGGGCTAAATGGGGCCGGCACAGGGGGCAATACGCGCGGCCTCGGAGGTTTCGCGGGAGCCTTGCCCTTGGCTTTTGCGCTGGCACTCGGGTTAAACTCGAGGATGAACTGGTTTCCAGCATTCATGTTCGGTTTCGGTGTCGTTGGTACGGGCGGCTTGAAGTAGCCACCGGGGCTGGCGATCGGGTTGGGGGTCTGGGGCTCCGTCTTGATAGTGACCGATCCAGGGGGCCGCCAGATCTCGAATCCGGGTGTACCTCCCACGGGCTGCGCCGTCTGTGTGGGAGACGCTACCATTGGAGACGCCATCATCGGCGATGGAGCCATCTGAGACGACGGGATCGGGGATGGGGCGATTGGACTTTGAACTCGGTTCCCAGACATGAAGTCGTCTAGGTTCCCAAACGGCCCGGACGAGGGCCCGACCCCAGGGCTGGTCACGCGAGAGTTGTCCTGGAAACCGCCGAACGGTATGGCTGGTGAGTTGGTCGCGATGGGGCTCATCATCCTCGACTGCATGGTGAACGAACCCCACTGGGACTCGACGGGGCTCTGGATAGGCGTCGCGATCCGATTGGGGTTGAATCCGTTCGAGCCACCACCGTGGGAGCCAAAGTATCCCATGTTGTCGAACTGGGGTCTTGAGCCAACTTGGGGTGTCTGTTGAGGGATCTGGACGCTGTGACTGGGCCTGGGAGGCAGCGGAGGCGCAGAGGTCTTGTTCTCAAAAGGGTTGAAGCCTTTGTTTTCGAAGTGTGCTACCAGGCGGCCGACGCCGCCTCCAGACGCCAGATTGTCGAGCTCCATCTCGTTGGATCCCTGGGTGTCGTCGTGGTAGCCCGAGGGCACCTCTGACGGTGTCGTCGACCAGTCCATGTCGGAGGAGGCGTGGAAGGATTGGTTGTCTCCATGGCTGGGGTGGTGAGGGTGTCCCACGGACGACGACGTCGCGCCTTGGTTGGTGTCGAACCTGGTCCAGGGCTGTGGAGAGAAGCCGAAAGTGTCGTTGTCAAAGCCAGAGGGTTGAGGCTTATTCGACGGATGGTTAAACATGACGACGACGAGCCAAACAGACTGAGCGAGGGCGCTCGGTCGGCCGGCTGGAAGTCAGTCAGTTTAGTGGACGAGACTCGAACGAGTCGAGAGCCTCGGTTGGGGGTTTCTCAATCGCCGGCACGAGGATTCATCACTCGTGGCAGTGGCGAGCCGAGTGATCAGACCGGGACGGAGGACGAAAGGACTGCCAGGCCGGCAGGAGAGCCCATACTCGCCCGTTACGGATGAGGGCGCAAAATCAGAACAAAAAGCGAGAGCAGGCCTACCGACGTCGTATCGGATCGAAATGGCAAGGCAAGGACGGACGGGCAAGGTCGATTTCGTCGCCGGGAGTTGACTGATGTGGACGGGAGATCGATAGGGCGCTCTCCCCGCGACAGCTGGCTGGGTCGTTGCGCCGTTGCCCAGCGTCGACGTTAGTGAGGGAGAGAGCCTGCTGCTGTGGAGGCCAAGCCACGCGCGCAGGAGGTGAGAGGGAGCAAAAGTTCCCTCGCCTAACTTGCCGGGAAGGGAAAGCCAATAGCCTGTTTCGACAACGGTGTCTGGGGGAAGGCCTTGGTGCTGGGGTCAGCTCCGCCGGGGCGAGATAAGGGAAGAGAGGAAGAGAGAGGCACAGGACGGGACCGGACGGCGCAGGCTACCTACGAGGAGGACCTTCACAGCACAGGCCTGGGGCTGCAAGACGAGACGACGGGTGAAGTGGAGAGCGAGTGGGCAGGACGGGGGAGTAAAGAGCGCGCCGGCGAAGAGGGGATGTAACCTAATGCGGGCTGGGCTGGCATTGCGACAGGCGAAGCAGATGGGAAGACGGCGGAGGAGCAACAGGGCCTCTGGACCACTGAGCTGGGCGGCTGTGGGATGGGATGGGGGGGGGGACGGCATGTGTGGGAATGCCACCGTCGGCCTGAAGAAGAAGGTGATATGGCCGTGAGCCACCGCACACGAGGAAAAGGCGCCAATCACGACGGCATGATACCGCCCCCTGGCACACCCCAGGGCTCCCGAGCTGGGGACGGCCCCAAGGCACTGCGTCCGCTAAAGTCAGACAGGCCGGGACGAGGAGCGATTCCAGAAGGATTCCGCCTGTCGCCCGCGGCGGTGATTCGTCGCGGGCGTCGAGGAGGGGGTACGCCACAAGAGACAAGGAAATGCGCCGGCGCCCCCGGGGACGCCTCGCACATCGCCAACGGGCACCAGGAGCAAGCTTGTGGAAGGGACGCCGTGTCGGGCGCTCGAGGATGACGACGAGGGCCTCTCGCGATGGCAGCCATTCCTGTCGGCGTCGTCTGCCTCACCTCAAGCCTCACCGCGCTCTCTCCAGGCCCAGCGCTGAGCACGGCGTCCGCAGCGCACCCAGGATCGGATCTCCTCGTGGCGGCGCCACGGCCCGGATGATGGCCGGGGCCATGGAGGCAGTGGAGGGCTGCTACTGGCACAATGTGGTGCGGCGCACCAACGAGGCGGGTACCAGGACGCTGCACCACCCCAAGCGACGAGACAAACGGGCCGTTGTCTGTGTGCTGGAGGCGCTCCGTCGCAGGCTCTGCCTCTGCCGGGCCTGCACCTCGGATAAAGGTGCGTGCATGCGCGGGCGGTCAGCGACAGCCGCTGGCGGTGCGAGTCCGGGTCGCAGGCGGATATCGAGCCCTCTCGACTGTGTTGCCTGCCAGCCGCGAGAGCATGGGCCACAGCCGACGACGAGCTTTGGCCGAAGCGTCCCCACGGCCGCTGGCTGGACCGAGGCGAGAGACGCGCAAGGGCTGCGGATGGCGGGCTCCAGCTCCAGCTTCAGCACCGGCACCAGCATCAGGGCGAACCACAACCACGCCGCCGGTGGGGTCTGCGCACGACTCAGGCAGCGAGTGCCCTTGGAGCGAATCGCCAAGCTGACGGGGCCTGGGGCTGGGGCCACACTCGATGGCGCCAGTGGCCGCGGAGGGAGTTGGAAACTTGGGCAGGCGGGTCCGGCCAGGGATGCAGGGCCCGCGGCTCGCTCACTCCGTCACTTACCCCGGGGGCCCAATGCCTGCAGCAATACCCGGTCTCGCGTGCGAAGGGGTGCAATTCTCTGCGGCGTTTGCAGGCCCTCGCGACGCTTCCTCCGGCCGGCACGTGCGACGGGCATCCCAGACCGAGGACGGTGAGGTCAATGTCGACTGACTGGCCCCTTCGTACGGACAGGCGGAAGGAAGCAGAACAGGCCATGTGAGCCGACGGGAGAGACAGCCGTCGAGATTCGGGGTCTTTGTGGGGATGGAGAGATCTGCCACGAGCCCGCCCACCTCTGCGCGAGCCCGCCCTGGCCAGGCCTGGCCTTCCTGGCAGCTCGCGAGGGCCCTGCGACACGCGCTCTGAACTGTACCAAGTGGTCCTCATTCAGCTGACTTGCTGAGACCAACCGCAGCAAGAGGCGACCAACGACGTGGAATGGTATGCCGAGGGCGACGCACCGAGCGCAGTGCACACAAATAGCAGCACCCGACCCCTCACCGACGCATCGACAGTTTTTTTTTTTTCGCGCGCGTCGCACAAAACGGCGGCCAACAGTCATGCCATGACGTGTGATGAGGGCATGCATACCCGTGGTAGCGGCACCCTCGAAGACGTCTGCAACTGATACTGTATGCTGCCCTGTGTACAGCACACACGCGGCAGGGTCGTCATGACCCAGTGGCAAGATGATGACACCAAAAGCCTCTGTGTGGGTGAGAAAGCAAACCACCTCCTTCTCTCCGCACCGATGGGGGTCATCGCGCTCCAAGGCTTGTGCCACGATGCGGGTGTGTGGGATGGGTTCCGGGGAAGCCTGGTTTTATTCTGGACCAGCAGGAGACGCTCTCCAACGCCACCACCCATGTTTGGGGGCTGATCACGTAAAGGCTTCAGGTTCGGGCCAGGCCTCGAGCACAAGCCGGGCCCGGCTCCATCCCACTCGCATCCGGTGGGCTGGCGCGTCAAACTCATGCAAGTTGAAGCCGTCGAGGCCCAGAAGCTTGCCAAGGGCTCGCATCTCACTCATGCCAGGCAGGCGCACAGCGGCATCAGACGTTCCGAGCCTGGGATACATTACGCTACTGTCGTGTCCGGACGTGAGCCGCCGTTGCAAGTCCCGAGAAAGCCGTGCCCCGGCCGTGGCATCGCCTCGTGGGTGCAGACCGGATCACGGCGCTCCAAAGGGCCAATGCCGCTGATCGCGTTCACCTGGGTCCCCCGTGATGTCGTACCGACCCCGCAAAACAATGGCGTCCGGGGAGTCGCGATTGTTGGATTGATCAAGTGCGTCTAAAAGGTTGTATTTCGTGGAGCAACATGGGGGCAGCGGTCGAGTCCAGAGCCGGCGGCAGGGAGTCCCGACCCCGACACTATCGACGGAGCACTCGTGCAGGGCTACAGTAACGGCCCACGTTGGAACTGGTTTGGTCATCATGCCATGTACGTCGTGCTTCCTTCATCCCAGCCCAGCTCCGTGACCAAGGCGACCAACGAGGGCAGTAGCCAGGGCAGCACCAACTCTGACTTGACACGAAGCTAGTCGAGACACGATTGCCGCACCACCATTGAATCTGCCATTCAGTACGGAGCATCTAGCACGGCAAGACGCTAATTGAAGGATGTGCGTCCCATCACGCAAACCCCAGGTGCGTGGTCCACGACGGAGGGGCCCCTTCTTCCCCCCTTGTTTGGCGCAGCCCACGACCGGTTCGAACCGATTGGGACCAGCACCTGCGGCAGGGTCTCGTCTGGACATTAAACAGTGGAAGAGGAAATTTGAGGTCCGGTCAACCAGTGCTCCTCACCTGAGGCATCCCCGGTCTGGACGTGGGGATGAGATCGACGTCGCGCCCCGTCAGCTGCCCACATCGGCCTCCCGTCAAACGAGGCGAGGGGAGGCGGCTCACAGACGACGATATCACCAGCTGGTATTGCTCCGGCCGCCCTGGGATTGACTGCCAGTCCGGCAATAGCCGTAGGCGGGCTTGGCTGATTGGTCGCGTCCAAACGACCTCCTCTTCTGGGACAAAGGCGGCAGCCTCATCAGCATATCGATGACCAACCTCGGATTGTGGCCCGGGGCATACGACAGCCTCTGAACTCAACAGGCAAGTGATAACGGACAAGTCTGCCACATTCGCTGGTCCCCTTGCCTGCGGCTCGCTCGGCGCGTCGCTCGCGCAGGTCGCGGCGGGATCTGGCCTGATTCCCTGAGTCAGACCTTGATCGTCTCGCGTCGAGGCAGTGATGAGCCACCTTGGCTTCTCAGCCTTGCGAGCGCCGGATAGCCCTGCCTGGCTGATGGGCCCGTGATGGGGACTGATCGCCTGGTCTCCGTGTATCAGTTTTACAGCCCCGTGGCCCACTACCTTCCATTCTCTGATGAGAAAACTGGGGGTCCGTCGTGGCATCATCGTCATCGGCCCCGCGGCGCAGCAACACAAGCCTCAAAGATCGCCTCTGAAAGCCTCTCTGCACCGACTTCACGTTTGCTTCTGATCGGAGATGGCTCTGGCCGCGCCACGAATCGCGGACTGCGTGGCAGACGAGCTTGGCCTCGCGGCTGCCTCTCTGGCGTCCAACCTGACGGCGTCGGGCAACCGCTTGGCCTGGCACGACAGGCGCAACATTGCAGGGTGCATCGTTCTAGAATGAGCCACCCTTTCGTATTGCTCTCGGCCACGGCTCGCTGAGCTCTGCCTGCATCCCGTCTGCCAAGCTCACCGAGCTGCATGGGAAGTCAGCCATCATGCGCGTGTGAGCCCGTTCTCACCCCTTCCCATGCTCGCTCGGGTTTGCCGCCCTGCAGCCTGCCCTGGCGCCTTGGACGGCACCGTTCCGCCAGGGACGTTGCTGTCGAGACAGTGTCGCGCCCTCTTGGCCAACGTCTTTCTGCCCGTCCCGAGCGAAGGGCGCGCCAAGGGTCCGACCAACACTGAGCCGATGCGGCCCAGTCTTCGGAGCGGCAAGATCAGGCTCCCCCGGACGTGTCTCAGACACTGTGTTCGCCTTTGTCCGTCGTCAGCCGCCGGGGTAAGACAACATCGTCTCTGATTGCACGGTCGGTACGAAAGTAAGAGGCCCGACCCGACTTGGGTGTTTGGGGACGGCGATCATGCATGCTTCTATATTAAGGTTCTCTCAATATCGCTGCGTCCGCTGGCTGCGCGGACAAGCCATGTGTGCTCTCTCCAAGGCCGGCAGAACAGCGACAGCTCGTATGCTGTCAAATGTGGCAGCTGGTCGGCTTCTGCCCCTTTGAGCCGCAAATGGGAAAGGCTGTACGCTCGCCCGTGGTTCGCACACCCTCAGAGGCGCTGCCTGCAGTCATGTCAGGCAGCGTGACAGGCCCCGACGGGCCGGCAGGTCTGACAGGAACGCTGGTTTTCGAGACCCCCGTACGTAGATATGGGGAAGGAGATTGATATCAAGTCAGGCGGAGTGGCGGCGGTCGAACCCCGGGATGATTCGCCCACGGATACCTTCCTCCCCCCTCACGGCACCGGCCCGAGTCCCGTTGCACGGCGCCGACGCGTCCGACGCCCGTCGCAGTCCGTCGCCCGAGATCCGTCAACACGTCTCGCCCCTGGCGATGGAGCGAAGTCCACTCAGGTCCAGGCGTGAGCGTCGTAGAAGCAGGAGCAGAAGAAACATGAGAAAGTGCGCAGACCGTCGGGGAGCTGGTCCTCGGCCGTTTGCGCTTTTGCCGGGCAGCAGCTTGGCATCCGCCACGGGAGCATACATATCCGTATTCCGTGGGTCGGGATAGATTGGACGGCATGTATGCCGACGTGATGCCTCGCACTGGCTGTTGGGCCGTCGTGTCACAGGCTGTGCTTCGTACTTTGTATTCGCGGTCGTCGCTGCTGCAGAATGAAAGGGCGCAGATGGTTCGGCGCGCGCGCCTCGGCATGCCCGAGCAAAAAGCAAACACGTAGGGGCTTGTCTTGCCCGTCGCTCCGTGTCTCGACGATGAGCTTTCGCCGTAGTGGTCACGAGCCCGAGGGCTTCCGATCGCGTGACTGCTCCGTTACAAGCTGTGTGATGTACGAAGTAAATTGTAGCAATGGCAGACCCGAGTCATCCCTTTTTCCCTCCGAATGGGTTTCGTATTCCCTGTGATTGGAGATGGCGCGGCCTGTCGCGATCCAAGTACCCCGACGGTAGCGGCTCGCTGTTCACAAACCAAGAGCTGTGTAACACATTAGAAGGTAGAAGTACTGTACTGTCAGTACGAAGCAGCATTGCAGTTCCAGCAGCCACGGAAGCAAGGGGCTCGAGCTGTCCAGCCACTGGTCTATTCCGAGCTTTTTTGTCCCGGCTCTGCTGCGGCGGCATTCAATGCGTACAATACACTTTCGTCTGAGAAGCCAACGGACTCGCCATGCCAATCCGCCCTTCCCATCCCATCCCATCCCACGCCATATCATCCCATTCCATCCCATCCCATCCTGCCTCTCCATCCATCCATCCGTCTTGTCGTCCGTCCGTCCGTCCACGCGCCGATATTCGTGCCCCGACTCCCCCATCGACCGAGCGACCGGACCCTTTATCCGTCTCAGCTCTTGGTTCCCTCCCTCCATCTGTCTCCCTCCCACCACGCTCTTCGTTCCAATCGCCCCGTGCGCCGCCAGTGTACATCGTTATCCGTTTAACATCGCAAAGCTCCTGCCTTCCCTCCCCGCTCTCTCCCCCTCCCGTGGCGCAAAGGAAGGGAGGAGGACGGGGCTAAAATCGAAAAAGAAAAAGAAACCCCGGCGAAAGGGGGGAGACGAAGCGGTCCCTAAAGAAAAGACTCCTTGTGTCGAAAAGGTCTGAAGCGAAGCCCATAGGAGGTATATATATATGTTGGTATAGGTATAGGTGGTGAACAAAACGCCATGACGTGCGGTTGAATTGAACAAGTGAGAAATAGGACGTCCGTCTTCGAATCGGAAAAAGAAGAAAGGGGGTTAAAAGAGGCGGACGATAGTCGAAATGGTGCCGTGCTAAACATCCAGGTATGGAGGACAGGGGGGTGCCGGATAGAGTTGGTGTCGTTTAGACCTCCTGTCCGTCGTCCTCTTCCCTAAACTGGAGCCCGCCGGGGATCTTGAGGGCATCCCGCACCCATTCTTGCGCGGCCACCTTGGCGACGCTCCAGCGGCTGCGGGCCCGCTTGAGGAGGCCCTCGGTGATCTCCATGGCGCCGAGGAGATCGTTCTCGGCAAACTTGGCCTCGTTGGCCTCGTGGTCGCCGTCCTCGCCGGCGTACTCGGCCCATCGCCACTCCACTCGCGCGATGCGGTGGCTGGTGCGGCTGCGCATGCGGTGCGCATCGCTCATCCCAGGATGTGGATCGAAGGGGAGACGGGCCTCGAGCAGGGCGTACAGCAGCACGCCGAGGGACCAGGCGTCGGTGGCGCGCCCGTCGTAGGGCTGACCCATGATGACCTCGGGAGCGGCATAGTCATCGGAGCCACATCGCGTCTCGAGCTTCTCATCATCGGCGATGCGCCGAGAGAGACCAAGGTCGGCCAAGGTGACGATGGAGTGGGGGAATGTCTGCCAGTCAACGGACGGGTCTCCGAGCTCTTCCGGCGTCAGGTTGACGAGGACGTCTGGACAAGGTCAGCCTGGTACATCCACACACTAAATCACAGTCTAGACTTACTCTCGAGCTTTATGTCTCGATGGACGATGCGTCGCTCGTGCAGGTAGCCGACCGCGCCCACGACCTCGGCAAACATTCTCCTCATAAGTGCCGGTTTCAGAAGACTCCGGTGCGCCGTCGCAATGTCGAATAGGTCGCCGCCTGGGCAGTAGCTGAGTACCAGGATGGCCCGCGTAGGCTCGATACTCCACGCCTTGAGGTTGACCAGTGACGGGTGGTGTATGCTCTGCATAATCTCGAGCTCGCGCTTCAAGCTCATCTCGACGCGTTCCTCGGACGCTCCACCACGGGGACCATGCTCGCAGACTTTTATGGCCACCAGCTTCTTGCGGTCCATGCTGCCGTCGACGGCGGGCGACAGCGGGCCGGAACTCGACTCCCTAGAGCCGCCGTTGGGGTCCGCCTGACTTGTAGCAAGCATGACCCGGCTGAACGTGCCCTGGCCGAGGAAACTTATGGCCCTCCATCGCCGCAACTTGTTGTCGCCCCTGGTCCGGGCTTGGAAATACTCGAACCGCGACTCCTTGGGCTTGGTCGCGTCAGTCGAGTCTCTTGATGACTCGCTGGGCGGGGGCGTGGGGGGTTGTGCAACGGCAGTCAAGCCACGGGACTCTGCATAGTTGGGTTCCCTCCTGATATGCGCCTCCATGCCATCCGAGGGGCCAATCCTAGCATGGGAGCCCGAGACGACCACGGGTCGCTTAGGCGAGGACATCGGCTCCGGAACGTAGTCGCTGACGCTCCGAGCTCTCGAGTGCTGGGGCTGCAGGGACTGCTGGACGTCGTGGGAGACTGGCGGTGGGACGTTGTTTGCCCCGTCGAGGTTGGCATACATCTTGCGTCTGGAGGCGTGAGACGCAGCCACTTCGATTGGCTCGCCTCCAGACGTGACGAGAATCGATGCCTCTCCCAGGCTCCGTAGCCGAGCGCGTGTTCGAGGGGGCGAGGTGGGCTCGGCGCCGCCCAGCTTCTTCCACGGTCCGGGGGAGTCGCCTGACAGCAGGGGGCTCGGTAGGGGTGTCATGTCGCCCATCGCCGCGATGACGGGACTCGGGATGACGCTGTTGGTCCCAGCGGATCCGATGCTGTTGGTGAGGGCGGCCTTGAGGCTCGGCGTTCTCGACACTGAAGGGAGGCTGCCGGCGGAGGCCTTGCGCGTCATGAACCGCGACGGCGACAGGTTCCTGTTGGAACTAAGCGAATCGGGCGGCGGAAGAGCCGACGCGTTCGGGCTACGCGACAAGAGGTCTGTTGATATTCGAAGGGGCGTCGCGGGGCCGTGGGAGGACTTATCCTGGGAGGGTTGAGAAGTCGTTGGCAGCGGCCTCGCGTGCTGCGGTTCTATCTGAGATGGGGGAGGAGAGGGCGCGATGGTGTTGGTTTGGAAGAGGAGCGCGGGTTGAGCTGGAGATGCAGAGGCATCACGCGAAACGGCAGAGGCTGCATCTTGAACAACATTGGGTCGGCCGGGCGTAGGTTTGTCGGAAGGTAAAGTCGTCGTCATTCGGGGCTGTGGCGGGCCGTTCATGGTTGCGCCGGCACAAAACTTATCTGCACAGCGTCTGATTTAGTCCCAAGGTCCTACACGTCAATGGGGATGACAGCAGCGAGTGGGCTCGTACACCGTGACGCTGTGTCGCGTCGTGCACGACGAGGTGCCAGGCGTGGCGGCCGGCGGACGAGGTTCGGCGCGCCGGAGTCACCACGTTGAAGCGGGAGCGCGGGCGGACGAGGGAGGGATTCGGCGGGCAGAGGGAGGGGACCAAGGTCGAGGCTCCTCTATAACAAGGACATGGGCGCGGTGTTGTGTGCCTTGTAGCAGACGGCGAGGGCGGCGGCAGCGGGCCGGAGAGGCGCGGAGAGCGGTGGTGGATGTCGAAGCAGAGCGGCAGCGATGGACGATCAAACGGTTGAGGTTGAAAGAGGCCGGCCAGAGACGGGCAGTCAGTGGGCGTCGTGCATGGATGGGAGCTCGCGAGTGGCAGCTTAGGGGGGGGCCCGGGCGGGTTGGGGTGGAGCCTGCTCCGGGCGTGGAGTGAGTCGTCGCTGGCCCGATAGTGGACTGGAGGCGCTGACTGGACGGGCAGTGGGTGAAGCCAGCGATTGACGGAGCTGCCCTGCTCCCTCCACTGTCGGCCGCAGGGCGGGAATGAAAACCGGGGCAGTGGGCGAGGCGGGTTCAAGGTTACCGACAGGGCCGTCTCAGTGCCGGCCATTCACTAGCGCTGGCATTTTCCAGTGGAGGGCAGCCCCCCCGAATGATGCATTGTGCGGGAGGCGCGGCACCGTGGGCGCTGAACCTTGAACTCACTTTACCCTGCCAGAAAACCTTACGAGTACATGCTGTATCACCGTCCCATCACTGCAATGGATGGCGCGACGGGAGCGACCTCTGGAATGCTGGCGCCGCATGCCTGCCCGCCCCGGCCGTCCGCCACTGGAACGCCCTGCTCGCCCATTCCCCAACGAGCCGCCAATCGAGGCCAACTGCGAGACTCAGATGTTAAATTGGCGGTGGGGATGAGGCACTTGCCAATGAGGGCAGCCAGAGGGCGCTCGAGATTGCCCTGCCCGTGCTGGTGCTGTTGCTGTTGGACAGCCCGCCCTTTTTCCCACGCAGGCACCTCACTCAACGGGTTGTGGCGGGCAGAGTGGCCGTCCTGCAGTGCGGATGCTACGTTTCCTTCAAGCACCGCACCTCGCCGGCCGCACCCATGCACGCCCTGTCAGGCACTGCAAAAGGCGGGGGAGACGGACCGGGGGGGCGATGGAGCGGTCCGGACCTCGTATGGCAAATGAGGGCCGTTCTGCGCTCGTGACGAAGGGCTGACTACCTTGCCTTGTCGAGGCAGTCCGTACACGCAGACCACCAATTGCGTTTCGCGATCCTCTCTGCGCACTGAGTAGAATGTCTCTTGCGAGGGAGCGTCACGAGACCTCGACATGCCTGACTGACTGTCCCGGCCGTGTCTCGCTTTTGGCGCCGGACGGCCGCTCCGCAACTCGGCATGCTGCCCCGGTGCGACAGGGGGTCCCGGTCCCGGCCCCCGGCCCACGCGCCCCGGTTTCCGGCTTCTGCCATCATGCTCGCTTGTCCATGTCACGCGCTGGCGTTGGCATTGCGGCACATCTTTAAATATATTAGCACTGGCATTGTCGCGTGCAGATGCAGCACAGTCGTCTGCGTCTCGTCCGTCTGTCGACCGCCTCGTAGTTGAGACGAGTAAGTAATTACATCGCTACCCCCCGGGCTCGCATCGCTTCCTTCCTCTCCTCCTGCACGTGTTCGGCCAGCCTGCAGTCAGGGCACTGCACCTTGATCCCGGCCGCGAACCACTTGACCGAAGACTGCCACAGCTCGCCCTCCGGCCTGCTCCATCCCGACGTGTCGGTCCGGGCCAGCTGCGCCGCCCAGAACCCCCTGCGGGTCGGGCGATATCTGCAGCAGTCCAGGCATAGATTCCAGGTCCTGTCGACCCTGCCCCTCGAGTCCCGCGGCCGGAGACGGCCGAGCAGGTATGACATGTTGATGCACTTACATTGGCCCGTCTGCTCGCGATCCTGTGGTGCCGAGGGGCTCCATTGTTGTCGATGCCGCGTGGGATCCGGCACCGTCAGATGGCATAGGGCGGCGATGCCGAGCAGTGCTTTGCAGGACAGGGCCAGGAGTATGCTATCCACGGGTTCCGCTTCAGCAAAGACCTGGGTGAGCAGCTCCGTTGGCAGTTTGGCAAGGAGTGGTCCCGGGTCCCCAGCATCGGCGGTCAGCTGTCGCGAATATGAGCAGCGATTCCCGTCACGGCCGCGAAACCATACCGACCTCTGCGGGTATCCTGAACAATGTAGTCGCAGGGCAAGTGCCAAGAAGGGGCCGTCTGCTGCTCCGCCGCAGCGTAGGCGGCATGACGATGCGGCAGGCCTTGACATCTGCCGTCGTCCAGTCGTGAATAGATGACGCAGGGTAGGCAGATGGTGCGCTTCGTTGCGGAACGGGGCACGGCAGACGAAGTTCGTTAGTGGGGGCGACACCACTGCAACCGCGCGCTACCAACCTGGAGGTGCTGGTTGGCCCTCGCTCTTAATTGAAACCCCACCCGTCGCGTCTTGTCGCGTCTCCCAGTCTGCCCGTCTTCACTGCCCTCACGTTCGTCGTGAATCGTGTCGTCAACACTCGCTCGCCCCAACACACACCGGCAACATGCTGCGACACGATCACAACCGCATCGACCCCAAGCGGCGCAATGTGCTCGACCACCGCAAGAGGCAGTTTGCCACGCCGCTGTACAAAGATGCCGAGTACCCCCACCGCCTCAACTTTTACGCCGACGCGCCCACGGCCGACATTACCCTCGAGCAGTTTGAGCAGTGGGCGATTGACAGGCTGAGAGGTGGTCTCTCTTGCTCTTGATCAGCGCGCCCCAATATGCTGACGCCGCGCAGTCCTGGCCGAGCTGGAAGCATGCTCGTTCCGCAACAGGTCGCCCGCCGAGACGGCGACGCACATGAAGCCCATTGTCGACAAGTACCTGCCCCTCGACACCAATAGCTCTGCTTCCAGCAAGCTCTTCTCCCAGCGGCAAAAGGACCACTACAGCCACTTTATCCTCCGCCTCGCCTTCTCGTCCACCGAGGACCTGCGTCGGCGGTTCACGCGTGTCGAGACGATGCTCTTCCGGATGCGCTTCAACAGCGACGACCTCGCCGAGCGGTCCGCGTTCGTCTCGAGCCTCGACCTCGACTGGTGGGAGGCTGTTACCGACGACGAGAGGGACGAGTTTGCGGCCGAGCTAGCAGCCATGATGGGCCCCAGGAAGGGCAACGCCGAGGACGACACGTGGTTCAAGGTGGACTGGGAGCGCGTGCCGGAGCTCGTGGAGCAGCGCCGCGTCTTCCTCAAGCGCGGCAAGGCGTTTGTGCCGGGCCGGGAACAGTCGAGCATGGTTGTCGCCGAGTTTTCTACCCGGCTTGAGAAGCAGCTCGAGGTACAGCCGCTCGCGAGAACCCCGTCACCCACTGCGACTGACATGATTTCATTTTAGCTGACGGCGCGCGCCCTGCCCCGGCTCGATGAGGACGACCGCCTCACGCCCATTCTCAATCACCTGTCCAAGAACTTCATCACGCCCGACTCCGCCTACATGTCCAACACGTCGGCGCCCATCGGCGCGCAGATCAGCGCCAGCAACATCGACAACCTGTCGCAGCACTTCCCCGCGTGCATGTCGCACCTGCACCGCACGCTGCGCGCCACGGGCCACCTCAAGCACTACGGGCGCCTGCAGTACACGCTCTTCCTCAAGGGCATCGGGCTGACGCTCGAGGAGTCGCTGGTATTCTGGCGCACCGGCATGCGCTCCAAGACGGACGACGAGTTCAACAAGGAGTACCGCTACAACGTGCGGCACGCGTACGGCGACGTGGGCGGCGACGGGAACCGGCGTGGCGGCGGTTACAGCCCCTTCAGCTGCCAGAAGATCCTCACGGAGCACCAGCCCGGCGCGGGCGATGCGCACGGGTGCCCGTACCGGCACTTCAACGTGGAGAACCTGTCGACGCTGGTGCAGGCGATGGGCGTGACGGACCAATCGGTGCTGCGCGGCGTCCGCGAGGACAAGGAGGCCCAGAAGTTTCACATGGCGTGCAACCGGTAAGGCCCCTTGACGAGTGCTGTGTGTGCGACTAGCCGCTAACAAGTTTACCTCTCACGCAGCGTCTTTGAGCACCTGCACAAGGCGGAGATTAAGAAGGCCAAGGACGAGGGCGTCTTGACGGCGAACCAGCTCGAGACGATTGTGCACCCCAACGAGTACTTCAAGCGGAGCTACCTGCTCAAGAACCTGGGCAAGGAGACGGATGTTAAGATGGAGGGATGAGGGACGACTTTACGGATGGACGAAGCGTGAGAGCTGCACGAGGAGAGGACGCGCGGTGAAGGTTGGCGTAGGCGAGCGCGGCATACTGGAGTTTGGCGTTTGGGCGTGGCATCATATACGATACTTGTGTGATTTGTGGCTGAGAGGGCTTGTGCACGTCCTTGGCCTGACTGTCGATGCCCTTTGCCGGTTGCTTCGCGGGCACGGGCGAAGGGAAAGTCTACGCCTGTCCTGAGCATTGTATTTTATACCAAGTACAATTTTGTTGAGTAACGCACATTCGCCGCATGCAACAGCCCCTTATGCGAGCGCCTCTCATGGCTGATAGCATATGTGGTGCGGCTGGACAAGCCCATGGCTGTGGAACGAGATGCCGCTATCCCGGAGAGTCGCCATCACCGCGTCTTACTCCAGCAGCCCATGCGTATACGTCTTTCACATTCATCACCAAGCCCGACGACGCATTCCCATGTGCGGGTGCGTGCTTCACCAACGCGCGGTTGTTGTTGTAAGCGGGGGTGTCACAGCTCACGCCCTTTCCTCCTCACCCTCGAATATTGCATTGGGGGCACGTTACTCTCCTACCTACGTGCAGAGAGAGACAGAGACAAAGAGACACGCACACACCCCTCCCGCGACCCTGGATCGCGATCGCTCGACCCCCTGGCAAATTAAAGAAGGAAAAAAAAAAGTGACAGCAGGGGAAGGTGGGAGGGGAGATGGAGATGGGGGCCGGCTTGAGGCGGTTGGGGCGGTCTGGTTGGCATGACCTGTGCCTGGTGAGCTGCGCGATGAGGTCAGAGTGATAATACCTACATAATAGCAATGGGCGGGGAGGGGTTCGGAGGGTTTTTGGGGAGGGTAGACAGACCCCTGTCGCGGGATGACCTCATAGGGCGACAGACTATTGATGCGTTTTTGGTGAGAGAGGATTGTGTGTCCGGCCCGGCATGTGTGTGTGTGTGGTCCTGTCTGCAGGGTATCGTAGGGTTCCGGGTTGCGTGTGTTTGCTTCCCTGGTTGAACCCCTGGCGCGGGATGGGGTGGGATGTGAAGACGGTGGAGAGAGGGGTCTTGGTGTTGAGGAGGATCATGACGCTGGATGGGTGGGCATGTTTGCTGCCGTGCTGCCAAGTTTGATGCGCCGCGAGGGACCATGTCTGTCAGCGTGACGATGCAGATACATGGCTGATAATAGATCTTTTGCCCTGGTATTTCTTTTTTCTTGCTTGTCGCCGTCAGCCACTTACAGGAACAATGTGTGGTGCTGGTGATGAGGCGACATGGCGGGTGCATCCAGTCGACAGGAACCCCCTCCCAGTCACCCAAGCGGGCACGTCCGGTCGCCGTGCAGTGCCACTGTACTACTGCTACTACGTAAAGCAATGCTATCGAAAGAAGTTGATGCAACAAAGCGGGCTGCTGCTAATTTGACCTCTTTTTCTGCCCGGCGGCACGCCGGGGTTCAATGCGGTTCACAGCCCCAGCGGCCGGATGGGCCAGCGCCGGAGTCTCTGGCTGGCCCGGAGCACGGCACGGCACAGCACCGCGCCGCACCCAAATATAGGGTCTCCACGAACGGGACAACTCTTTTTATCGCAAGTCGCGAAGGGCAGTGATGACAAAAAAAACCCGGCCCCAGCCCAGCCTCTCTGTGCGGTTTCATCGTTTCGTGCCCACGAACGCACCAACTGCTGTACGTTGGCGCCCACACGCCGAAGCGGGCGGGAGAGCTTGGGCCCTGGCTGCTGCTGGCCCCGGTTGTTGCGATTGATGGAGGGCACAGGACAGGACAGGACAAGGGGGATGGGGGCACGAGGGACGAGGAGCCCGTGTCGGGAGTTGGCGCGCGCTCGTATCTGCAGTCCCGCCCCATCAGGAAAACAGGAGCTATTTTGAGCACCCACGACGGGGGCGGGCGCCACTACATTTACGTGCATGCTGAGAATGGAGCAGGCTCTCAAGGCAAAGGTAAGGCAAGCTTGGCAAGGTAAATTATAACTGGGCTTGACGTTGGTGGTGCCGAGGTGCCTGTGTCCTGGGTGCCATTGACATGGAGGCAGGAGGAGGACCTGCTTGCCGTGCCGGCCGCAACTCTCTCTCTCTCTCTCTGCGCTGCTACAAGGCTGCAACACGGCATCGCGCCTCGTATCTTGGGTTTGACAATGCGTATATTACTGTACTCGTACTTGCGAGAGGGGGAGTGAAATCATCTTGGCGTGGGCGTGCTTGGCGGTGTGCAAGATGATGCTGTACGAGATGAGCATAGCGTGAGAGGAGCCTTCGAGGAGGGAGAGCAGGACAAGGACCCCACGCTGTTAGCGCACGCGCTCACACGCTTGCCCGGGCATGCGGGCCGCCGCCCATCCACGTCCATTCTTGCAAGCTCGACGCCCATTCACAGGGGAACGGGCCACTGGACGCACAGTGACGTTAGGGGGGCGCTGGTCCCGCGCGAACTTAACATCGGCTCGGCGGCTGCCGCGGCAGTCAGGCACTCCAATGCAAGTCCAACAACGTACGTCGCCCACGTCGACGACGAAGACACGGCAGTGACGCCCTCACCGTTTCGATTTAGAACGCACTCTTACGTACGTATGTAACGGTGCGGGGGCGCTTGGCATTGGCATTGGCATTGGCAGAGGCAAGGCACATGCCGACTTACACGGCATTTCCCTCAGGCGCAGATCGTCATCCGGCCCCCGCACACGTCATGACAATCATCTCATCCCCCCTCTCCTCCGTCCCTCCCTGACGAACGCGCCGACTTCCTCAGGGTCCAGCCGGCACGTGGGAAGCCGCGCCTTGATGGGACGGCGGCGGTCCGGCGCAAGGGAAAAAGGGCATGGTGATCAGCGGCTGGGGAGCGGCACCACAAGAGATGGTGTAACTTGGATCGACTGGTGCTCGTCGCGCTGGCGCGTCGATCGTTGGTGCCGCTCGGTACCAGCTCGCTGGGGTTGATGGCCATCTGCCCCAGGGGGCTTGAGGTTGGGGAGACGGGGGAACGTGCGCAGGCAGAGGGCATAGATATGCAGTATATCCGGTATATGTGCTATGCGGGCTGACGTAGCTCTGGGTTCGAACCGTTCTCGCAGGAAGGCAAGGCGACCTTGAGCTCCTCCCAATAGCCTGTGCCGGCTGGCTTATTATTAGATCCTTAATTGCACCCTCCCCCAAAGGTTGCGGCTCAACTGCTCCATTATAGAATGACACGGTGCTTTCCAATCCGTCCTGTGTCGGCATTTAGAGAAATGAAAAGGGACCGGCCGGCCATCTCATTGTCCACACGCCTCCGTTTCGCAATGTTCGAACAGTTAGCGCCAGGGGTCGCATTCCATTCCATTCCGTTCCAGATACGCCGCTTCCCGGGCTACGCGGCACCATCCTCTTTTTCACTCGCAGATTCACAACACTCGTAGCTTATTTTGGGTGCGATGCCGCCGAAGCGCCATAACACACACGTACGAGCCAACAGCGCGTTTGCGTGGCGCCCGCCCCCCAAACGGTGTTGTATAACAAGCGCGACCACGCGCGCATAGGGACGCGTGTACTTTGCCTGTGTCAAGCAAGATGAGGAGGAGACAATATCGGCCGAGACACGTGCGTGGGTTGCCGTTTCAGAATACATAGTTGGAACACATCTGGCTTGACCTGCCCAACACGGAAATAGAGAGTTACGAGTACATCCACCGGTCCAACACGCGCAAGACTACTTCGTACGTATCGCCAACTCATCAGTCGTTGATTCGAGCTGCTCAGGACTCTGCCGTTATGCCGTACGTACGAAGTACATACCCCTTGCGAGTCCACCTGTTGGTACCTTTACACTGACTGGTAACATGTGTTACACGGCTGGGAAAGGCTGCCCGCCCGTTGAAGCCCAATGACCCACGCCGAAAATGGGGCGGGGGGCTTCGTCACTGAGTCGTGTCTATTGATGTCTGAGTCTCTCGGACATGAAGGATGAACCCCCCCTGGCTGGCTGGCCTGGCCTCCTCTGCAATGCACAGTACATGATGGAAAAGTACCAGCGCCAAGGAGAGACACAGAGGCTGCCCAAAGAGAGCCAAAGAGGCAAGCAGACAAGAGAGAGAAGAAAAAAAAAAGAGGGCCCACAGCCCATGAATTTTCTCCACCGCTCTCAGGCACGCGAGTCCCACGCTCGACCTGGTGGAGACGCCCCAGCCTGGGTGTCGGGACAGACGGTTCGTTTCAAATGCGAACACACTCCAGTTCTTCCTGTCTTGCCTTGTCTCTCTCTCTCTCTCTCTCTTGGGCCGTCTTTCCCGTCAAACCCGTTCAGCCTGTCCCCGTCCCACCTTTTCTTGTCTCTCTGTTCTCTTCAGCCCCAACGGTGGACGACACGCCCCAGCGACACGCCAGCCCAACCAGGCCCAGGCCCAGCCCACGCGCGGCACGCTCGGCCGCCGCCCATTTTTAACCTGCTATTAACCAGGCCAGCCTGGCGAGAAGGGGAAAAAAAAAACGCCTGGTAATAAATTACGCGTAAGGTGCTGGCGCATTTGGTCTCGTTACGCTCTACAAGTACTGGGCTGGACTGGCGAGACTGGGTCCTCGTCCGCCAAGGCCCAAATGGAACTGACCCAGACCCAGAGACCCAGGGACGCAAAACAAGCCCCGTTATTATTACTATGGATTCAGGTTCTTGTCCTCGGGTCTGCAAAGACCACGTACCCAAGTACCTTACCTCGTACAGTAATAACGAGAAGGGCAAAAAAAAAATTGTTTGCTGTAAACCAAGGCACACGCGACGAGGCTAGCCTGCTGCCGGGCCATGCAGCCCAGCCAGGAAGGACGGACATTCGTGGAATGTTCTCGAGAAGAACCAGGACACGATCGCGCCGCAAAATCGAACCCGACAAGGCAAGGGGGGCTGCCATCTAATACAGTCCACAGCAATCACTGACACCCTGTAAAAATTTTTGTCTGCTGTTGCTGCAAGACAAAGCAAGACAAGGCAAAGCATGTGAAGATGCGCGACTTGGGCTGGTGACCACCACCACCACGTTCCTTGGTGAGAGGCGCATGGCGCAGATCGTCCATTATGCGGGCGCACGGCAGCGCACAGACGCTATTGGCAAACCACATGGCACATGGCTAAACCTTATGTACGAGGGTCGACGAAAAAAAAAAGCTTCATTCAAAGTGTCAGTGGAAAATCGTAGCAAGTAAATGTGTCGGCGGTGAAGCCAGTGATTTCGTATTCATCGTGGGTCTAGATATCTCGTCATACGGACTGCCCAGCAGCCGTTGCTCGCACTCCACAAGACACATTCTGAAATGTCCTCGTCCTCAATTTGCTCTAATCTGCTGTGGTATCATTCTCTCCGAGCGCCATGCGCTGCTGCTGTCCACCTCATGGGCTGTGCTGACGCGCAGCAAGCCCTCCCAATCCGCGTACGTCGCCGGGGGGTCCCCAGGCAAGCCCCGTAGGGCATGGCTGGGTGGCGCGTATCCGTTTGGATTCCAGCGCCAAATTGAGTCGCGCAAGGCGCAGCCCGACTGCTCAGGACCATTGCAGTCCCGCTGCAACGAGCCCAGAACGGGACGGTGCCGCACCAGTTCGTGAAACCCCGTGGTGCAACGGCGTCTTCGTGGCGGGCCGCACGGCGTGCGACGTGACCACTGCGCTGCCGAGTGTCAAAAGGCGACGCATGGGCCATCCCTGCGCGCCCGCTGCCCAGCGGAATGGGTGTCCATTGCACCGGCAGCCTGCCTGCCGCTCGAGCCAAATGCCGCAAACGCGCCCGCCAAGAATAGCAGCAATCTTCAGATCTGGGAATACCAGCGCCTCCATCTGTCCGCTTTCCTGTACCTTCCCAACAGCGCACTGCCTCGTGCCAAGTCCTACCGCTGCCTGCATGCAGGCCGACGAACAAGGAGACAGGGAGAAACGCGAGCGCATTTTGGTTGGTCGGGCGCCGATGGTGATGCGAGACAGGGACCGGGGGCTGGCACAGCTCTGCTGCACGCCGCTGAGTTGGGCATCAGCCTTGGATGCGCTTCGGCCCTTTTGGTCCATCCAGCTCGACCTTTGGATGCATTCGTGCGCATTGGCGAATTCTGCTGCTCGGCATCTCCGATCCGAATGGCGACAGTCTCGCTCGGGGACGTGGGCGGGCGTAAACATGGATCATCGACGCGACCACAGTGTCGCATCGACGGCTCCAAGTGCAAGTGCAGAGGCGCATACCAGGACTAGTCGGCTCGAGGAGCAGACGCTTCCTTTGGTATGACCTAAGCTTGCAGAGGCCGATTGGTGAGGGAAACTGCGGCTCTTCGCGTGGCGTGTCGTAGGCTTCGACAACCATCTCGCGATGTGCCGGCAGCGGCATGCTCATCCGCAGCTGGTGGCGTCCTTGTGCCGGCAAGGCGATAAAACAATGGGGTTCGCTTCGGGGTATCATTTTCGGTCGCTAGAAAAGTGCATCTTGTTGTGTATAGATGCCAGTGAAGCGCCGGTAACACAGGGTAGTCGCTCCAGTAACAAGGGTGAGTCGTCGTCGTCGTCGGTTGTTTGTGTAAGCCACCACGGGCCAGCGTGCGGCCGCTTATTTGTAGCCCACCATCTTGGCGCACCTCTCGCAGTAGTAGAGGTTGTGGGCGATGCGGACCATGCCCGTCGAGCTCACGTCGTCTGTCGAGGTGGCCTCGACGGCGCGGGCGCAGCGCATGCAGCGCAGGACCTCGACCGAGGCGACGGGGCGGGTGGCGGTGGAATCCATGCTGTGTCGGAAGCCGGCGACAGAAGTTGAGTCGATGGACGCGTCAGAGTCGGACGACGAGGAGGAAGAGGAGGAGACGAATGATTTGCTGGATGGTCGGTTGGGCATGATGCAGGTATATATGCGTGCCCTACTGAGTGTGCGTGGTGCGCGTGTGTAAATGTAGGATCCTGCGTGAGACAGGGGGCCGCAGGCGCGGGAGCAAGGGCTCGATGTTGACAGCCGAAAGGGTCCTTCTGTCTTGTCGATGATTCTTCGGCAAGGGTCTTGGTTTGAGAAGAAGGGTATTTTTACCCAAATGAAGGGGCGTCCTGAATCGTGGCTAGGCCGGGGGGTACGTCTGCTCGAATCGGATGTGGTTGCCAGAGATAGATGGATGTCAGACGTGGGTTGGTGGCCGGTGCTTATTCCCAGGCAGGCGAGCGTGGGTCGTCGGCGAGGGCGAGGGCGAAGACGGGCGAGGGCGAGAAGCAGTTGGGAAAGCTATCGCAAGGGGACCGCTGCCGTCCTTTGTGTGTTTGAATATATCTGGAGTGAAGAGGAGGAGGACGCGAGCAAGGTTGGGGGTGTGTGGGAGGCAAGCCTTGTTAAAGTAAAGCGAGAAGGGAGGGAAGGGTCCCTTTTTCTCGATGGGCCTCGATGAGCGCGATGAGTCCTCGGGCCTTGGTTCGCAGCGCCAGGTTACCACGCTCTTTGCGAGAGCAAGGGGGGGGGGGGGTCCAGGACAGGACTGGCATGGATGGGACGGAGGCGTGTGTGCTGGGGTGGCTCGATCGACGATTTTGATGGATGGGTTGTCGGCGTGCCCACGGTACGTGGATCGGCTGAGGCCGCGCACCCACCCGCGCCCCAGTAGGCGCACAGTCGCATTCCTCAAGCGTGGGTATGCGCTGTAGCGGGGCGCCGGACGGGCTCCTGGAGGCTGCGCCGCGTTGCTGTGCCCCGAGCATCCGGCGGGACATGCACGTACCGGGGCGGCGAGGGGGGCGTGCGCGTCGTTCGTCCGGCCCGCCCAGGACTTTGGGCGCCGCGCCCGGCGACTCCATTTGCCGTGAAGCCGGGGTGCCGTGGCTCTGCCTGGCAGTTGTTGTGCGCATTGCCTATTCTTTTGGCTTTGTTGTTGTTGATGCCATGTCGGCCTTGGGGAGCAATTACAGTGCCGCATCAACATGCGCCCTTTGCCTCCCTTCAAAGAAATGCCGCGATTGATTTGGTTTTTTTTTTTGTGTGCACTTTATTTGCAGAGAGAGCGCCGGCTTTGACGAGGCGCGCCATGTGCCCTTTTCATCTTACGCGGCGTCTGCAGGGCAACTTCCGGCCCTTCCAGCGCAAGCAGGGGGGCGGCCTGCGCGGGCGTACGGCAACGCCCGCCCAGAGCGCCCCAAGCGAGGGCGCGAGCAGCACGACGCAGCGCAGTGCAGTGTCTTCATTAAACATTAGAAAACAGGACAGGGCTTATTTTTGCAACAGCTGACGGTCCTGCCCGGCATCGAAAAAAGATGACAGTGACCACTCGTTACAGCACGCACGCACGCATACACGCACATACGTACTTCGTAACATGTAAGCCAGGCCATGCACGCAGCCGTCACCGAAGACTCCTTGCTCGTGGCCTGATCGATGAGCGAGCCGGTCGCATTGGAGCTACTCTACCTACCTGACCTACCTTGCTTGGGCCGGAGCAACGGCCAGCCACCCCGACCGACCAAGCAATCGTCCACGAACCGACCCTAGGTAGCGCCAAGCAGTCAGTCCCCTTCCAGCGTTGCCGGGCGTGTGCCTTTTGGCGGAGTCAGAGTCTGCCTGCGCCTATCCGGGCGGGCACTTTTCCCACCTCGCCCGTCCTTGGGCGGATGGATGGCGCTATGCAGTACCTGCAGCGGTCCCTCGTAGCCTGTCTGCACCTTCGGCAGCGGGCGTCAGGCGCCTCGTCGTCTCATGTGCCGCTTGGCGCCGAGGCGTGCGAGGCGGCCGTTTTATTGCTTCGTCGCGGCCTCAAGCGCAAACTCAAAGCCCCCCCGGCTTCTGGAAGCAATGCCATGCCGTGCCCGTTGCCCGTTTGCCAACCCATGCCTCCCTCCCTCCCCAGAGGAAAAGCAAAAGAGCAAGGCGGCGGCCGGCCGGCCGGCTGCATCGGGGCCCCGACGACGAGCGGGCGACGCCAACCCCAATGCTCTCCGGGCCAAGCCGAGCAGAGTTGAGCCCAGCAAGGTAGCCTTTACGGATCCTGCGCTACGGCGCGCTGGTGCCGTGCTGTGTCTTGTCTCTGCGCCGCCGTGCCCGACGGCCGATGCCTGTCGCAAAGGCCGATGCCGCCGCGCCGCGTTGCTGGCGGGCTTGCAAGGGAGCTTGCGCCCAAACCGTCGTGCTGACGCGAGAGCGACTGCTCATGGCACGTCCCGTGATGAGCGCCGCGGGCTCGATGGATGACCAGTCCAAGATGTGTCTGCATCTGCCCGTCCGGAAATCGAATGCCACGGCTATGACGGGCGGCTGCGGCATGCTCACGTCGCGACGAGAGGCGTGGGATGACCGGCCGGGCCCTGGACGCTACTTGATGCCCGCCGGGGACATTTGCGCGTGCAATTCACGCCGTTGCATGCGACGTGGCCGCGCGCGCATCGCGAACAGCAGATGGAATCAACATTCGTCGACATTGCCGTCTCTTGCGCATCGTGCTCGCCGGCGAGTGCTTCGCCCGGGCGGCCGCGATCCCGAGCTACCGCCGCCGCGTAAGCTTTGCGCGTGGACGGTTCTGTGGCGTCTACTCCTGCTACAGCGTCTTCGGAGCCTGGTTGCGTGAACTCTGCCTCCCCAAAAAGGGCGGATGCTTCGGCGCCGGCACGGCACGGCCTGGTGAGTATCCATGATGCCTGCTTGCCGTGCGCCGACGCGGTTTCCAGGATGGGCTGGCGAGCATGATGTGACTCACCGGGGCCGCAGAGGGATCAATATTATTACACGTCGTCGGGTGCAGAGGCCATGATGCTCTGCTGTTTCTGCTGCGACGACTCATTACATGACGGCCATCTTGGCAAGACGGTGGTGGCCCGCTGGGCAGCGGCGCCCGTGCGCTGTATTGCCCGTGTACGGCCAGTGTCCTGCGCGTCCATTTGTCTGAGGTGGCCCATGCCCGCGGGCGAGGCTTGGCTGCCTGGGCTTACGAGTTCTCCATCACGGTCTGAAGCGACTGCGCCCCGGTAGTTGCATCTCCGGCGCAAGGCTGCCCGGGGAGGGGTGTGTGGCCTCTCTGGCTGGCCTTTTGGGCAGTTTTGTGCTGTAGCCTGCTGTTGTGCGTTGCATGCCCGCTGTTCTGTACCTACTGAGCCGTACCTACCTACTGTGCTGCACTGTAGCCGGGTGCTTCTGCCCAACCCGATCAGACAGTGTGGAAAAACAAGGCCTGGCCGGCTCAACGCGCAAGAAACATGAGCGGAGCCAGCCCAGGACTGCGAGGCGCCGTTGGCCCTGTTTCGGATACACAGTCGTTGGCAACGAGACACGGCAGCCCTGGGAGCTTGTCTGACTGCGGCGCTGGGCGTGGCTGCGCTGCTGCGACGGACGGGCAGTGTCTGACTGGCAGCCCGAGGTGAGCTGGCGGTTTGAGGCTGTGCCCTAATCCAGGCTAGCGCCATCGGCGTCTCCTTGATGTCCCTGCAAATCTCCGATCGAGGAGGCCCCTGAAGCCCCAATCCGCGCACCGTTTCGCCCTCCCGCCTCGCTTCGCCCTCCGTTTTGCCCTTTGCACCCTTGGCGCCCACAGACGAGACGACGCCGTCAGGGCGGCCACCCCGTTTTCTCTGCTCCACGGCGCGTGGAGGCTGCGACTCCGTCTCCAATCGGACCAGCACTCCGTAACGGAGGGCCGTCCTGTTCCTGTTTTCGGCCCACGTTTTCGGCCCCCGCCCTCCTCCCACGCTCGCAAAACCCACGCACCCCCGGTTTATTACGGACGACACCTGGTTCAGCTGAGATGGGCCAATCCGTCAAACTCTAAAAGCATAATCGCTCGCGGGACGCGCGACCGCGAAAAGAAAAAGTCCGTCGTGGCCGGTCTCCGAGCGAGGCGCAATGCCGTTGGGCCGCAGCTGCAACGGTGGGGTACCTGATTCAAAACGGCCGTGCTGCTGTCCAGCAGAGTTTCGTCGACGCTCCTCGCTGTTGGTAGCTGCCGCGTCTGCCTTGCGCCTCGGCCTGCGAAAGTGGCCTGGTCCCGGCGCGCATCAAGGAAAAAGGGTCGTCCTGCCAAAGGTGCATATTGTTCGAGGGGGGCCCAGTGCAAGGGTTCTGGACGATCCAACGAAAACATTCGATTGTCCCCCGCTGGGCACTACATCTGTTGCAGCCGTCGACTCTAGCACCGTGCAAAACGTGGCAGGCTTTTCCCGGGTCCGACCTGTCGCCTCTGCTCGTACGGCCAGATGGCGTCGTCTGAAACGGAGCCATGTGGGCGAGGCCTTGTCTGAAAAAGTCCCGCTTCGAGACGGCCTGCCGGACTCGGGTTGTCCTGCCGTGCCCGAAGATGGATGGGCACCACGCAATGTACTCGTAACCGACGCGTCGTATGAAGTACTGACAATACTGTGCTCAGGCCGTTTTCTGCGCGACTCGCCGTTGCCACGGGCTGCCGTTGCCCGAGCGGTGCGTTGGACATCAACGCCGCTGCATCGTGATCCTGGCCGGCTTCCACTTATCTGCAACTGCCTCATTACCGCGCAGCACCACTTTCCACATGGCGGCCTGATCTGCACAGATGCATCAAACCCACCTCATCCAGACATCACGTCCTTTCCTGCTGGCTCGATGCCACCTCGATCACTGGCGACACATCAGCTCTCATCTGGCGCATCTCGGGCTGCACTCTCCGACTGCTTGCACGGCCGGCCACGTTCTCCCCACCCTGATCGGCCAGGGAGCTCCCGCCGGCAGGGCATGGTGTGGGGCCGGATTTGCCACCGGCCAGCCTTAACCAGAAGGACGCAGCGATTCGAAGACGGGCAGCTCTGCCAGTCTGTCTGTGTAAAATGGTCTTGCGCCTCGGCTTCTGCTTCGCGATGCCCATTGAAAAGAACGATGGCTCCGTGGAGCAGCATCTGCTGGAAAACAAAGGGGCTCTGCCTTGGTACCGGAACAGTGGCGAGAATTGGACCTGAACCTCCGCAGCACCGTCCCGAGGACGAAAAACTCCTCCACATCGTCGATGCAGGGCCGGTAATAACATATAGAGCGACCTGCAGGACGGCAATAAACCACATCTCCTGGTTTCTGCGAGTTGCCGTTGGGATGACTCTCATCTCTGCGACAGGAAAAGTAATCCTTGGATCTGTCCCATCACCGGCAGAGCCAACCATCCAACCCCTCCTCCTTTATGCGCATATCTGGGATGAACCGGATCGAGATGTGCTTGCCGCCACAGATCACCACCCAAACCTTCGATGGTCAACCGATGCACAACCCCGCTCCGCATGTCGTTTGCTGGTTTCTGCAGCGCATGTGCACGCCATGCACGCTACCACACCCTGAATACCCTTTGGCGATCCCTGCATTTTTTTTGGACTCGCAGATTGCAGTCTCCCTTGAGCCAAGTCAGCGCTTGGCCAGCAGAGACGATTGAGTAACGGGGTCGTCGTCTGGCAGTCTGCCAAGCCAATGATTACTTTTGCCCGTCACCTCCCTCTCTCCTCTGCGCGCCAGCCACTGCTGGGTGGATTCATTGCTGCGCGCGGCGGGACGGCACTGCCTGCGCTGGCTGGGCTGGGCGGCGCATCCTTTGCCTCCGGTGCCGTGGTCGGGCCCTTTCCGAGGAAGCGCCGTGGCCGGCTGTCTCTGCCGTTGCGGCGCCGCTAACCGGATGTCTATCTTCGCAGAATCACGCCGCGAAGGGCCCAGGCCCCCAAGGACTCTTTGAGCCAGCAGATGCCGACCCGCGAGTTTAATTGCCGACCCGCGTCCCATCTGTATGGCGTCTCGTCCTCGTGCCTGAGAGAGATGCTGCCAGGATTTGGCGGTCCAGACCACGGACGATGCTGACCAGCCTGGCGGTTCGTGCAAGAATGTCAAGTTCCTGTCCGGCGAGGACCCTTTGCGCATTGGACCCATGGGGGCGGTGTTGCAAAAGCGGTGCCCCCACGGTTTCTGCAAAGTGGGCGGGTTGCTTGGGGTGTCACAGCCTCCTCAACCTTCTCTGAGCCTCACGCACGCCCATGCCCCGAGTTCTGCATACGACCGCTGCTCCTCTTGCTCGTGTTCCTCGCACCCGGTTTGGGGAAGCCGGTGCGAGCCCAGAGAGAGTTACCGGCGGTTCCAATCTGTCGACGGGGTTGGCGTCCATTGGCGCATCGCCTGCCAGGGCGCAAACTTTAAATTCAACTCGGTTGCGACTTGCGAGCCATTGAATGGCTTGCTTGAACAGGCCAGTTATGGGGCCCCGGACCGATGAGGCCTCTCGGAAAATTAAAGCCAGCGAGCAGCTGGGGGCCCTTGGGGATGTGGTAACTGCATCAAGACGGCAGTTGAGCATCACCTCTGTTCGCGTGAGTTCAAGTGCTGAACCAATCTGAAAGACGCGAGCTTAGCTGCGGCGGTGGCTGCCCACGCGGCACTCCCGGACCTGCATCAGGACGAAAGACTTTGCACCTGCGCCGGATGCCCCGGTGACCGTCTCCGCAACCACGTGAGCCGTCTTTTCGGCGTGGACGACGGCATCGCGGTAGGCCTCTGTCCCCCGAGATGTTGGAGCCTGTTGGGACGGCTTCGAGGCGAGTCTCTCGTCGCAGATCATACGACTCCTACGGTCGTCTTTGCTGAAGAGAGCAGCCTCGGTCCCACACCGACACCCGGCCAAGCCGTGGGAGGCAGACCGGGCAAAGGCGGGCTGACTGGGTGCTCCACCAGGGTGGCACAAAAGTCAATCTCAGGGACATGGACGGAAGCTCCAGCTCGAGATGTTACGGGCTACCCCAGCTGGCTGACGGATGCGACCGATTGGCAGAGTGCCCACGCGGCGTTTGCCAGCGGCGGCAGCCACAGCCAGGCCAAGACTACAGCGACGCTTGGGTTTCCTTGCGGCGTGTGCAAGTTTTTGTTGGCCCCCATTGTGGCCACCTTGACTGTGGCCATTCCCATTCATCAGGGTGCGGGACAGCAGGGGTCAGACTATTTTCGGTCGGCTCCAGAATCTGTTGATGCTGCCCGTCGCTGTGGGACTCTCTGGGCTATGGTGATGGCTTCAACGCGGCGAGCCAACGTTGGCAGTGGTCATCGCCCAGGGCGCGGCGCTTCTCGGCACCTGCGGTCTGGACCCAGTGCCCTTGACACATTTGCGCCTGATGCCTGCTCGGGCTGTCTTGGTTGCAGTGGGCGGGAAGACTCGTTGCCCAAGCTGTCTGGGCACGCGTCCATGGTCTAGAAGGGGCCGTGGAATATTCCAGTATGCGTCACACGCCCCCGTGGTGCCCTCGCATCGAGCAGCAGCAGTAGCGGCCGTCACCCCAAGACGCGCGCTTGCAGGACACGATGCCTTATCAGTCGGTGTCCCTGATGACACCTGTCAGGTGGACTGAGCCCTACGTCTTGTACCGCCGCCCGGCCCGTACAAGCAGTCAGTCCCCGACTCCCCGGCGTCGAAGCCCTGGGCGGCCGATGCCGGATCAACGGCGCATCGGAACTGGCGGAGCGTGCGCCTCTTCTGCGGAAACGAGGCGGTGATGCCTCGTCGGGACCTGACGGTTGGCACGGCACGCGTCTGTCGTGCTTCGTAGTCGGTGTGCCGGCCGTCGTCTGCTGGGCAAACGCTCGACACGCACGCACGCCCTGGCGCTCCGAGTTGAAGATGTAGTGAGCGATGCTGACGAAGTGACTGGTCATTCCAGGCCTCACGTTTCCCGCAGCCATGCATGGCCCACCAAGCGGTGCGTGAGCCGCAACGCGCGCGCCCACGCTGCAAGCATGCCCTCGGAAGAAGCAAGCAACCTCTCTCTCACTTCGGCCTGCTCATCCATCAGGGGGTGCGGCTGACAGACAAGACTGGTCGTTGGCGAGGACGGGGGTTTCGGCCCTCGGCGCGCAAAATAAACAACCCAGGCTGACCATGCGCATGCAAGAGGGGGACCCTGCCTGCATACAGACGTGCTCCGCCGACTCAGCCCTTTTTTTTTTGTTCGAAGGAACACGACGAAACAGGCCCTTTCCCGAAGCGAGCTGCAGCTGCAGGGTATGCGGCGGATACTGACCGACGCTGGGTTGGTCCTGGGGGATCCTGGGGTTGCTGCGCCTCTGTGACTGACGACGACGGCCACGGCAACGACAACGGCAGCAGCAAACAACAAACAGCGACGGGGGAATGCTGCGGGCCCGGCAGGCAGTAAACAGTAAGCGAGCACGAGAGGGCGCGGCGTGTACTTCGTGTAGATGTATGTGTGTGTAATGTACTATACGAAGCATGTAAGTCATAATGTATGTATGTATGCGTGGGCATGGCTCGCTCGCATCAAATGGTCTGCACTTTACATGAACGCCGCCCACTCCACGAAGTCATCCGTAGCAAGATGGGTTTTGTTTCGAGTTGACGACGAGCGACACCTACATCCATACCTCACTCATCTCACCCACACACACCACCCATCCGCCAACTCGTCTTTGCGAATACAGTGTCTACTATATGCCGCGCCCCGCCTTCTCTGCCGTGGAACAGAAGCGAGTTACTGCGAAGGACCCGCCCCCGATGCTTGTCGTCGCATCATATGCAGGTTGAGCATTGAGCACTGAGTGTGTTAGCTCCCCGGCAGTTGTCGGACAGCCAAGACCACCACGGCTTAGACCACCACGGCCAAGATCATTGAGCCCGGGGTGTCCCCCCAGCTGCCCAGGGCATTGCCTCGTTGTAACTACGGTTGGAAACAGAGGACGCCGCAAGAAGGGGGATATTGACATGCTGGAGCTAGACTGACTGACTGACTGACACGCAGGCACGGTGAGGTGAGCTGAGGTGAGCTGTGAGCGGGAAAGAAAAGGTGCTTCTCTCCATCTTATGCTGCGCGGGGAATACCCGATGAGCTTTAGTCCTCGACATTTGCTGTGCTGCTGCAGCAGGAGGGCGGAAAGCGCAACGCGGCGAGAGCGGCGAGAGCGGCGATGCTCATACACCTTCATTCTTCGGCTTTGTGGCCCAAGACGAGGATCCTGGTCTCCCATCTGCACGGGGAGAAGAAGAAGAAGAAGACATGCGACTGACGCTCTCGCCAGGGCACATCTCACGGATGCCAGAGTCGGCCGCCCCTATTGTCCATCACTTCCGCGTACGCTCATCTCCTCCACGCATACAGACACTCTCCGAGCATGCAACACCATCGCCACCCCGGGACTCCGCAAGCCGTGGTACGGACTCGTCGTCTTCTCCGGTAGATATGCCACGGAGCGTACGCACTCTCGAGCGGCACCCATCTCACGATCGCGTCCCTCGCCAGGCGACACCCAGCACCGCACCATCATCATTGTCATCATCATCGTCTCCCTCGAGAAACTCATCGGCAGTAGCTCTCATCCCCACGACTCGTCCTCTGGAGTCGCGGAGGCTGCCATCGCTTGTCCCCCGGCTGGACGACAGACAAGGCCCTCGCCGCGCCTGACTTACTTACACACATCGCGCATACACACATCACCCCTACACGCCTCCCCCCGGAACCTCTCTCTGCGCGAATTACCGCCCCCCCCTCAAAGGGTCAGGGCAAAGCATTCAACGCTCTACGAGTACAACCGGCCATCAACGCATCGAATCGCATCACATCTATCTCGGTTCGCCTCATCATCGCGCATGATACCCACCCACACCTAGACAAGGAAGGGCATGAACCCGGCTATGCCTCTGGGACCAGGCACGAGTCACGACGTTCAGGCCCCAGCTCTTGGCCCCTGCAACGCCGAGCTCCAAGCGCGATGTGGAAGTACTTACACGGCATAGATCGAACTGGAGCAGCCCGCGCGCGTGTGTGTCAAGACGATACATAATAGTGCTGCCGACTCGGTGGAGGTGGACAGCCCTGCCAAGAACCCGGCAGTGGCAGCAGCATTAGCAGCAACACCACGACCGGCAATTGGCTCTTGGCTCTTGAGGCATGATGATGATGAGAGAGACTGACAAAACCTTGCTCGGTTGGCAAGGCGATGCCGAGGCGGTGAATAAAGAGGTCTCCAACGCCGGCCCTCTTCGGCCACAGCGCAGCCCGTTCCCGACTCTTCGAGCTTGATGACCTGAGGCTCTCTGGCCGGCTTGCGTGCCAAGGCAATGCTGAGCCGGTCGACGACTTGCCAAGAGTGGCCTCCATGGCACCATCGGCAGTCGACTCATCTGCCGTCGAGACCTTTGCAGACGACACACACTTGGCACGACAGTCATCCATCCGACGCGTGAACAACAAATAGGTGTCAATGCCATCGTGGGGCTAGGCACACATCCTTCACGGCAAACATGTCGGATCCCATCTTGAACAGAGCGAATGCCGCTGTATTGTGCGTGTACGCTACTTGAACGCCATGCACCTTGCCCCGATCACGCTCGTGGCGTCACATTGCCACCATGCTCCCGGTTCCGAGACTTTCACCCCCCGTCCACGCTGACAACCGCGCGGGCTAGCCAACGCTATAAGTACATGGCGAGATATATCCCAACACCATCGCCCGTGGAAAAAAAGTAACAAGAAACAAACAGAATATGCTCGCCGAAAGCAGTCGCCTTGTATCAACAGCTCATGCAAGAAACGACAAAGTATTATGAGGTGAGGTATTATTTGGGGTCGTAACGGTATCGCTTCGCGTTCTCGTCAACCCACCATCGAGACATGAAAGCCGCGTCCTCGGCCCACTTGGACGCATCCAGGCCGTGCTTCTTCTCCACGGCTCGAAGGAACGACTTGAAGCCAAACGACAGGACAGGCTCCTTCTCGTGGGGGTCCTTGGACAGGTCGGTGAAGCGCCATTCCGTGTCCTCGACGATGGGGACGATGATACGCCAGCTCGGGTTTCGGGCGTCGCGGACCGACAGGGTAGCTCGACCAGGGTTCATGATGGTGAACTGCCAATCGCCCTCGCCAGTCGCGTCCGACTTCTTGCGGAGAGGTCGGATGAGGGACTGGCCCTCGTAGTTGCGGACCAGGTCATGGGCGGCGCCCTTTTCGGCCTCGGAGAGAGAGCCGGTCTCGATCAGGAGGTCGAGAATCGTGGGAAGAATCTGCAGAGACACGACAGCGTCGTTGATGTCGATGTGCGGCAGCTTGGGGTGGGAGACGACGAGGGGCACGTGGAAGTTGCCAATGTTGGAGTTGTAGTAGGGTGTGATGCCGTTATTCTCGGCAATGGAGAGGCCGTGGTCGCCGACGAGGACGAGTAGCGTCTCGTCCGCCACACCCTCCTCGTCGAGGATGGCCAGGATCTGGCCCAGCCAGCGGTCAACGTAGCCGACAGCGTTGACGTAGTGTGACATGTCGTCGTACTTCTTGTCGCCGGTAAGGTGCACGTACGGTTCGTCGGCGGGCATGCCGAACGGGTGGTGCGTCGTGCTTGTTAGGTGCGTCAGGAAGACGCGCTCGTCGTTCTTCTTGGCCGAGGCAAAGGCATCGCGGATGTAGTCCTTGATGACCACCTCGGGCATGCCGTAGTAGTTAATATCGGAGACGTTGACCTTGCCGAACTTGGCGTCGTCCGTGTGGAGGTATTCCTTGGTGACGTAGTTCTCTTTCAGGAAACCCAGCACGGGCATCTCGGCGTCCTGCTTGTCGTAGGTATCGGTGACGGACTGCATGTACAGGGACCGCCACGGGTACGACGTGTAATCGCCCTTGCCCTTTCCCTGGCCCTTGCCTTTGCCCTTGGACTTGGCCTTGGAGCCAGCGTCGGTGGCGTTGTTGACTTTGTTTAAGGCGTTGAAGACGTGGGGCAAGCATGGCTGGTAGATATGGTTAAAGGGCTCGATGTTGAAGTCGGCAACGAGGGGCGTAATGCCGCAGAGCGTGCCCGCCAAGCTCTTCAAGGTGTAGGTGCTGGTCGTGTGGGCGCTGTTGACGTTGAGCCCGCCACGCCGCTTCGTGCTGGCGTGCTCGAAGCCGTCGCTGTAGTCACCGGTGAGGAAGTTGGCATTCTTCGTCAACGTCGCGAGCCTCTCGGCGGCCTCGTCGGGTAGCGACTCGTTCTTGAATGACTTGGCCAGCTTCTCCCAGATAATACCGTCCTTTTTGATGGGGAACACGTCCTTGCGGGTGCTCTCGAGCTTGATGAGCATCACATTGCGGATCTTGACGTCCTTGAGCTTCCCCTTGAGGGCGGGCAGCAGGTCGTCGTCGAGGTTGGAGATCTTGAGCGGGTCCTCGGACGCACGGTAATGCGGCTTGTTCTCGTACCAGTCGGCGAAGCCGGGCAGTGGCGTCTCCTCCTTGGGCAACCAGGGAAAGGAAATCGGCTCGGCGAGGGCGGTACGGTTATCCCAGCTGTAGTTGATGCTGCTGCCGTGGAAAGGGAGCAGGCTGGCGAGGGTCGGCGACGAATGAGCAAAGTCGATGAACGGCAGCAGGGGCAGCGTCCAGGACATAAAGGACAGCGACGTCTCGTCGGGGCGAATGAACGTAGTGACAACCTGGACCAGCATGGTGAGGCCAACGAGTATGTAGAGCAGCACCATCCACCAACCCGTCGGTTGTGGGGGCTGCGCCGGGGAGGTCGAAGAGCCCCGGCCCGCAGACTCGTCTTCTCTATACTTTGTTTCGGCGCCACCCTCCAGGTCATACTGCGGAACGTGCTCATAGTTGGCGGCGCTTGACGCGCGCCAGAGTCGGAACGGGATCTTGCTCAGAAGAAAGGCAAAGGGCCACTTGAGAATGTCGAGAGCCACGCCGGCGACGAGGTAGCAAAAGTCCTGGAGGAGCCAGGCGAGGAACAGGACGATTCCCACGGCGACCGAGCAGGAGACAAGACCCGTGAGAAGCATGGTCCACGAGTTGGCATCCTTGGCGACACCGATGTTGCGCCAGTGCAGCTCGGAGCCGGCCACGGCGAAGAAGGAGATGTTGATGCCGGCGAGCATGAGAACGACGGCCACGACGAGGGTTGCCAAAGTGGTGACAATGATCCTCAGCCAGCGCATGTTGGCAAACAGCTGCGTGTCGAAGAGAACGCGGAGAACAAGGAGAAAGGCCGAATCCTGGGCGAAGAAGGAGAAGCCATAGCGTATCAGCTCGGTCGGTGGGAGGGCAGTGAGGTGGGCGTAGATGTGCACCGTCTTGGCGAAGATGATGGCGACGGCGGCCACGGAAAAGGCGAAGCGGCGGTTGGCGAAACGAGAGGCGAGGGCGATGCCGATGCGCCTCGCGACGACGAGAGACGAGACGAGGGCCCCGAGGAAGCGCTGCTTGGTAGCGTCCATGACCGAACGGTAGCGGGTGGCACGCCGGGGTGAGGGCGAGGACCGGCGGCGCTGGTGCTGATGTTGCCGCTGCGAGTGGTCGCTGTAATGTCGTTGATGGTTCGTAACCACCATTGTGTCGTCGTCTGAGCCGTTGTCGACTCACCAGCGTAAAGGAGCGTCTGGAAGCCGGAAGAGGCCTGCGGTGCTGACTGATCGGCGTCGCGTGCGCACCCGTTGGTCGCGATTCTGCACCGGCACGGACGCTTGATCGACCGGAAATCTGCTGCTGCGCCGCACCGCTGCTGTTGAAGCGAAGCGAAGGCGAATCGAAGGAGGAGAGACGAGCCCCGGCAGTCGAGAGGGTGTAGCAGTCGTCGGCAGCCTGGCCGTCACTGACGACAGGGGGGGGCGCGCGATTGTGGCGGCGGCGGCAGCAGCAGCAGCAGAAGCAGGAGGATGAAGACTCGGGGGGCGCTGGTGGTGACCGGCAAAGAGAGCGAGCCGACGACGACGACCCTCGCAGGATGAGCTGCGACCGGGGAGGAGGAAAGGGAAAGAAAAGGAAAAGAGAGAAACAGACAGCTGGCGCCAATGAGCCAGAGACAAACGGTGCAGAAGAAGAGAGTGAAAGGAGCAGGGCCCAAGGAAAATGGGATGGGACGGGATGACTGGGGGGGGAGGAGGGCAAGCGGCGGCGGAGAGGAGAGCGCGGAAGGCGGACGGGGTCGAGCTAGTTTGGGAAAGAGACGGACCGACGATGGATGGCCGCGAAATGGGGAACAAGATGAACAAGCGCGATGCAGGCAGGACCTGCCTTCCCTGCGCTGTGCAGTGAGCGCGAGCGAGTACGTACCGGCCACCAACCTCGTCCGCCACGCCGGCCACTTAGTCCCTTGCCTGGGGGCACCTCATTACTGTACGGTACTCTTGCACGAGTCGAGCTACACTAACTAAGGTACAATCAGAAAAGGAAGAGGAAGCGTTGTACGGTGCAGCGCACCAGCTGCCAGCTGCACCAGTACCGCAAAAACGGGGGGCCAACATCAAGGTGAAGCCCACCAAGCCAGCCGGGCGTCTCCGCAGCCGCCCGCGCCGCTCGTCCGTCCACCTTATTCCCTTCGTCCTCCTTATGCGAGGCCAAATAAAGCATGATAACATCGGGCCAGGTCGGGGCAGGCTCATGATCTTGGGCCCTGGAGGACGGATGCCCTGCCTCCACGCCAAAGTGACCGTTGCAGCCGCCGCCCATTATCCCGTTGGATTGCGACATTGGCATGTCAGCTTCTTGTCAGCCTCGCCCTCTCCGCTCCTCCCCTTGAATAAGGAACGGGACCCTTTTCCCTCCGTCCTACAAGTCACCGCCAGAGCAGAGCTGGGGAAAACAAGGACGGGCCAGCCGTGTATCGGCCTTCTTTCCAGGTGGTCACGCAGCCCTGACACTCATGCCCCGTGTCGCCGCCAACTGGGGGGTGACAGCGTGGACACGGACGCGGGCGGGCTCTTTTCCCCAGCAGTATGCACTATGGCAGAGGGCTGGCCTGGGCTGGCCGAGCCAGGCCGGCTGATGTGAAAAAATGGCATGAACTTTGCCATTTGATTTTGCATACGAGTGCTGGGCTGGGCTGGCATTAGGCGTAGGAGGTGCAGGAGGGAGGGAGGGGCGTCGGCCGGTGGGCCTGGGCTGAAGGGGACCCATGGGGCTTTGGCTGGCTTGGCGCAGCTCGGACCAACAAGAGCAGCTTGTCGCGTGCCCCTAAAGGCAATGGAAGGAGCGGGTGGCCAGGGTGGGGGGTAAAGACTGCAGGCGATGCCCCTGGGGCGTCCGCACCGGGCCCAACTCTTATTATTCTCTGCCGCCCGCCTCCTAGGCTATCATCGCGCTGCAGCCAGTGGCCGCGGCCGCTGCAGCACCCGGCGGCGCAGCAGCTGCGCCCAGTGCCCGGTGCCCTGGCCCGGCATCCTGGGCTCTCATAATTGTTCGATTGGTGTGGCAGGCGTCCGGCCAATGGGTGCTTTGCTGGCGGAGGCCCGAGGGCGGCATGACGGGAGTCAATTGACAGCCTGCCTGCCCATCGGCCCCCCCCCGCACGCTTTTTGAAGGCCTGTCATCCTGCCATCGCAACAGGGCAGGGACCGTGGACAGCTTCTGCAATGGAACCTACAGGGGCCTCTTTCCGGTCCATGCATGCCATGCGGCAGGCGCTGCAGAAGGGGGCACCCGCCCCTCATCCTGATCCAGGCCGGAGCATTTCACCCCCACAATTTGCTGCCAGATTGCCCACCGACCCGGATACTCTCCGACGGGAGCCCGACCCTCTCTTCATCAAATGTTCCCAAAGCAGAAGACGACTGAATCAATCACGGACAACCCGCAGTCGGTCGGCGCAGCCCACCTTCGGTGAGGAGCGCGGTCGACCGATGGGCCACGCCGCCGGGCCGCCGCAGGAGCTCGCTCGCAGGGTCAGACAGGCGTTCATTCCATCCATCCGTCACTCATCAGCCGCAGGACCCCTTGTCTCAGCGCTGGTCAACGTTGCAGGGCAGGTCCCAAATTGGGGCCGGGGGCGCTGGCTGGCTGACTGGTGTGCTCCTTTCGCTGTCCCAGCGCCTCCAAGGTGTGCCCCGAGCACGCGACACGGGCGGCCCAAGGATCCAGGGACGGGATGCACGCTCCAGTGGGTGTCAGAACCGCCTGTGGCCCGTCTCTGGTGCGCCGCCCACCGCGCCGAAACGAGACACGACGCACGCGACCGCCGCTGCTTGTTCGAGTCCACGGGTTTGATGCTGCACCGTTGTGCAGTTGGACATTCGCCGGCGTGTCCCTTCTCATCTTCGTCCTTGTACGTGCAGCGTGGATGAACGGTCGATGGCCGAGGCTCGGCCGACCTCGCCTTGTTCTGTTCCCCCGTGGCGATGTGCGAGTGCCGTCGCCCGCCCCCTCACAACCCTTCGAGAACGAGTACCAAGCTTTCGGCGGTCCCGTCCCGCCGCCGAGTGGCAATCTCCCCCCTGCCTCTCCTCCCCTGGGCAGGCGCTAATAATGTCGTTCTTGATGCCCCAGCGCAGTGCAAAGTGCCATCAGCGCCCTCGCCGCCTCAATTCGACCCCGCCCGCTCTCGTCGGTGCCTGTCCTCCTGCGACAGACAGCGAAAACCCTCCACCGGCAGAATCCCACTTCGCGTGTGGCACCGTCACGCGGCGCATTGAACCTGACTCGAGATGCCGTGCCACGACTAATTGCCGTCATGCGGCTCTTCGGTGCCCCGTCCGGCGCTCAGCCTTGCCACTCGCGCAGCGCAAGAAAAGCCATCCTGGTCCTGCGCCCCCGTCGCGGCCCCCTTCCAGACCGTTGCTCGCTCGGTGCCTCGTCCCGTCATCATCATCCCGCGTGTCGTCAAGGTCGTTCCTGTTTCTGCGACGTTGCTCGAGTGCCGCTTGCGCCTCTCGCGTGCCGCTAGCGCCGCTGATCACACTGGCGCCTGAATGTCAGCACGAGCGCCATCGCGATGGCAAAATGAAGGGATGCTTACGTGCAGGGGGCCAGCCGCCGTGGAAGCCTCCATCCATCCCGCAGAACGACAGCACTGCTAGCCCTGTCAGCAGCCTAAATGGGTGCATCCCGCGCGTGGTGGGGGTGAGGGGAGGCTTTGGTTGGGAAGCGCGCTCTCACACCCGGCAGGGCCGCCTGCATTCCCATGCGTGGGGTCCGCTACAGACGGCGCAGCATGATTGTTCTCCAGCCACGAATTGTGAGCTTCCTCTTTCAGGTTGTGGCTTGGCCGGGAGGGGTTCGTCCACAGCCGCGCGGAAATGCGCACGCAGGCCTCGCGGGACGCGGATGAATGCGCCGACAGAATTGCAACTTCGTGCGTGCCGAGTCTGTCACTGCGCATTCTGCCCGTCCGGCGACACAGATCGAGGCCTCAACGACGCCATCTGGCAGAACGCCCGAGGCGGGTGCGCGCGAGCCGTCGATGCGACTGAATGTGCCTTGTGCCCATCGCTCGCTCGCTCGATCCTTCACACCAAGCATCCTTGCGCGCTGGCCAATGGCACTTTAGTTCGGACATATCGCATCGATGGCGACATCCGGCGTGCACTTTTCCCCGGCAGCATCGGGCCACGAGATGTGACGTGGGATCTGATCGGATCAATGATGCAGAACATGACTAACGGTGACGTGCAGAGGCCTTTGCTTGGTATTGGAACACTGATGCAAGGAGGCGGACGGCGGTGGCGTGACATTGACTTACCCACCCTTCCTCGCAGCTGGTTCCCGTCCTCACGTGGCAACCAGGCAAGGTGCCTCCTCAGGTGTAGAGTAGTCGCAAATGGGTTTCTGTACCGGAGACTAAGAAACTAAGACACTCGGCCCAGGAAAGCCACGCGAAACCTGTCCAAGTCGCTTAGCCACTCCCGACCCAATCCGCCTCGAGTTTACACGACGGGTGAACTTGATCGGTATACTCAGCGACGCCAAAGCTCAATCTCGGAAAGGGGTGAAACCGTTAACATGGTTGCCCGAAACCCGAGTCGCGATTTGGCGCCGGCTGCAGCAACGTTCAATGTCAACTAATCAAGACTGGGTGGCCCAGTGGCAGGTCAACTCAGAGACAGCTGTCAAAGAGTTGGCATTTCCTATTGCGTCCTTGTTCAGCATAGCAACAATGGGACCCATACGAAAACTCTAATCTGCCAGCACAACGCGATTTGCCCCGGCCACTCGAGGCTCGAGCCTGGTTGGGCTCCGCAATCCAGTCAAGAAGCTGCCGTTGCTCAATTCGAGCAGAAGCGAGCATGGATCCCAGGAGCTTGGGATTTCTACAGCTCCTTGACTCGTCAGAAGAAGCCACGGGAAAGCTGCCCTCGGCGACAGCAGGATTCTCCTTCTGGACCTGAGGCTATGGACCTGTGCGACGCGCGGTCAGGTCGGAGCCCGTCTCGGGCGCATGAACCGATTCCGGAGGGCAATCGGATGATTGCGCTCTGCTCTAACCAATATTTTACGGTTCGACGAGATAGCCACCCGCATACCCAGGCAATCAGGCAAGGCCAAACGGCCCCAGAGTTTCCCACGCGAACGAATCGTCGCTTCTGGCTGCCTTTTCTTCCCTTTCGGAACTGCGGTGCCGGAGGGTGGTGCAAGTGCCGTTTCTGCACTCGAACCATGAGGTCCGGTTATCTGCCAGATCGCCTACGGTTTCCACAGAGTGTTTTTCCTTTTTATTGCCCGCGTCCCTCGGTTGTCGCAACTCGGGAACCTGGTGTCTTTTTCTTGTCGTTTCGTAAAGGCACCGCAGCCAGACATGGGTTTGACAACCTGATTGCTCTCTGTTCTCACACCAGAATTCGCGCTGCTCATTGACAATGCCGGAAAAGAACGCCGCCCGGATCGCGGACTCGTTTTCCGATGCAGAGGCTGGGTGCTTCGCGTTCAAGCACCTCGAGACCCGGGGCATCGAACGGGTCCCCGAGACTGAGCGCTACAAGCGAGTCACGGCGTCCGACTACGCGCAGATGGCGCTGCTCTGGTTCAGCACAAACATCACCGCGAACAACGTCGCCGTCGGCATGCTTGGCCCCATTGACTACTCCCTTGGGTTCACCGACGCCGCGCTCTGCTCCGTCTTTGGCGCGATTCTGGGCGCCGTGGGCGTCGGGTACATGAGCACCTTTGGTCCCGTCAGCGGTAACCGTACCATGGTATGTGCCCTCCCAGCTGAGCCGCGGAAACCCCCTCTAAGAGAAGAATGCAGGTCGTTGCTAGGTACTTCATGGGCTACTGGCCCAGCAAGATCTGCGCTCTTCTCAACATTGTCATCATGCTGGGCTATGGGATGATTGACTGCCTGATCGGCGGCCAGGTGCTCTCGGCCGTTGCTGACGGCAAGCTAAGCATCGTTGTCGGGACTGTCATTGTCGCCGTCGTCTCGTTGGTCGTGGTGGTCTTTGGCATGGGCGCGTTTCACGTCTACGAGAGGTACGTCTCCGTGCAACAAGGTGTGTAAGAGGTTTATCGCTGAGACGCGCTCAGATGGGCGTCGATACCGCAGCTGATTGCCCTCTTCGTGCTGATCGGGTCCGCGGGGCCCAAGTTTGACACCTCCATCACGGCGACGGGAGACCACCGGACCATAGCCGGGAACCGGCTGTCCTTTTTCTCGCTGTGTCTGTCGTCGTCGATAGCCTGGGCCCCAGCAGGCGCCGACTTTTACGTCTACTACCCCGAAGACACGCGCAAGTGGAAGACGTTTATGCTCACTACCATCGGCGTGGGGCTCGGCCTGTCGTTTGCGAACCTCATCGGCGTCGGCCTGGGCTCCGGGACCATCTCGCAAAAGACGTGGGCGGACGCCCTCGACGTGTCCTCCGGGGCGCTCATCATGGAAGGGTACGCCGGGCTCAGGGGCTTCGGCAAGCTCCTCGGCGTCTTCGTGGCCCTGGGCCTCATCGCCAACAACATCCCCGGCACGTACTCGGCGGTGCTCGGGTTCCAGGTGCTGGGCCGCTACGGGCAGCGCACCCCGCGCTGGATCATCTCGTGCGTCAGCGTGCTCGCGTACACGGCCTGCGCGGTGGCCGGCCGCAACAGCCTGTTTAGCATCTTTGAGAACTTCCTGGCGCTCATGGGGTACTGGGTCGCCATCTACACCGTCATCGCGCTGGAGGAGCATGCCATCTTCCGCAGGACGCGGGGGTTCGACTGGTCCGCCTGGTCGGACCGCTCCAGGCTGCCGCACGGGGTGGCGGCGCTGGCGGCGTTCCTGGTCGGGTGGGTGGGCGCGGTGCTCGGCATGTGCCAGGTGTACCACAAGGGCCCGATCGCCAAGCAGGTCAGCTCGCAGGGCGCAGACTTGGGCATCTGGCTGGGCGCGTCGTGGGCCATGGTGGTGTTTCCGCCTTTGAGGTGGCTCGAGTTGAAGCGCTTCGGCCGTTGACCCAGTGCAGACGGCACAAGCTGCACTCATAGCACGTGATACGACGAGACCGAATCGGCGCTGAGACTCTGAGATCGTAAAACGGATGCCTGCCGATTCTACCTTGTAGTCGCCATGAAGAATTGGCTTGTCGACGGGGCTAGACGGGGTTGGAGACGGGACGAGAGGAGCAACTGTTGCTGGACGGTGTCGGTGTCACGGGACATTGGGTTCGGCAACGAAAACATGTTCTACAGTATGTGACGGCCAGAAGTGCCACGCTCGGGCAGTCGATGTGGATAGCGTGATCAGCACGTCGATGTTGTGTTCCGGCTGTGCGCATCTCCATGTAGCTGTCAACATCTGTCCAGGGGATGATGGGGTCAAGCTGGGGCAAGGCCAGTGGTGCCATGGATGGGTGCCTGTAATTGACTGCAGAGTGCAGGGTCTAGCGCGTGCGAGGTTCCACAGCGCACCTCCGGCCCCTCGTCCAATCCGAGCTCGGCGCCGCCAACGTCACCTCACCTCCCCCCCGTCTCTCAACATCCCCGTCCACCTCATCGTGTGCGATGCGAGGCCTCACTCCTCGAGCGCCTCGAGCTCCAACCCCCCCCGTCGCACGCACATGGAATGAGCCCCGTGGGGCCGTCCGTCACCCGCCGGCGCAAACGCAATGGACGCCTCCCCGCGGCCCAAGCAGGCCGCCTGTCTCGTCTGCCGCCGCAGCAAGATCAAGTGCGAGGGGGCCTCCGCTGACGGCCGCTGCAAGCGCTGCGTCCAGCTCAACTGCGAATGCGTGCGGCCCGACTTTCACGCCGGCAGGCAAAAGGGCATCAAGAAGTGAGTTGAGCGGCTCCAGAATCCACGGAGGGGGCGCGGTACAATGGCTGACGTGACCCGCGCTCTCGACAGCAAACGCGTTGGCCTCGACAAGGCGCTGTATCAGATCGAGCAGGCCGTTAAGCGAGCCAGGGGTGCGCAGAAGCACAGCGCCGATGATGTCAAGGTCATGACGCACCTGCGCGACCTGCTGGGCGACGTTGACGCCGCTGAGACGTCGCCCAGCCAGGCGTCTGCGTCGCAGCGACGGTCCTACGGTGACACTGAGGAGGCGTCGTCCAGCGGTGATGATGATGGCGAGGACAACGCGGGGGCCGCGTCAATGAATGACTTTGTGCACCGCACAGAGGAGAGCCTGGCCATTGACGATGCCGAGAACCCCCTGCAGCTGCTCGCCCGCGCGTCATACATCCAGCCGTCAAGCGACTCGCGCAGCAGGCCGTCGCCCCAAGTGCGCCCAGGATCGCACCAGAGCCCGGGACAGGCGGACGAGTCGGCGGCTCTCGAGGAGTTCTTCACGTCGACGCACGTGAGCCTCGACGTGGGCGACGACATTGACCCCATCACACTCGGCCTGGTCACGCAGGAGGAGGCAGAGACTCTCTTTTCATAGTGAGCCGATCCCGAGCGTTGCGAGGATGAAGTCACTAATGACTACAGCTTTCATGCGAACCTGGCACATACGCGATGGGGCCTGGACCCCAGAATCCACAGCGTCTCGTTTACCCGCACGCGCTCCGCCTTCCTCTGCACGTCCGTCATGGCGGCCTCGGCGCTATTCATGCCCTCGGCCGCGGCCTTGTCCAAGCGGTTGTCCAACCACGTCAAGACGCTTGCGCAAAGGGTCATGCTCCGACGGCACAAGTCGGTCGAGATTGTCCTCGCCTTTATGATCAACATCCCGTGGATGTTCCCGGGCCGGCACAGCACCGATGACGAGGCGTGCGTGTACATCTCCATGGCCACGAGTATCGCTATCGACCTGTCCCTCCACAAGGTCTTGGTGCCGACGGAGCTGCTGCAGCAAGGCTCCGAGCTGACCCTTGCGCGCGGTGAGTGTCTCGACACTCGGATGGCACTTGCCATTGACGGCTTCCCGGACGTCGAGCCGTGGTCGGACACGGGAAAGCTGCTGCTACGTAATAGGGAGCGGTGCTGGATCTCCTTGTTTGTTCTCGAGCGAGGGTAGGTGTCTCGTCTCCCCAAACCTGCGTTAACGTGCAACTCGTCTGACCGTAACAGCATGTCCCTCGCGCGAGGGCGGCCGTTTGCCGTGCCCGTGACCCGCGTGATCAAGGACTGCGACAACTGGCACCGCACGCCACAGAGCGACGTCCAGGACGGCGCCTTGGTCTCCATGGCCGTTTTGCGTAGGAATCTGGTAGGTACCCGTCGTCCGGGGGAGGGGAGTGACGAGCACTCGCTGACCAACACAGGATGGCCTCTTCAGCACCGTGCGTTCTCTCTGCGACGGGTCGCAGAACGCGACGAGCGATGGGTCGCTCATTGCGCAGTCGATACAGGGCGCCATTGAGCGCTTCTTCGACCAGTGGCTGACGGAATGGGGCGTCTCCATCGGCATCGGCCCGCAGCGACGTTTGCCACCCTACGTTGAGATCCTCGTAACGCATACGCGACTGTCCACCTACGGAGGCATCATCAACCATCCTACGGCGCCGACCGAGGTGCGGCGCTTCTTCCGAACCGCGGGGCTGTCGTCTGCCCTCAACGTCATGCGGGCGGCGATCCAGGGAGAGTCGCAGCTGCAGTCGATGCCCAACAACACGACCATCATGATTTCGTTCGCCGCGTGCTTTGCCCTGACGCTCAGCACCTACACGACGGGCAGCTCGACACTGGCCCCGAGCATCAGGAAACTGATTGACGAGGCGGCGGGCGTGCTGGAGCGCATCGGCACGGTGACGGAGCATCGCAACGGGCTGTCGCTGCTGTACGGCAAGTACCTGCGACAGATTGTCAAGAAGGCGGCCGTCGAGGGCGCCTCGGCGCCGGCGCACCAGGCCAGCTCGGTGGCCGCGCCCCATATGCCCGTCGGCGAGCCCGTGCCGGCGCAGCCCAGCTTCATGGCCCAGCAACAGCTGCTGTGGCCGGAGCCGTTGCAATTCTCAGCCATGTCGGACGACCAGATCGCGCACGTGCTCAACCAGCCGGGCAACGAGTTTGAACCGTCGTTTGGCGGCCTGTCGTGGGCGGACATGAACAACTTTGACTGGCTGTATTGGCCCGAATTTTGAAAGATGGCTCTGTCTAATCTATAGGAAGACATCTACAACTACAAGATCAACCGGCTACCGCCACCGCTACAGCTTGGAGGTCGCCCTCTCCCGAGAAAAGAGCTGTATTTGCGTGAGATTCCGCAGCTGCTCCATGAAGACAAAGGTGAGGACAGTGTGCGGCCTGGAAAGCGTCAGCGAATGCGCAAGTCAGGAGTGGGGGGGGGGCGAGACGCACGTCAACCGCAGCCACGCGGGCGTCCATCCCTTCATGAGGAAGCGCGGGCCCTCTTCCCGCAACCCCGTCCTGATGACTTGGAAGAGACCCTGCGGCAAGTTAGCTGGGATCCGAGAACGACGCGCCAGTCTGAGGCTCGTTGAGCTTACGTCTTTGCCGGCGCTGCTCTGCATACGGCTCTTTAGCACGTCCGCTGGAGCACAGAGCGTAGTGGCGACTGTGCCGGCCGCGAACGACGCCAGAACGTGCGTCGCGATGTCGTCTCTGCGCCTAGCGGACTGAACGAGATACTGCTTGGCAGACGCATACCTGGGGCGCGTGAGCATCGTTTGAGCATTGCGTTCGACTATGCAATGGCCAATGAGGGGGGCGGCTCACGTTGCAATCTGAGAGACGTCTGATACACGGGTCAGGATACATGGAAGCACGCGTGAGAGGGAACGGTCGGGGCAGAGGGCGTACTCATGAGTATGCTCCTGGCGACGTTGGGCGCGATGCCCTTGGTAAAGGCGCGGGCGCCCTCGTCGCTCCAAACCCTCGCCAGACCGACGAGAGCGTTGCTGTAGCGGAAGCGGTCCTGCGGAGGCTTGGCACCGTCAGCGCACATGCGGACGAGAACGACCTCGGTCGGGTTGCCTATTAGGCCGGCGAGGCCACCGGCGAGCCCGGCACAGGCGACATTCCAAGACAGTGGGAGGGTCTCGCGGCCGGAGCGCTGGAGGAGCGACGTGGACAGGGCGGCGTGGATGCCGAAGCGGGCGGTAGAATATGTCCCCTGGCGCAGGATGGACGCGGAGAGGCCAGCCCAGAGGGAGGGGATACCTGGCGTGGTGAGCCGCGATGATCTGGAGGAAGTCTACGAGGGCATGGGTACGATACCATCGCGGGCGGCCAGGCGGGACATGGTGCGCAGCATGGAGTCGCTCGACTTGAGGACCTGCATGCGGCTGCGGCAGACGTCAGCGCTCAGCGACGCTGATGTAAATGAAGGACACTCGTACTATTTTGTTTGGTCCAGCGGATGTGCTGCGGCCGTCAGTATCGACATGCCCCGGCGGTGATGATGATGAGAGACTCACTGAAGCACACGGCCATGCACGCCGCGGCGCCCCTATTCGTGTAAGTCGGCTGATGGTATCACCGCCCGGCGGGGGCACCACTCACCCCAGCCAAAACGGCTCCTTTGTCTTGCTAGCCATGGTTCTCGTTTCCCGTTCTCCAAACTCTCGTGACTTCGCATTGACAAGACTAAACCCGCAGCCTATATCATCTCATCTCATCCTGTGCTTCTCACCCTCGCCCCTCGGCATCCACGCCGCGCAGGCATTATACGGCCTCAGCGTGGGGCCCTGCACGGGCATCACGAGCGCGACCGACCGACCGACCGACTCGGAGGACAGTTGTGGTCGCCTTGGGGGAGTCGACCGGCGTCACTACTGCGACCCGGCGGGACCGACCACCGGACATGAGGCGGACGCGGGGTGTCTTGAGGTGGTGGCGGACGCCGCGGGGGGAGGGAGGGCAATTCGGCGCGCAAAAGTAGAGGCCGATGCCGACGGACGCACGCCGACCCGCGGCTCATGCCGTCACTGGTGGCGGGCAGTGGAGCGCCCCAGTTGGGGTCTTTAGCAGGTGAACTGAACTGAATTGGGCCCCATCGTCGTCTCTCCAATGCCGAGCAACCGAGCCTCCCTACACGTCGCAGTATATCTGACGAAAAGCGCCGCGCGTGATTGATTGATTGATTGATTACGCCATGGGACGCGGCGACGACGAGGCGAGCACGCATCGACTGAGAGACGCCAGAGACGCAGCCGACCGAAGAAGCAACACCAGTACCAGCAGCGACAATAGCACCACACGCGGCAGCATGTCGAAGCTCTCGCCGCCGCTCAAGGCGCTCATCAACGCGCCCTTTGCGCGGCCGGGTCCCGTGCCTGCGCCTCGGGGCATCGCAGACGTGTACGCCCGTATTGCGCGCGAGGCGGAGCAGCATCGCGTGGGCACGAACCCGTGGCTGGCCATTTCCGTGAGCCGCAGCCCATCCGTCCACAACGACAAGTCTCTCTAACACACGTTTCTGCAATAGGCCGCCGCGACCTTTACGCTCAACTCGCCCGACTCGCTAGCCGTGCTGCACCGCGTCGCCACGGAGCGCGGCGCGGCGCCCGCCCCCGCCGCGGAGCTGGTGCGCGAGGTCGGGCTCAAGTGCATCAGCTTCAACGGCATCCCGCGCACCATCAACTGCCTCAACGCGTTCCGCGCCGCGCTGCCCGCCGACGTGGCGGCGCGGCTGCACGACCGCCCCTCGCGGGAGCCTTCGCCTGTGCCCCCCCGCGAGGGCGGCAACGGCAACGACGTCGACGCGGTGGCGGGGCGCGCGCGCGCGCTGTGGGACTCGGTGTATGCGCCGTTCGAGGACAAGCTCGTCGAGAAGCTGGCGCGCGCGCACCCGGACCTGCCGGTGCATATACTGAACAGCCACTATGGCCCGCTGCTGAGCGATCCCCCGCCCGCGCAGAAGACTGGGAGCGAGAGCGGGACGGCGCTGGCGAGGACGGGCCGCGTGCTGACGAGCGCCGTGGCGGTAGCGTGCCTGCGCGCGCAGACGGGCGTGGGGCCGCAGGTGCTGTCGCACGTCTTTGGGCTGCGCAAGGCGTGGGAGGACGGCTCGTGGAGGGGCGACGCGGAGGCGGGCGTCGTCGACGAGGAGACGGTGCGGTGGCTGGCGGGCGATGAGGGGTGTGAATGGCTGCTACGGAGCGTGGATGGCATTGTCGAGGCGTTGGGCGGGAGTACGTTTGCTGGCGCGAACGCGAGGGAGTCGAAGCTGTGATAAGAGGTGGATGGGTAGATGCTTGAGTTTGGGTGTTGGGCGTGGTTGGAGCGTCATGTGTATAAAAGAGACGACTGCATATATATATAGGGCATAGATGGGGTGGGTGGGACAGCGACGTGTGTTGGGCATCGTGCGCCATGAGCAATGATTTAGATTAAGACGTCTAGAGGCTTGAAGATGCATGTACAATGTTGAACATGCGGCAGAGTTAGTGACATACAGCATGGCATTGACGGACAATGGACAACGGATGCCTGTGTATTTGTATACGCCGTCAAGATTTCCGGAGCAGTTGGAGACGGCGTCAGCGCATTACATCACGGGCAACGGGCGATGAGCAAAGAAATTATCATCCATGTTAACGGCAGCCTGCCTGAGGTGCCTTTCCGTCTAGATTTAACGCCGTCCCATGACAACCCACAACCCCCCCGGCCGGACCCCTCCTCACTCCATCGTCTTGATATCGTCGGCGACCTTGAAGTCGGCCTCGGTCTTGCTCCGCACCTCGTCGACGTCGACGCCCGGCGCCAGCTCCGTCAGCGTGAGGCCGCCGTTCTGGCGGTCGACCTGGAAGACGCACTGTTTTGGTGTTCCCACGTGGTTAGCCCAAGCTGATCGACCCCTTTTTGTCTGGCCTGTCGACGGGAGAACAAGGGGCGAGAGAGAAGGGGGGAGAAAAGAGAGAGAGAGAGAGACCCACGAGATCGGTAATGATGGTGCTGACGCAGCGCGCGCCCGTCAGCGGCAGGGCGCACTGCTGCACAATCTTGCTCGAGCCGTTCTTGGCCACGTGCTCGGTCGCGACGACAATCTTGGTGTTGTCCGGGTTGGCGACGAGGTCCATGGCGCCGCCCATGCCCTTGAAGACCTTGCCGGGGATCATGAAGTTGGCGAGGTCGCCCGCGGCGCTGACCTGGAGGGCCTGTACATGAATCCATTCTTGTCAGCGATGCTGCGCACACACCCCATCATTGCCCCCGAGCTGTCTCTCGATGTGTGTAAGAGAGAAGGGCGGAGGGGGAGAGAGAGAAGAGGGCATCACGTACACCCAGAATCGACACGTCGACGTGCCCGCCGCGAATCATGCCAAACGACTCGCTCGAGTCAAAGCACGACGCGCCCGGCACCAGCGTCACCGTCTCCTTGCCCGCGTTGACGATGTCCGCGTCGACCTCGTCGCGCGTCGGGTACGGGCCCATGCCCAGGATGCCGTTCTCGGACTGGATCCAGACGGTGCGGCCCTCGGGGATGAAGGTCGCGGCCAGCGTGGGGATGCCGACGCCCAGGTTGACGTAGTAGCCCTGCTTGAGCTCCTGCGACGCGCGCCGGCCGATGCGGTTGCGCCGTTCCTGCGCCTCATCCTTGGCCGTGCCCGCAACGGGCTTCTTCCCATCGTTGGCGGGGTCGCGCAGCTTGAGCACCTCAATCTGCTTGTCCGCCGTGGCGGGCACGACGCGGTCGACGAAGATGCCCGGCAGGTCGACGGCGTTGGGGTGGATCTCGCCGACCTCGACGATGTTTTCGGCCTCGACGATGGTGAGCTTGGCGGCCTTGGCCATGAGCGGGCCGAATGCCTTGGTCGTGTATCTAGACACACACACTAATCAGCATCCGCGCTTTCATGTCATGGACAGTCTTATGCACCAGCACCCGCGTGTAAGTCATGAGGCGGGGAGGGAGGAAGCTTACCGGAAGACGCAGTTGCCCGCGCGGTCGACCTTCCAGGCGCGCAGAATCGCGACGTCGCCCGTCAGCGCCCGCTCGAGGAGGTACGCCCGGCCGTCGAACTCGCGCGTCTCGCGCGGCTTGCCCTTTTCGAGGACGGTGCCGTTGGGGCCCAGCCGCGTGGGGATGTCGCCGTCCTGGAGGAGCGTGTCTGCGAGTCCCGGAACGCTCGGTGTTAGTCTGCTGATCCTAAGTGTAACGCTCTGCCGCACGCCCTCCCCTCACTCCGAGCTCGTGACGGGCAGGGGAGAGAGAGAGAGAAGAGTGAGAAAACGGGAGGGAACAAGGGGGGACTACTCACGCGCGCCCGTCGGGGTGAAAAACGCCGGGATGCCCGCGCCGCCCGCGCGCAGCCGCTCCGCCAGCGTGCCCTGCGGGCACAGCTCGACGGCCAGCTCGCCCGTCAGGTACTTGCGCTCGAGGGCCTTGTTGTTGCCCAGGTACGACAGGATCAGGCGGTTGACCTGACCGGCCTTTGTGAGGCTCGACAGGCCGCCGAGCCCCTCCATGCCGGCGTTGTTGGACACGGCCGTGAGCGAGTGGAGCTCGTCGACGCCGCGCCGGTGCAGCGCCTGGATGAGCGTCTCTGTTTTTCGCGGGAAAAGCCGTCAAGTCAGTCGCTTACGCACTTGCAGTCTCGCTTGCACTTACACCACCCAAAGGGGAGAGAAGCTTGTGGGTGTAGACTTACCGGCGACGCCGCACAGGCCAAACCCGGAGCTTAGGAGGACGGAGCCGCTACGGACATCGGCGACGGCCTCGTCGGCGGTGCCGAGAACCTTGGAGTCCTTGCGCGCGGACGACGACGATGGCTGTGAGAGGCGTATCGTGGTGGTGAGAAAGGTTCGTCGCGCCGCCATCGCCGGGCCGGCCGTCTTGACGCCGGGCGCGACGGACAGCCGGACCGCGACGCGGCACACGAGCGCGGGACGCATCGAGGGTCTCATGGTGCGCGCCCTTCGGTGTATTGCGTGTCTGTCACTCTGTGGGCTCTCTCCAGATGCTCTCAAAGTGCCCCGCGAGAGCCAATGGCAGGCAGACTGAGAGTGAGGGAGAAAGGGAGAGACGGGAGCAGCCTTCGTGAAGCTCGCCCAAGGGTGGGCTTCACGTCATAATTTGTATTTATACGACCGCACACGGCAATGGGCGAGGGGAATAGCCGAAAACCACACCACGCACCATGCCCAAGTGGACACGCAATTCATTCCCACCCCTTGAATCAAGCAATCAATGCCGTTGCGAGGGCGAGAGAGTGGGCGGAAAAGTGGTGTCGTCACGTCGGCGAAGCTCCGCCGGCCGGAGCTCAACCCTAAAGATCGGGTCGCCGCCGGTAAACCCGGACCCGGTCGAACGGGGCGCCAGACATGTCAAGGTCAAGGGTCTTGTTGAGCCACCCACTCACTCACTCACTCACCTTGCCCACCACACGCCACGCGCTAGCAGAGGCGGGACACAGAACAAGCGCCGTCTTCATCGGGGCGCAGATCTGGGCCCCGGCGTTGAGCCTCGACGCGCTTGACGCAATATGGAGTGGCTGACCACCACCACCACCACCGCCAAAGCAGTCGTGATGGTTCCCCCAGTTCCCCCGGCGGATCGACATGTTTCCGTGGCTCCCCTGACAGCGGCCCCGGATGGCCATTATTATCCTTTTTCCCCCGCAAAAACCGGCTCCTCTCCTTCCCCCGCAGATTTGAGATCCGGTGGCCGGGGTTGGCGGGATTAGTTATACGTCTCATTCTGCTACGTACTACTATAACTGCCCTGTTCTGGTTTGTGGGAGCTTATGCGCGGGGGATCCTTAAATGGACGTCTGTCTCGCCCCTCCTGCTCCAGAGGTCTCCCCTCCCGCCCGCCCCCAGATTGCGTGCGACGATAACAATCCGAGACATTGAGTGCAACGCTCTGGTGTGCTGTGCCTCCCAATGAACGCCAAGTCCGACTCCGAGATGGAAGCCAAGGCCGAGCACGAGGAGCTCGATGCCATGGGCCACGAGGCGCGCCGCCATCGCGCGCACCTCACCCGCAGCGTGCTCCTCAAGACGGACACCAGGTATGGCTCTCAATTCACTCGTCACCCCTGCCTGCGCTGACAGCGGCCGTGTGTGACCGACCTCAGAGTCCTCCCCGTGCTGGCGCTCCTCTTCCTCTGCTCGTTCCTCGACAGGACCAACGTCGGCAACGCCAAGATCATCGGCCTCGAAAAGGACCTGGGCATCACCGACCTGCAGTACACGCAGGGCCTGGCCGTCTTTTACGCCACCTACATTGCCAGGTGCGTGCGCCGCGCTCCCTCTCCCCCGAACTCGGACGCTCTCCCGCGCGAAACCTATATGCTGACTCGTTCCGTGTCCTGCCCAGCGAGCTCCCGAGCAACCTCGTCCTCAAGAAAGTCTCGCCCAAGATATGGCTCCCCTGCCTGACGGCCGCGTGGGGCCTCGTCACCATGTGCCTGGGCTTCGTGCGCGGCTACGCCAGCTTCGTCGCCGTGCGCGCCGTCCTCGGCGTGACGGAGGGCGGTCTCCTGCCCGGCATGGTGCTGTACCTGTCGGGGCTGTACACACGCGGCGAGCTGGCGCTGCGCATCGGCATCTTTTATACGGCGGCGTCGCTCTCGGGCGCCTTCGGAGGTGAGTTGTGCCTGCTTCAGTTATCGTTGTCGGTATGCTGACGATGGAGCAGGCCTGCTCGCTAGGGGACTGTCCGCCATCGGACCCCGCGGCGGACTCGAGGGCTGGCGATGGATCTTCATCATCGAGGGCCTCCTTGTGAGTAAATTTGGACGCTCACCACCTCGAATGGGTACTGACCACAGCAGACCATCGTCGCCGGAGCCATTGCCTTTCTCGCCCTTCCCAACAGCCCCGCCACCGCCCGCTACCTCACCGAAGAGGAGCGCGAATGGGCCATGAAGCGCCTCGCCGGCAACGGAGACGACCGCTTCGAGTACGTCAACCCCATCCACGTCGCGAAGAATACGCACGCTGACTCTATACTCTGCAGCCTCGCGCGCGAGCGGGAGGAGCGCTTCCGCTGGAGCGAGGTCCGCCGCGGCGTCTTCAACGTCCAGGTGTGGCTCTCGTCGACGGCCTACTTTGCCATTCTCTCGGGGCTGTACTCGTTTGGCCTCTTTGTATGCGAAACTCGCCTTGTCTTTGGTGTGTTTGGAGTGACTGACTGACTGACTGGGTGCAGCTGCCGACGATTGTCAACGACATGCACATTGCCAGCAACCCCAACGAGACGCAGCTCTGGACTGTGATTCCCTACGCCGTGGCGACACCGGTGACGGGTGCGTCTTTTCCCCTCTCGCTTGACCAAGATGTTTCATGTTCCGGCGGCTGACTCCCCCCTCAGTGCTCGTTGCCTTCCTCTCCGACCGGCTCAAGCGACGCGGCACGCTCATGCTCGTGGTGCTGCCCATCGCCATCGTGGGCTACGCCGTCATCGCCAACATCAAGGCCGCGTCGCCGCGCTTCGCCATGACGTGCCTCATGGCCATCGGGCTCTACGCCGCCGTGCCCTGCGTGCTCGTCTGGAACTCCAACAACTCGGCCGGCCACTACAAGCGCGCCACCACGTCGGCGCTGCAGCTGGCCGTGGCCAACTGCGGCGGCTTCGTCGCCAGTGAGTGCCCACGCCCACGCCACCGCACCGCACCGCACCGCACCGCACCGTGCTTGTGTTCCCCAGCCTGTCGTCGTGTCTCGTAGCCCGCTGACCAGACCGTGTTCGTCAACAGCGTTCGTGTATCCGGCCAAGGAGGGCCCGTACTACCACAAGGGCCACACCATCATCCTGGGCCTGCTGTGCTATGCCTGGGTCGCGTGAGTTTCCCTCCCCCCTCCCTCCCCTTTGCCACTCCACGCGCCGCCGCCGCCGCCGCCGCCGCGTGACTGTGAGACTTTTTGTCGCTGACCGGGCTTTTTTTGCGTGGCAGCGTGGCACTCAACGTCTTGTGGTGCGTCAAGATCAACCGGGATAAGAGGCGCGGCAAGTACGACGCGTTTGCGGGCTGCGGCGACGACCGCGACCCGGAGTTTAAGATGGTGCTGTAGTTTTGTGTGAATTGATGATGTATATTGTTAATGCGTGCCTAGAGATGGGTCTGCGAAATAAATTACGTTGGATTGATTACCTGCAGGTTGTCATTGCGTGCAGACGGCAACCCGCATGTGCGCGTTCCGAACGCTCAGGCTGTCGTCTAAACGTTGTGTCACACAACCTTCAACTGTAAGAGATTGCCCCAAGGCCCCAGCAACCACAAACACTTTGTAGAGCTTGACACAGAGACTACACTACAGCGTCTTTAATTACAGCTCAGACCGCAGTATCGACTATCTAGATCTTGCAATACTAGACGATCAGCGGCAGTCGGCGGCCACTTTCACACATCGGCACCGAGTCTAGGGTAGTCATAACATTCGTATCAGCGAGGCGAGGCCGCATTTCTTGACTCTCGTCGGCTCGGATGAGCTCGGCCGGCAGTCTCGAAAAAATGAGCTGAGCCATGCAGAACATCTGGTCCCTGCCCCTGGGCAAACGGCCCACCACAGCGGCGGCGCAGCAGGAGCCGGGGCCCGGATCGGTGTCCCGTGCAGTTGCCGGCCATCAGATGCACCCCAGCCCCCAGCAACAGCAGCTGCCGTGACACGGCCCTTAGCCTCGACGGGCAAAACAAAATAAAATCAAATAAGAAGAAAAACATACGAGGTGAGCTTTAGCCTCCCGGCGACCGTCCGTCCGTCCGTCTTCAGAGACGGGCCGACAGGTGCCAGCCGCGGCTGGTGGTTTCTGCTCCAGTCCCTTTCGACGAGACATTGCCACGGCGAGGATGATTCAGAAGCTGGGCCCGGCGTCTTCAGCTCGTCGGGGCCTCTTGCTGCCGGTGAGAAGGGCTTGACAGTACCCAAGCTGCCAAGAGGCCAATTGCCGAGAGCATGTTCTGAGAGTTGCATGATGGAGCGCAGCACATCACCCGATCCCGGAGACCGTCCAATTGACTTTACCAGGGAGTGACCGTGTCCGCGCCGCTTTACGTTACGGGCCCTGATAACTCGAACGGCGGACGTATTAAACGGCAGGCACACTTGAGCTTGCCGGCCGTTTGCCACTCGTGGAACCCTCCCTCCCCGTAATGTTCGTGCATACACATACTGTGCATGTCGGGTTGCCTTTTTTTTTTGCTTTTGCAGCGCGCCGCTGATTTGCCTCCCTGCCTCCTCCTCCCCTTGTCGGGTGGCCATTGAATGTCTCGCAGCCACCATCAATCACATCGCGGGGACAGAACGCGCGATCAGACCTTGGCCTTGTTCAACCCTGACGGCGTGTCGGGACGCAAGGGGCCTAGCTCAACCTGCAGGTCCTAGACACAAGGGGCGCGCCCGCCGCCGTGTTGTGTCTTTGCTGTCAACGACTTTTTTCCCTCTCTCTCTCTGGCTGGCTGGGTCGGGCGCGACGCGGCGGCCGACGTGGGCGCTCGACAGTGACGCGACGATCCGCCACCCAAGACGCCTTGCCGCCGCCAGGCCGTTCTTTGGTGCTGTTGGTGACGGACTTCTATGCGCGTCGGGCATCTTCTCGGCCGTGGCTGTTTTCTCCGTTGCCCGTGGGCTCAGGTCTGAGTATTGGGCATCTACGGCCGCTGGGACGCCCGTTGTAGTTGTTGTTGATCACTGCCGTGAAGGTGCGATGCGCTGTTCCTCTTACCAAACTATTTACACTGTCTTACTGCGTGCGTGCATGGAGCTGCGCGCGCACGCGCGGTGCCTGGTATTGTCCTGCCGGGGCGAGGGTCCGCAAAACCCGAACTGGCTTTGAGACAACTGCCCAGCGCCCGCTGAGGAGCAATTGTCTCTTGTCTCGCCTTGCCATCACTAGCTTCTTAGCCTAGACTCTGCTTTCTGGCTCTGCCTCTCTCACCGACAATCGACAATGGCAAACTTCCTTTTCGATGAATGGGCGGATAAAAAACAGGGCACGTAAAATTAGCAGGTCCCAAAAAAGGTGTGGCCCTTCTCTCAACATTGGCGTTGATGACTGAACCATCAACAAAACATCTGTGCAGTTGCCACACGCACCGCACCCACCCCCACGTCGAATGGTCCGTAGTTAACTTAGCTAGTGAGTTAGTTGCTTATTTTTGTCGGGAGAGCTTCAGCCGACCGAGGGGGCCGGCGACCGCGGCAAGGGATACAGCAGCTAGCCCTGCGCTCACACGAGAGAAATTAAACACCTGCAGCCCGGCGACGGGCGCTCGGCGATGACGGAGCAAACGAGCCGCAGCGGACCGTAATCCATAATCACGATTAATAAAAGATGCGTATTATGTATGCAACCAAGCAAAAAGCAAGAGGCTTGATGACTATGTCCTCTCCGCGCCAAGTGTCTGATCGCAAAGGGGCCATGTGTAGCTACGGACAGCACCGTACCGAGAGTTTGTTGAGTACTGTAATAACTACAATGCTGGGTTGCAGTTCCGCAATACTCGACAACGGCAACCTGGTATGTGCTGCAGCTCAATCACACTTGATCGTGCCATTGATGCGGCCCATGCGCAGGCAGGCAACGCAGCGCAGCCTCACTCAGGCAACCACTCCCTTACACCCGGACAGCGTCAAATGGAAGTCGGCTCCGCGACCTACGGAACTCGCATACGCGATGCTACCTCGACTAGTAGGCATCGGCAGACAGCTCCCGGCGTTGTCGCCTGGGCATCATGCAGCTTTCTGCATTGTGCATGTATGCTTGGCCCTCATCCCCTCCATCCCCCCTCGCTCGACGTTGCTTTTGGCGTCTGCGGCCCCCATGTCGCCCCCCGTCGATCAGAGACAACTCCCGCCCGCCGTGTCACCGTACAGAGTACAAGCGCCGTAGTTTCTTTTCCGCCCCTTGTCTCTGCCGTGCCTTGCCCCTGGACTAGCTTGTCGCTCGGGCGGACCGTCGCCCCTCTCTCCCCTTTGCCTTGCCGTGCCTTGCCTTGGCCGTCATCTACCTCCCTTGGGGCAACCCCGTTGTCAGCTCCGCCTCGCGCCCCCCCCTTCGCTCAGCCTGCCGGAAGTCGTCCCCGCCCTCCCTCTCTCCACTCTCGCCGGCCGGCCGGCCGCCCGGGATGCGCTAGGTCCGAGCTCCAAGGCAGGGCGATCCTCCACGTCTGCCCCTCCGCGGCCTAATATCACGATGCAGCTTGTGTCTTACCCTCGCAGCTCCGCGGACGTCGACACGAGCGTTCTGGGCTTCAACCCCCGGCGAGACAGCAAATCTCCTCCTCACGCTGTGTCCGTCCGTCTGCCGCAGGGGATCCAAGCGATGGACCGGCCGACACTTGCCTCTCGCGGCTGGGCTCGCGGGCAGCTCAAAGGCCATCCAGATGGATATAAAAGACGCCCTTGATCCCGCTCAAATCTCAGCTTCTCTCCTCATCCACTCAAGCATCCAGTTCCAAGCATCTCCAGCGCCTTCTTTCGCTCAACAGCACCACCGTCGTTACCCAACGCACCAATCCAAAAACCCACCAACCTTCAAAATGAAGTTCTTCGTCGCTGTCCTGGCCCTTGCTGCCACCGCCATCGCCGCTCCCACCGAGTGCAAGTCCTGCCACAAGGAGCCCAGCCACGAGCACAAGCCTGAGCACAAGGAGCCCAGCAACAACAAGGTCGGCAACGTCTGCCAGAGCCACCAGACTGTCGTCTGCCAGGGCCAGGGCAACGGCGGCCTCCTCTCCCTCGGCAACATCCTGCCCGGTGCCCTGGGCCAGAACTGCGCCGGTGGCGACGTCTACTGCTGCTCGCACGACGATGTCAAGCAGGTAAGAGCGAGAGATTCCATCTCTTCCATCAACTCAACTGACACTCACAGGTCGGCCTCATCAACCTGGACCTGAACGTCCAGTGCTCTCTCAACCGCCTGCTGTAAGCGCTGGAGCCTAATTGGAAGCTTGTCCTCGCCGCAGAGGCCGGGTGAACAAAGGCCTGGTGTGCTTGTGCTGGAGCTATTTCCTGGTCGGCCTTCGCGGTCGTCTCATGGACGGTGGACCGGTACAGCAGCCCTGTTCCATACAGGCGCGAGCTACTTCTTCTCTTCTTGGCTCCCCGTCTTGTACCTAGACTTTTCACATAATCATATAGTGGGAGGAAAATAATAATGTTCCCCTGACAATCATTCCCATCACCGCGTAGCCATTATAAACTGATACGTGCGCTTTGCGATTGACTAGCTAGCAAAGTTGCTTCTCCAGCTTCTGTCGCGTACAAGCTGATTATACTCTCACATGCCTGCCATCAAACTCCCTTTCGCTGCACCAGAGTGATAGGCACCAGAATCGACTTATTTCGACACAATACCACTTTGGTAGTCTGCCAGTCGAAGTTCTTCGGGACAAAAGTCACGAAACTTCTCCGCAAAGCAAATGTTCACGAACCTATCCGTAAGTGTTGAAGATCCACCCTCACGCATGATCAAAGTCTCGTAGTTCGCCGAGAATTCACGATAGGAACTCGATGGAACGAGATAAGAGGTGCTATCTGCCGCTTGAAACGGTATCGTCAGCCTCACATTCTGGAACAGTCCTGGTGTGGAGTGTTTGCGTACTTACGACCTCTGCCGCCGCGTCGGCGGGGATTACCAGAGTATTGCTGATTTTCTTGAGAGCCGAACATGCCACCAGATGTCCGAACAGGGGCAGATGGAGGTGTTGAGGGAGAGAGTCCAAAAGCGGGCGGCTGCGTTGATGGACGGCCGAACCCTGAATACGGAGCGACGACAGACGAGGATGCTGAAGAGGAGGGTGCGCTCTGACGGCATGGACTCTGACCAGGAGTCGCAGTGGCAAACCCACCCCCCGTGCCAGCTTCCCCCCTCTGTGGAACGGGGGCAGACGCTGCTGGGATTGTCTTTGGCGTAACGGACTCCGTCTCGGTCTTTGATGGTCTCGAAGATGATGTTGCCGAGACTTTCTTCGACGCTGGCGTTGTGGACTGATGTGGAGGGCTTGCACTTGCTGGGCTGTTTCGAGGCGTCTCGCTCGGACTTACATGCTGCTTCTGGATCTTTTGCGGGAGAGTAACTGGGGGAAAGCCTGCCAGATTATCGTCAGACAAGAATTAGGGGTGACAGATAACAGGGCACTCACTCGTCTGGCACCACGGCTTCGCGTCTCTGCAGATTGATAGCGCCTGTTCCAGAACCTGAACCTCACGGCTCAAGCGAGTTTGGTCTTTGGTGACGGTACTTGGCCGCTCGGTGAGCCGAAGGATTGTTTCGGCATCCAGCTTGTTCTCCAGTATTGGCTGTACAATCGACGGAATGCTGGCTACGAGGCACATTTCGACTGCGAGAATGATAACGTTGTTGATGAACGTTTGCATCGAAGTCTAGCAAGTGTGGTTAGCAGAGGAACTGAACATGTAGGAAAAGGAACTTGGGGCACACGAACCAAGTAGTAAGCCTTCATCATGTCCACAACATCAAACTGACTGCCGGCTGTGGCATGCTCGGCCGATGACGATGTTTCCGAGCTTGCGGTCGACCCCAATTGAGCCTCTGACTGGACACGTCGACGGCGTACGCTTTCCAGGCGCCACTGGAACTCCTGGTCGGCGCAGATCATTTGCCCATGGTGGTAGTGTCGCACCAACTCATCCAGTTTGCGGTCGAGGTCGGGCTCCAGTCGTCTGAAGTGAGGTTGAACAAGCTCCGCGACGACGGCGTCGAGCCCTTGCTTGTCGGCTCCGAACACGTACTTCAGGGCGGCCATGATGAAAGACTTCACGGCATCTGTGGACAAGCCCACATACCTCTTCGCAATGTCGTGCCATTTTTCAGACTGCTCGCGAAAAAGCCTCAGGCTAAGGTGGTAATCGACGGCGCCGGGGGCATGTTCGCACGAGCCAGAATGCGCTACCTTTGGAAGCAAATCGGATAGGAGCACCTCCTTGGGTGCCTCAAAGTTGAACAGGCGAATCCAAGCAGCCGTAGCTTCTGATACTTCGCTAGTAGGAGGTCGCGAATCTTGGTGCTCCCGCACGACTCTGTACTTGGCACCGTTCCAGCTCATGACGTGCTCAAAGCTCCGGCTAAGAGTGCGAATGATGGTGCGCAATTCTCGGACGTCTCCTTTGCTGAAAGTGTCGGCTCGCCGTTTGAGAAAAAAGCTGTGCTCGTAATCTCCTCTCATGGCTGCCTAAGCGATGGATTCGAAATGACGAGAAACGCCAAAGAGATAATGCGATCGATCCGAGACGGTGCCAAGAGGTACTAGAAGACTCTCGAGCTCTCTTTGCTTGGCTCCGAGCTTGTCTTTGCTCTTGGTAATGATGTCCGGAAGAGTGAAGGAAAGCCGTTTGGCAAAAAGATCGCTCAGCCTGGACATCAACGCGTCAAGACCTTGAGCGTGACCTGGTATCTGAGAAAAGAGACTGAGGCCCTGTGAACTCAGCATGGTTGGGTGGCCATCTTGGTTTTGGTCGATGTTATTTTCGCTGGTGGAGGGGCAGTTGACAATGTGCCACTTGTTTGCCAAAAGACTGTCTTCTTCATTGAAGAGATACAGAAGCTGGTCGATGCACGGAGAGTCGGTGCCAGTCGACTCATTTATGGCTACGATAGCCATGGTCCGCTCTGCGGTTGAATCGTAGGCTTTGATGAGGTCCAGGATGGCCTGGCTTTTGGACTCAGAAGTGCGAGAAATAACAAAGAGAAAGATGGAGTTGTTTCCTTGTAGGTATTGTCTCGCTTTGCGGATGACTTGGGGAGCAGATTTCGGTTGGCCTTTCTCGGAGTCAAGGGCGAGTGAGGCCAACACAGGCACGTCCACAAAGGTGACGTGCTCAAGATCCGGGCCGCAAATGTTCAGTCGAAGGATGCTCTCCCCAAGAGTCTTGGAAAGGGATTCGTCTGCCAGGACCTCTTTGGCGCGGTCCACGGCCTGGACGAGGATGTCGGAACAGCCGCGCTTGGTGCCGCGAAGAGGCATAGTCTGAGCTGACGGGTGGTTTTTCAACGCGACAGATGAGCTGACTTCTTGTCCCTTTTGGATGGCAACCTCAATGGCAGGAGCTTTGCCTCTGTTGGTTGCTCCAGAGAGAAAGTCGACGCCGGAGATCATGCGCAGGAGAGACAGTTTGGCTGGACAATTCGCACCGATGACAACAATTTGGGGAGGGTCGCCAACGCTCACACCGAGCTCGCGCAGGTCGTGAAGAGCGCCCAGGAGCTCCTTGTGATCTTTGGCGATCTGGGCCAGCAGACCTGTGGGAAGCGGCCTGTCCGCCATGGGAGTGAAGGCGATGTTGCGTCTCTCGGTGGTCGATCGAATGAGGTGGAAGGTGACAGGATGGGGAAAAGTGGCAGATTGCCAGACGGGAAATAAATGTGAAATGTGTGCGCAGAAATCTGGTCACGTGGAGGAAGGCCACGCGTGCTTCTGTGCGTTTGAGCGGTCGGTGTTGAATTCACTGGGCGATTGGAGCAGGTGCCCCATACACAAACCACTGGGCCAACAGCTGCGACCAGCTGGCACCTGGCAGTGCGCTGGCGACACGTTCCCACCACTCGCACTGGCCATGCACGGCAGCCAAAGGAGGACCCCTCCCAAAAAATGCATTTCATTTCTTCGCTTCCACCAAACTGATGTCTAAGGTCTGCAGAAGTCAATCGCCAAGTAGTTGATCCGTCAACTGTAGCCTGGGTGTCGACTAAAGGTTGCGCAGCATCCATCACCTACTCCAGGTCTGTCCTCCTTTAGAGCAATCATCCACACACTCAAAAAAATGGGATTAGCACTATGGGGCTACGGTATGGGTTTGTGAACACTCGGCTGCATTGGGTGTGAGTCTTGCGGAGCCTCAACTGCCTGCCAAATCTTTAGGTGTGAAACACGGCCACATCTACCCCTCGAGGAAGGGACAAAGATTTGAGGTGGATAAGTGATCGAACAGAGCAGCAAACTATCGTGCGTACTCTATATGATGCAGATTCGGACGCGGCGGGTAGGCTACTACACCTGGACTATGCCTCAACTGACGCCCGTCAGATGTCGTGCCACAAAATTACAGGGGTCTCAAACATCAACAATGTCAGAAAGCCACAGGGTCATAGTACTCGCCGGAGAAGAAATTATCAGCTTGGCAGATGGCATAGTGCTATGGCACCGGCCCAGTTCCCTTGCTTTCCCGGGCCCAGTCCGTTTCCGCCTTGGCGATTGCAAGTTCACCATGGTTCATGCCCCCATCTCTGGGTGGACGTTGCATCATGGGCCCCGTGTCCCAAATTATTACACGCAAGGAGGGGCATCTAGCTTTGTTGCGTACCTGGTATACTCTTGGCAACCCTCTCCAATGCTATTTTTGCCTCATGATGTTGTTGCCTGGCATATCTGGCCATGCAGAGCAAACGATCCCGCACCACCCTGTGTTTGCTCTGCTGGAGTCAGGGCCAGTGCTCCCCTGTTCCAACGCGCAGAACCACCGGAGCACGGGCCGCCTGCTCCTCTGTCGCACCGCTGCGGCTGGGGGGCCATCCAGGTCCCGATCCGACTTGCCGCTCAGTACGAGTGCCGAACAGATCACTCGACGCCCCTGACTCCCGGGCCCGCCCTGCCTGTTGGATTGCGGCGCGGCTGGGACGGGTTGCGCCCAAGGGCGGCAATGATCGCGACCCTGCAGAAGACACGGGCCAGCTGAAGGCCTGAGGAGCTCTCGACCCCGCAGAAGGGAAAGCCGCAGGCCCATCTCGTGGTGGCAATCATTGCCGGGGCCCTAGCTTCAGAGGCAATCATGTCTGAGATACGCCGTAGCAAGGCCAGCTGAGTACAGTACACACCGCAACGTGACTGTGAGGCGGCGTTGGGCAGCCAGCATAACATGTGCCGCCATTCAATAGAGCCCACACACAACAATGGCTGGCCGCAACGTCCAAGACGACGATACAACCCACCATCTCTGTCCGCGTTGCCAGATTCGGCCACGAGAACCTCCTCTTAGCGAATCCTGTGGTACCGCTGTCCCTACTTGCATTAGCCGTCCAGCCAAGAAGGGCCGAAACGTAAATGTGTGCTACAGTGGAAAAGCTAGACGTTCCGCGATCGCTCGTGGGTTTCCCGGTCGAGGCAAATCGGATCTCGTGTCGGATGCTCCCGTCGGTGAAGTGGGTGGGCAAGATCGCTGTCCAGGCTCAGATAACGCGGAGGGGACTGGTGCCGGCAGGAGCCGCATGCAGTGATACCGTAACATCATGTATCTCGACGCGTGGAATATGCCGTTGGCTACACACGACTCAGCGGCATATAATGCTTCTTCAGCCCCCATGGTTCAGCTACCAACTCGAGCATATACCGGGCACGGGATCATCACTCGTTTTAGCCAGTACCCTGCCATATCTATATCGTCTTCCCAGACCTCTTTGTGCATGAAAGCGGTCGTGCCCGGCGTCGAGCCCAACACGCGATCCACCTGAACGCTTTGAGCAATGGCAGTGACGCAGGCGCGACCCAGGGAGCCTGAGTATGGATCCCGCCTGGCGGTCAATGTTGTTGACGAAATAGCCGCGCGGGATCCCACCCGTCCGTTCGTCTTCGTCCCGCGCTCCAACAAGCCGGACGACGGATGGGTCCCCGTCACCTTCAAGCAGCTTGCGAATGCCGTCAACCATGTCGCCCACATCGTCGCGCGGGACGTCAAGCCCACATCCGCGGACCCGTTTCCCACCTTGGGATACGTCGGGCCCAACGATGTGCGCTACGCCATTGTCATGCTCGCCTGTGTCAAGGCCGGCTGCCAGGGCTTCTTCATCTCGCCGCGCAACAGCGTCGAGGGCCAACTGCGCCTGCTCAAGGCGACCAACTGCACTAACCTCTGGTATGCTGAGTCGTTCCGCTCGATAGTGCAGCCATGGATCGACCAGAGGAAGATGACGGCCAAGATCGTGCCGTCGGCGGAGGAGTGGCTCGGCTCCGAGGGCAAGCCGTTCCCGTACGACAGGCCTTTCGAGGAGGCGCGCTTTGAGCCTTTTTGCGTTTTGCACACGAGTGGATCTACGGGCTTCCCGAAACCGATTGTTGTTCGTCAAGGCAGCATGGCTGTCGCTGACAAGTTTCGGAGCCTGCCTGACCATCACGGCGCTCCTTTTGTCTTTACGGGATGGTCGTCGCAATCCCAGAGGATGTTGATGCCGATGCCGCTCTTCCACGCAGCGGGAATGCTGGCCAGTCTAACGATACTGGCCGTTTTCTACGGTCTGCCCCTGGCGTTGGGCATACCGGACCAGATCATGACGCCCGAGTCGGTCAGGGACTGTCTGTTCTACTCCCGAGCCGACTCAGTGATGCTCCCGCCCTCCATAGTGGAAGGCCTGTGCCAGGTGGACGGAGGGCTGGAAATCATGAAGCAGCTCAATTATGTCGTCGTCGGCGGCGGTACGTATGCTCCCTCATGGCGTCGATGATGTCTAACGCGACTGCACAGGAAACCTCTCACAGGCAGCTGGAGACACGCTCCTAGAGAACGGAATACTCTTGAGCAACATCATCCAGTCCACAGAGTAAGTCGTCCCTGAACCATGGTAGTGGACCTGGCTAACATCGCAGGGCTATCCCGTACGGCATCTACATGCAGCCGAACCCAGAGCTGTGGCAGTACTTCATCATCAACACAGACGTCATGGGGGCGGTGTGGCGCTGCCACGACGAGAGGGAGGGCGTCTACGAGCTGTTCCTCAAGCGCAAGAACTTGATGGACCCGACCGACCAGCCTGCGTTTTACACCTTTCCAGCGGCTGCGGAATGGTCCACCGGCGATCTGTACAAGCGGCATCCCACTCTCCCCGACCACTGGAAGTTTCACGGCCGCGCCGACAACGTCATTGTGTTTTCCAACGGGGAGAAGCTCAACCCTGTGACCATCGAGGACACCGTCATGGGCTGCACGGCAATCAAGGGCGCCCTCGTGGTCGGCCAGGACCGCTTCCAGCCCGCGCTCCTGCTGGAGCCGTTCGATCACCCGAGGAACGAGGCCGAGAAAAGGGATCTCCTGCGGCGAGTGTGGCCATATCTCCAGGAGGCAAACCGCGAAGCCGTCGCGCACGGGCGCATTTCGCGACAGCTGGTGATGGTCTCGGACGAAAAGATTCCGTTTGCACGCGCACCCAAGGGCACGGTGCAGCGGCCTCTGACGATCATGGCTTACAAGAGGCAAATAGACGACCTGTACAGCAGGGCCGAGGACAACGAAGCACAAGACATTGTGGCGCTCGACTTCAGCGGCGAGTCTGCCCTGGCGGAGTCGATCATCAAGCTGCTCAAGACGAAGCTGCTGGTGCGCAACGCGCATCCAGACGCAGACCTCTTCTTGCTCGGCGTCGACTCGCTGCAGGTCATGCAGATGGCGAGCATCCTCCGGGCCAGCGCCGAGGCGGCCGGAGTGATGGTGAAGCGAAACCACTGTGCGCCTCGGGCTATCTACGCGAACCCGACTCCACGGCAGCTGGCTGCGTATCTCCTCTCGACCATCAACGGCGGCGAGTCCACGCAGAGCGACGAGGAGCGCGAGATAGCTGCCTTGAAGGGACTGATAAGCAAGTACACAAAGGACCTGCCGACACCCCACGCTCACAGGCCGGATCCCTTTAGCGATGCGCAGACGGTTCTAGTGACGGGCACGACGGGGTCCCTGGGGGCTTACCTCCTCGACCACCTGTGCAAGCTCCCGCAAGTGGGCAAAGTGATTGCCCTGAACCGCGGCAAGAACGGAGGAAAGCTACGACAGGGGCCCATCAGCGCAGCCCGCGGTCTCAGCACCGACTTCTCCAAGGTGGAGTTCCTCCGGGCGAACCTCGCGATGCCGCACCTCGGCGTCGGCAAGGTGCGGTACCGTAGACTGCTGTACTCGGTCGACCGCATCGTGCACAACGCGTGGCCCGTCAACTTCAACATCAGCGTCGCCTCGTTCGAGCCGCACATCTGCGGCGTGTGGCACCTCGTCGACTTTGCCAGCAAGGCGTCGCGGCGGGTGCCTATCATATTCGTCTCCAGCATCGGCACCGCCATGGCGTGGAAGAAGCAGTGCCCCGTCCCCGAGGCCAAGCTCGAGGACCTGTCGCTAGCGGAGATGGGCTACGGGCGCTCCAAGCTCGCAGGCAGCCTGATCCTTGACGCGGCAGCGGCGCGCGGCGTGCCGACGGCGACGGTCCGCGTGGGACAGGTCGCGGGCCCGAGGAGCCGGAATGGTGTGTGGAACAGGCAGGAGTTCATGCCGACGCTAATTGAGAGCTCCCTGTTCCTGGGCAAGCTGCCCAAGAGCATTGGGCCGGGCGACGAGGTGGATTGGATGCCCATCGAGGACGTCGCCCAGCTGGTCCTGGACGTGTCGGGCGTGACGACGGAGACGCCCGTGTCGGCGATACACGGCTACTTTCACTGCGTCAACCCGTCCAGGACGACGTGGGCCTCGCTGGCGGCCGCTCTGGAGGAGCACTACCGCGGGCGCCTGGAGATGGTGACACTCGAGGAATGGGTCGCCGCGTTGGAGCAGGACGCCGGCACTGGGGCGAGCGCGGAGAGGAACCCGGGCGTCAAGCTGTTGGACACGTATAGGAGCATGTTGGCGTCGGCGAAAGAGGGCGCTCGGCACGTCAACTTCGACATGAAGCGTACAATCGCCACGAGTCCGACCGTGGCCGGCCTGGGGCCTGTCTCGCCCGAGCTGCTGAGGAATTGGTGCGACCAGTGGGGGTTTTAGTCTAAATTGTCTCGGGCATGGCTGGCGTTGAAGGAGTTAGGTACAAGCTGTAGTTTACTCTTCACGTGCATTCAGCTTCGTTGAATCTATTCGTTGTCAATTAGCCTGCCTTGTAAAAGTGAACTTGTGAGGGCGGCGGCGTCAGCGCTTGAGCCGACTGCGGGGAAATCACCTTCTTGAACCGGCATGAACTGACGCTTGTCATCGAACGCGTATCAAGACGCAAGTGCCTCACAAGAACTTGCGTATGCAAATTGCCCAGACAGGTCATCCCGAGTTTGACTACGCGGCTGACGCGAATACCCCGACGACACGCGGCCATGACACGTCTTTCAAGGCTCGCCTTCGACTATAACAAGGCCAATCCCCCAGCACCAACAGTGTCGGGCGCGAGAGAACACCTCACAGCAACCATCGCAATGACTCTCCTAGACAATCTCGAATCAATCATCCGGGCCGACCAGCCCAGCTGCCCGTCCACGGCGGAGGCCCTTGCCAAGATAGGATCCCCGACAACGTCCATCGCCGTGCTCGAGGATGGCGTGGTCTCGTCGCGCTGCTTTTCTACTGTCGGTGACGACACCGAGACCGTCTTCCAGGCGTGCAGCATATCCAAGCCTGTCGCTGCTATGGCCATCATGAAGCTCATCGACGAGGGCAAGTTCAAGCTGGAGAGCACCATCGCCGAGCTCCTCCCGGCGGACGTCCTGGAGATCCTGACGGAAGATTCTCCCAAGAGCCAAAGGTCGATGATCGAAAAGATTACCGTCAAACAGCTCATGAGCCACACTGCCGGGCTTTCAGCGCATGGATTCCCAGGATACGCAACCTCGCTGGGGAACACTCATGTTCCGTCAGCTCGAGAGGTGCTTCGAGGACGTCGGCCCGTAAACACGGAGCGCGTGCGCCTGGAGGGGCTCCCCGGCCAAGCGTTTTCCTACTCTGGCGGCGGTATCACCGTGCTTCAAATCATCCTGGAGACTGTCACGGGAAAAGACTTTCCAACCCTCATGCGCGAGATTGTCCTTGAGCCGCTGGGCATGACACGGTCCAGTTACGGCGGGCTGCGCGACGGCGAGAAGAATGCGGCTGCAGCGCACTACACTGGTTACGCGCCGTGCGAGGTCGCCCATCGCGTGAACCCGGAGGAAGCGGCCGCAGGTCTCTGGACGACGCCGACCGACCTGCTGAGGGTCGTGCAGGCCGTTCAAAAGTCGCTCGACGGTGATGATGGGTTTCTGCGCCGCGACACGGCACGACAGATGCTCACCGAAGTGGATTCGAACATGGCCCTCTCCTGGTTCGTCGGCGGCAAAGGAAAGACATTGTTCGAGCACGGCGGCTCGAACGACCCGGGATTTCGGTGCTCAGTCACAGGCTTCGCAGACCTTCCCGGAAGAGAAGAAGGGGATGCGCCCGCGCCGCGTCACTCTGGAGTTGCGATAATGACAAACTCAGCACTTGGTGTCAAAGCGCTATGGAGGGTCGGGCAGGCAGTGGCGCTCCTGAAGGGTTGGCCACAGGTTCACTGTTGGTTCGCCAAGGGAATGCCGGCCACGCCGTACACGCTGCCGAACGAAAACCCAGGAAAGGCCTGGCAGCCCTGGGCGGGCAAGTGGACGGACGGGAGGCACGAGCTGATCATCAAGGCAGACGGTGATGGGAAACCCGTGGTTGACTATGATGGGCTCGCCGACATTAGGCTCTTGCCTGCTGCAATACCGATGGCCATGGTAGAAGGCGAGAATGAGTACTGCGCCTTTGTGCTCGAGGGGCTGGAGCTGCTGCTCCATCTCAAGGTCAAGGATGGCGAGGGCAAGGCGGTATTGAAGCTGCTGGCGGCGGGCAAGGACAAGGAGTTGACGAGGATTGGGGAATAGCGCGCTCTAGCTGTGTATCTTGAAGAAAAAGTTTAATATCAGAACGGCTATGCTGGTCGGATCACTTCTTGGATTCGAAGATTTTCGAAATGTGTGTGGACAAGTCGCGCTATTGACTCGCAAGTCGAAAAGCCTCCCTAATGGTGGCTGCCTGCTGGTCTGTCGTCATGGTGAGCTTCACGTCGCCAACCTTGCCCGTGCGAACGTCCTCCTCCGTCGCCCACAGAAAGTTGGCGTGCTCATTCGGGTCGAGCACGACTTCGATGGGCTCCTCAGCCTCTACTAAGAAGGAGTATTTAATGATGCGCAGGCCTCGGCGCGAGAAGAAGACGGCGCCGTCCTGGGAGCCCTTGCCAAGGTCTGGCGCGCCGGAACCCAAAGTCACCAGCGCGGAGACGTGTCGTAGCACGACGCGGCTCTCTTCCCACAGCTCGCGTGCGAGCCCATGCAGCAGCGTGGGGTCGTCGAGGTCGCAGGCTCCGCCGGGAATCTCCCACCGCAGCGGCATGGAGTCATGGGCGGCGCGCTGCAGGAGGAGGATGCGGCGGGCGCCTGTGGCCGGTTCGCGCGAGAAGACGAGGGCCCCGGTGGCGACGGCGTCGAACTCGGGATGCGCGTCGACGTACGTCTGCAGTGGAACGTCGTACGCGGCCACGGATGGGTCAAAGGTGAAGTTGAACGCGGGCGGCGCAGGACCGTCGGGGTGTCGCGGATCTGGCTCGAGAGACATGGTGGGTTCGTTGGTGCTGTGTAGTCGACGGGAGCAAAAACGTTGGTCCAAGCGCAAGCCAGAGTGCAGAGCGTGGCAAAGGCAAGGTGCAAAATGAGGGTGTCTCGAGGATTTGGATGAGGTAAAAGATGGAGATGCACTGCGTGCGACGCGGATTCAATGCGAATTTCTTTGAGCTGAGATGACTCCAGGGCTTGCAGCGCCAGTGACTCTGTGGCAGGCACCAGGGGCGCCTCCTTCGTTGTCGCGTCTGCTGCTTCACATCCCCCACCAGGCAGAAACGCCGCCCCAGGCAGCTCCGCTCACCACCGCCTCATCATCAACAGCAGAGTTTCGCAACGGCATGGCCCGTGCACTAATAGCAAGCCACAGCCGCGATCCACAGCCGCCATGGAGCTTGTTCCGTCCTTCCCAGGCGCGAGGGAAACGGCTCTCCTCAACGCCGCGCAAAATGGAGAGCTGGAGCTCGCGAGGGACCTGCTGAGCGAGCATCCCAACCTCGTCCTCGCTAAGGAGCCCACCACCGGCCGCGTCGCGCTGCACCTCGCCGTCATCAACGGCCATGCCGCTGTTGTCCAGTTGCTGCTCGAGAGCGGCGCCAATGTCGAGGCTGCCGACGGCGCTGGCTGGCGTCCGTTGGCTCTGGCGTCCACCTCAACCGCCAACGCGCAGTCACTGAACATTGCGAGACTGCTGCTCGAATATGGCGCAAACATCGAGGCCGTCAATGCGTCGACCCTGCAATCTGCGCTGCATCTCTGTGCTGATGCTGGCCAATTGGACCTCGCACAGCTCTTTCTGGACAACGGAGCCCAGGTAGACTTTAGAGACATCGATGGATGGACGCCGCTCCTCCGCGCCCTCGTCATCGGCAGCGTGGACATGATTCGCTTGCTGCTCCAGTACGGTGCCGACAAGGATGTCAGGACAAACGACGGCCACACGGCAGAAGGGCTTGCTCGAAACGGCGAGGCCTTGCGCATCCTAAAAGCCACGCAACTCTTGCGCGGACCCGACATATCGGGCCAAGGCAAACGGCCGCTCAGACGGAGGACCCTCGCACCAGCCGTCCGTGTGCCCCCGCAGCTGGAGGACGTGGACAAGCAGAGTGCTTGTCATGCTTTCAAAACCAGCGTTGTCGAGTTCTTCATCGGTGAGACTGAGGAGCGCATCCACAAGACGGCCTCCGTATACGACATGATATACGGCATCGGAGCCAACGCTATCATGAGTTCAACACGACTGGGTGTCATTGATGCAAAGCCCGCGTTCCGGTGGTACCATCTGCCAGCCAACAATGTAAGTCGGCAGGCCCCGTTCTGACAGGAGACGCTGACTCGGACAACAGGCAGAATGGGTCCAGGTATGTGCTTTCGCTCACTTGAATGCCATTCACTGACTTTTAAGGATCTCGCGAGGCGACATCTCGCCGAAAGCGGCTCATCTGTAGGCTTCACAGATGCAGTCAAGTCTGACCTTGGTATGAGCCGCGCTCTCGGGGACCATCACGTCATGCAGACCACGCAGGGCTGCTTCAACCGGCCACTATGCCGAGTCACATCGGTATGTGCATCGCATCCGCCAAATTCCATCACCTGACCGGACAGACGGACCCTAGTAATGCGACCGCGCGGATCGCAGCCTTTGTTCCGTACCTGCATTACGAGACGCAGCGAGGATTCAGCGCCATGTCCGAGTCCATCTCTCGGATGCTGCCTGTTCGGCGACGCGCCAAAAAGACTGCCAAGTTCAACCTGCCGGAGAGCGACCGTAACGGCGAGCGTGAAGACACGGCAGGCCATGCCCCTGGGCCGAACCCAAGCGAGAGAACGAGCGCGAACCGGGCACCGGGCATGGCGATGTCTCCCGGTGCGTTGCATGACCTGTTGCTCAAAGGCTACTTAAAGTCGGCACTGGGGGACGTGCCACCGCTACAGGCCCGTCGCACGCTTGACCAGTATTTCTACACTCACTTGGGTAGCACCGCCAAGAGGGATGTGGACCAGGTCGTGTTGCGATACACTTCCAAGTACGCTGGCGTTGAACCGAAGATCTTCATGGTTGATCAGCTGTGGCTATGGCTGCTGGACGATGGTGAGTAGGACCCTTCGCTTTGCGACCTAGGCTGACAGGATAGACACCATCATTTCTTGCTGCCCGATGAGATGGGACTCTTGGACGGTGGACGACACTACAACAGGCACACACCCTACGTCGTGGGATGACTTCAAGCTGCGAGACGGCGATCCGCTCAACATCTACCAGGCTATTCTCCGCTATCTACGAGACGTGAGACGACCGTCCATCACGAGCGCCCGTGACCTGTGTTTCGTCATAACGTCTTTCTGTCTAGCTGCGTTTGATCCGCTGGGGACCACAGAAGACTTTCACTTTTTCGATTTCATGGAGAGGTCCATCGGCGACGTCGTGAGTGGTCCACAACATTTGGTATCGACGGCGCTGACTGCTTCAGAGCGACCAAACAGCCGATCGTCTGCGCGAGTTCCGGGAGCTGCTTGATGCGACGGCCCTGACTGGAGAGTTTCTGTCGGCCGAGGACATTCGGATCGAGCAGGAGACGAAGTTGCTGGTCGAGATAGAGGACATCCGCGACGAGCTTGGCATCCTGCGCTCGGTGCTGGGAGATCAAGAAGGGATCGTGGACGAGCTGTACCCTCACTTGGGAGTGGATGCAGCGAGTTACACTGACCACACCGCAACCCAGGGCTTAAGAGGATTTCGCGTTTTGAAGAGCAATCTCGCCCGCTTGAACCGCATGGACAGCCTCACGACGAAAGCAGTACAATCGGTACGCCCTCGAGACCTCGATCGCATGACTGGCCTCGCTGACCTTGGTAGCTCCGCACACTTTTGAAGCTGAAACAGCAGCACGCCAGCTTATCGGAGGCCCAGTCTGCCCGCAGGCAGACAGAGCACATGGCCAAACAGGCCAGCCTGGCCACGACATATAACAGAAGAGTCGCCAACCAGATCAGCCTGGCACGGCGACAAGCAGAAGAAACGGCCAGACAAGGAAACGTCATACTACTCTTCACCGTGGTGACAGTTGTCTTTGTGAGTGAGCCCACTCCGAGCGCCCTGCCGTCACCGCTAACCGTACAGCTCCCTCTATCGTTCATCACCTCGTTCTTTACGGTTCCCATTGCCGCATTTCCCTACAATGACAAAGACAAAATGCCGGTCGGATTCGTCCTGGCTATTATTTGTAAGTTTGCATGGCCTCGGCGAGAAACCTGCTGACGTTCCCAGTGTCGGTGTCTGCTGGCGTCTCCGTTCCCTTTGTTCTTGTTGCCTTCAACTTGGAAAGAGTCCAATCGTGGCCGAAGTCAGCCATCACTTGGGTAAGAGGCGCGCCTCTAGCGTCAGCCTGCGTTGGTGTCATACTCTTGGTGGTCATCGTCGCCCTCGCGGCTACGCTTTCTCAACCACTGGCCCCCGCGGTCAAGGCTGGGGTCGGCATCGGACTTGCGCTCTTCGCGACGGGGACAATCATCACTCTTCTCGTTTCCAGGCACGCTCGAGAGTGGAGGAGCAAGAGGTTTAACTAGCGGTCACTGGTCCTCGTCTTCAACTATCGTCTCCGCAAAGCCGTGGTGCATCTCGCCCCGATTGACCCAAGCAGCGGTATTGTGTTGTCGCGCCTCCCACTCGCCCCGTTTCCCGGTCGGTACATATCCCATGAACTGAAGGACGTGATACAGCGGGATGCTCGGCGTCTGCTGCCAGGACTCTGGGTTCCTCAGTGGCGGCTGTTCGTCTGGATCGAGTTGCGTTGCCTCCTGGCCGAACTGCGACTCGAGGCCGTCGCCGAATTGAGTCTCGCCCGCCGTCGCCTCCACCGAAGGAGCTTCCTCTTTGGCGGCCTTTGCGCGCAGGCCCTTCTCCAGACTCAGCAGGACCGCGCATGGGACAGCGCAGACGAAGCTCAGCCAAGCCAGAGCGACGGCAACCGGGCCTGAGTGACCGACTATCGCACCGAAAGCAAGGTCCTCAGCTAACCCCGTGTAGCATGCGGCCGCGAGGTGCTGCCAGGTGGCGACCGTGAACGCCGAGGCCGTGGCGAGCACCATGAAGAAGAGCGAGAACGTCGTAGCATTCCTCTTGACCGAGGCAGGGAGCCAGGTTGCAAGGCGCGCCTCCCTTCGATTGGAAGCGAGGGAGATGCCCCTCACGGCTATGCGCAGCACCGCGTTGCCCGAGCCGTTGATTGTCACGGGATACACCATGCCCATCGTAAAGGCCAAGAAGGTGAGGATGGCGGCCAAGAACCTGTTTAACGTCAATGCGCATTCTTGAGCGTACGGTTGGATGGCTCCCACGTGAATATGGGTGTAACAGCCTGCCTCCGAAACTCGTCGGCGATCCACAGCAAGTTGAGAGGATCGGCGTGGCCGGTCGCGTTCAGGGCGCCTGCCAGGCCAGCAGCACTCGACTTGCACAGCCAGGAGACGGAGTCTGCCGTGGCGCATAGTCCAAAGTAGCCGCTCCTGACCTCACGTACGCTGGACGCGTTGCTAGGTCGGCCATTGAACAGGAATGGCAGCGCACCAGAGCTGCTCGAGTTGACCGGCGAGCCATCTTGGTAAGAGAAGGAAAGGAGATATATCTCCTTGACTGAGCCGAGGTTGGTCGTGCACCCGGCGAGAAGCAAGCCTAGAAAACTTGGTCAGATGGCCAACAGGCTGCACTGAAATCAACGAGACTCACTCAGCAGCACGATTGAGGCGGCCAGCAAGAGCTGCCGCAGGTGATTCACCTTTGCGAGATGCCCTACGAGCAACGAGGCCCAAGGTCGCCTGCGGCCTGGTCGATTGGCGTCAGCGGGGAACCCGACCTCGACGCTCGCGGGTCAAGTGCTTACTATTACTCTCATGGTTCGACTCTGTAACCGAGTAACTCAGGTACGATGAGCGATCGCTTGCGCTCCCCGTCCGCGATTCACGCATGGCCGATCATGCTCCCCTCAAAGCTCGCAGATGAGGCGACTCGTAGCAGGTGATGCACAGAGAAGGGTCGGGCGGCTGGACTCGAGCTGCATGTTTTGATGGGCCCAGCGAGCTGCACGTAAGACCACGTGAGGGGATCCCTGTCGCTGGCGCTAAATGGAGTGGTACCGAATCCAGACCTCGCCGGCGACAGGTCACCTCTCAATGTCTCATCGCGATCGATTGTTGCGATGTTGAGGTGTGACGATGCGGCGAGCAAAGAGCCCGAGTGCGCATGAACCTCCGCCAAAAGCCACGGCAGAGAGCGACGCTTCAGACAGCGCCAAGTCGCAGCCAACAAAAGGCGCTGCAGATGAACCGCTTTCAAGCAGGTCTGACCAACAGCCCGAGGCAGCGGCAACAACGCCGACTGGTTCCACCTCGAAACATGACGTGCCCAGCATTCGCTCCGGAGCCTCGCGCGCAGGAGCCGGAGCAGCCAACAGCCCTGATGACAACGGCGTAGCCGCTGCCAACAACGAGAAACCAGGTTCAACGCGTCAAAACAGCGCCAGCGGAAGCGCCGAATGGTCACCGGATCGGAGGTCAACGCCAGCGTCGACGACGTCGAACGACGGGACCGCCAAGCGCTTTGCGGTGAAAGGTAAACCGTTGCAAGCAAGCGACAGCAAGCCTCAACTCGCTAACTTGGCGGCTCCTCAGGGGCGTTGCGTTATTTCATTAGTTTTTTGCCTTATATTGGTTACCATCACGTCTTGATGATGCTTTTGGGCGTCGTTGTCATTACTCTTCGTAAGTGGCATCTTCACCAAGAGAAGGCTAAGCAGCTCGTTGGTTAATGGACCTCTCAGCTCTGATTCTGGCGGGATGCACAAGCACCGGCCCAATGCAAGCATTCAGGCTCGTGTCCATATCGTATGCGACCGAGGCGCCGTCGCCCAAGGAAGCCATGTTGAACGCGACGCTGGGAAGCTCGATGCTCGATCTGTCGATGAACGAGACGGAAGGGACTCCACTGGTACGCGAAGTGCAGGTGGGATACTTTTCCATCTGCGTAAGGCTCGAATCAGAGGACTGGCAGTGCGGCATCAACGGCGCGGCGGTGCCGGGTCGACCAAACATCAGCGACGCGCTCGGTGTGGTTGATATGGGTCACCTCTTCCGAACCAAGACCGTGTCTCCGGCGCTCTTGTACGTGTGTCGCCTTCCAAACAGTTGCATTTGCTCTAACAACTTCTGAAGCATCATCGTGATTCTACTCTGCGCTGCCACCATGATTGCGCTGTCCACCTTTCCCGGCTGGCATGAGGAAGAGGACACGGAGGGCAGTCTTCGCGAGATCAAACCTTTCCCATCGAGAGCGGTGAGCACCCTCGCTCTGCTGAGCAGTTTGCTGGCTACGGCGGTCGCCTACGTCGCCGCATTGTGGCAGCACACGTCATGCGCGGCAACGGGGACGCTGTTCGAGTCGCTGCGGTACGGCGCCGTCGAGGTGCACATTGGGGCGGGGGCCGCGGCGCTGGGCTGGATAAGCGTCTTCGTGTGTGCGGTTTGCGGAGTTGGCATGATTGTGATGATTCTGTCCATAAGGATAGTGGCGAATCTGTGAAGGGCAACGGGGATGAACTTGGTCGGGGAGGTTGGGTCCGTGGTCGGTGGTTGGGGTTGTGAAGTAGTTTGGTGTGGCACACATCGCCCAACTCCGAAACGCGCGTCATCGATGCTCTTCACTCAAGCAACTCGGCTTACTCCAACAGAGCCATCATGGGCAACACATACTCTCAGTTCTTCCCGCCCGAGCCGAGGCTCACAGAGGCCAATCTGCCGAGCCAAGAGGGCAGGGTCTTTGTTGTCACGGGCGGCTACTCTGGAGTCGGCCAGGCGCTGGGTCTCATGCTCTACCGCGCCGGCGGCACCGTCTACATCGCGGGGCGCGACGAAAGCAAAGCCGTCGCGGCAATCGCGCAAATGACAGCCGACGCGCCGGACTCGTTGGGGAAGCTCGCGTTCCTCAAAGTCGCGCTCGACGACCTCGCCAGCGTCAAGGTCGCGGCGCAGCAGTTTGTGGACACGGAGACGAGACTGGACGTGCTGTTCAACAACGCTGGTGTGTCAAACCCGCCCGCAGGGTCCATCTCGGCGCAGGGATTTGAGCTACAGATGGCGACCAATTGTCTCGGACCGTACCTCTTCACACAGCTGCTCCTCCCGCTGCTAGTCGAGACTGCCGCGACCGCGCCGCCCGCGTCAGTACGCGTCGTCTTCACCTCGTCCATTACGACAGACCACCTCGCACCCCGCGGCGGCGCAAGCTCGCTTGCGGACATGACGGTCCCCTCGTCAGTCCAGCAGAACAACTACACCCACTCCAAGACGGGCAACTGGTTCCTGGCGAGCGAGCTGGCGCGGCAGGTCGGACCCCGGGGCGTTCTGTGCATGGCGCAGAACCCGGGGAACCTGCGGACGTCGCTGCTACGGCACTTTCACTGGTTCGTGGGCTACGCGGTTGCGCCGCTGCTGTACGAGCCGCGGTTTGGGGCCTACACGGAGTTGTGGGCGGGGTTGTCGCCGGACCTGGTCAGCGAGGACGGAGGCAAACATGTTGAACCGTGGGGACGAATGCACCCGAATCCCCGGTCCGACCTAGTGCTTGCAATGAAGAGTAAGGAAGAGGGTGGGACGGAACTGGCGGCCGAGTTTGCGGATTGGTGTGAGCGAATGACGGCCGACTTTCGGTGATTCTGTCACGTCCATGTCCACGAGCACCCCAATGGCTGATGGCCATCACATCAATGCCAGGAACGACACCACAGAGATCAGCACGACAGCACACATGCCACAAGCAACTCGGGCCTAGGCCATATAGAGGCATTGAAGCTAATTGTCTAGTATATTCCATGCTGAGCCCGTTCTCCTGCGTCGCCGATCGGTACAATGACAGTGTAGCTCATCGGGCTGCCCTTGGGCTGAACACCGGTCGTCATGACGAGCGGCGTGAAGCCATCCTTTGCGAAGTGCAGCTGCGGCCGTTCCCTGCGGTAAAAGTCGATCTTCGTCCCGTCGTCGTACTGGATCTCGGTGCTGAACGCGAGCGTCTTGCTGCCAAACGTCCAAGGCCCCTCGTAGTGCTCCGCCCACGCGTGCCGTCCGACCTTGGGCCCGTCGCCGAACCCACCCTCGGGCTCGAGCGAGTGCAGCAGCATGTGCCAATTACCGCGACGGTCCTGCCAGATAAAGGGGTCTTCGTTGGGGTTGCTGAAGAGAGGCTGCTGCTGCACCTTGCGGTAGGGGCCCTCGAAACCCTTGGTGGAGACGGCGATGTTGATGAGCTCGTCGGCTGTGCAGTTGTAGATGCACCCGCGGTAGGCGAGCAGCATGGCGGAGGAATGACTGGCGCCGCTGCGAGGCCCGCGGCATTGCCGCAGCGGGAACGCAGACGGGTTCGTCACGTCGGCGTCCCAAGCGTCATCATCAGTCCCCTTCATGACCTGGCCACGCGGCGTCCAGTGCCGCAGGTCCCGACTGCTCAGCACCGAGATGCCGCTCTCGCCATTATTCGAATTCCCCGGCCCGCAAGTGAACTTCTTGGCGGTGCACTTATCCTCGACCACATCCGTCGGACACCCAATGTAGTAGAGCAGCCACTCGCGCTCCGCAGGGCTATACACGACCGTCGGGTTGTGCGCAAACGTGCCGCGCACCTCGCCCGCGAACTCGTACGGCCCCGCGGGGCCGGAGCGCGACTCGGCGCGCACGACGCGGCTGTAGGGCGCCCAGTAGTCGAGCCCGCAGCCGTGCGAGAACTCGGACGCGAAGAGGTGGTGCAGCGTCGGGTCCCACGGGTCGCGAACCACGCTCGAGCACCACGACGACGTGCCCTGCGACGTGAGGTTGTAGCCGGCGGAGCGCTTCGCGGGGCGGGCGTCGAGCACGCCGCAGTCGGCGCCCAGCCAGCCTGCATCGCAGTGGCAGGTGCCGCTGCGCTGGCAGATGCCGTTGAGGCTGCAGTCGTGGTCTGTCTTACACGATGATGTGTGTGATGATGAAGCCGCAGCGCTGGGGAGCGCGCAGATGGCGGCCGTGGCGGCGAGCGTGAGCAACTTCAGAGACCACATGTTGTGTTTTGCCGCATTGGTGTCTCTCCAGCGAGGAGGATACTGTACCAACCGGCGACAAGACTTGGGATTGAGCATAAGAGCCTGTTGCTCTTATACACGATGCGAGGCCTGCTCCCCCCCGGCGTCGGGTGATTCCATGTCCAGTCGCGTCGCCGCCAGCGTGCAGCACTGCAGCCAAGATAATAACTAGCCGACGGGAATATCACTGCGGGGGCGCAGATCGCTTCGCTGACGACGTTGCATCCGAGCCCAAGTCAACGACGCAACTAGCCGAGATCCAGACGCTAGAGATGAGGGGCACTTGGAGGCACGGACCTACCTGCGAAGCAGTAGACGGTAGACAGCAAAGCCCTGGGGAATACTGCGTCCCGGCGGCAGGGGGGGAAGCACACTGGGAGCACTGCCAAGTGCCGACTCGGGACGGGTGCAGCGCCTGGTAGGAATGGAGTCGAGCTTCCCGTTTACGTACCAGCATGTCCGCCCGCAGCATCTCCAGTTCACGTCGTCTGCTGTGAAGCCGCTGCACAAGAGACGCCGTATTACGGCATCGACGACCGCGTACTTTCATATGACGGGGTATGCTGGTTGAGAATTCTGACCGACGCAGTGCCATACACAACGCGTGGACGGGCCTGGACTGTCACACTGTTCAACTCGCCGCCGTGTGTCATTCTTGCTCGTGAGAAGATGGGTGCGGTCAATTGCTTCACTCTTCAGAAACCAGGCAAGACTCCTCACCAGAGAGTGCCGCCGGCCCGGCGCAGAGACGAGCCAGGCCGCAGCCGCGGGACGACAGCAGGGAAAGGTTTGGCGCCGACGACTCCATTCATATGTCTAGGACCTGGCGACCTGTCCTTACATGCTGACACTGGGAGAGGACCAAGACCACACCACAGACCGTCTCGTAACTTCGAATGCCTTTGCATTCCGTACACGAGACAGAACACAGTATGCCAGGAGGCATGCCCAATTGGCGACAGAAGGTAACATCACCGTCGATGGCACCACCAGTGACAGCATTGGCACGACTGGGCGTCCGACTGCCGGCCGAACTCGGCTGGAGCCCGCCACCCGGCTGGCGCCACTTCCCCACGATGACCATGTACCCCACATGGAGGCGCCGGGCAATCCAGCAGCCCAGGGGCGACGGCAAATTGCCTTTTGAGGGTTAAGTGAGGGGAAGTGTGTCAATAGTAGCAGTAGTTGGTAGATTGCTTGGGGGGGCTTGACTCTTCTTTCAATTGAACATCTTTGTCGTCTGGTGCAATGCACGAGTGCCTCGAAAGGGTTGGTTCAGCAACATAAAAGGACTTGGAACGTGGAGGAATCGGAACAATGTGTGCCCTATAAAACCCAAATGAATCCATAATTTTAGAGGCTGTGTGCGTCGATGGCCACCACCTGTGGTAGTAGTCCAACCTTGTGCTCCTGCAATAATTCTGGGCGGGCCATAGTCTCTGTTTCCAAGGAAACAAATGCCTCGAAAGGTCTCAGCAGCAGAGTGTCACCACTCAATTGCGCTGGCCTATCATAATTGGCCAGCAGAGGTATTCCGTCCTTCAGACAGGGCACAATATCCTGTGGGGGTACCCATGATTGCTCGTGGTCCGTGAAATTCGCTACAACAGTAGCGCGTCCTGTTTCACCGGTTCTCCTATAGCAGATTACCGCGTGATGCTCGCGATCGACCATATCAAAAGATCCGTACACTGCTATATCCAGATACAATTTTCGGATTTTCAGAACTTGACGCCAATATGAGAGAACACTAGTTGGATCTGATGCCTGTTGTTCGGCGTTGCAACTGGAATAGTCGTCATTGACGCGCATCCAGGGAACCCCTGCGGTGAAACCTCCGTTTTTCGTCGAGTCCCACTGAAGCTCCATCTTAGAGACGTCCTGGACGGGGGATTTTGGGCACGTTAGTACGTACCTGAACAGGGGACCTGGAGTGGTCTCTGGCTTTCAGCCGAATCTCGCCCAGAAGCTGGCTCATAGCCACATCGTCCCCGGCCAGCTTGTCAAGGGTTCTGTAGTACCACCATCAGAACATGTCACGGATGAGGACAGATGGAGCATTGACTGACAGTTGGTAGAGCGTTTGCGTCTCCACATCTTTGTATTCCTCGGTAGGCCATGATTCTGGCAAGTTAGCCATGCCCAGCTCTTGTCCCTGGTAAATGAAGAGTGTCCCTGCCTGCAGGCCAATGAAGGTGGCCAGCATGGTCGCCGCATACTTCCTACTTGTCGGTCGGTGCGGCGTGAAGCGGGATACGGATCGGCTCTGGTCATGGTTCTCAAGGAATAAGGCATTCCAGCCATTGTTGTTGTACATGTAAGTTTGCCATTTCTCGACAATGGCCTTCAAACTAGGCAGCGTCCATGGTTTCGGCGAGAACTTGCCCTCGGGTCCATAGTCGATGCTAACGCTGTGGCAAAGATTAGCACATGAGCTGCTAACAACCATAACTTGATGTGAAGCGCACATGTCCATCTGAAATATCATGTTGAGCTCCATTCGATCCGCAGCAACAGCGCGAATAACATCCCGTTCGTCGTCGACCCAGGGCATCTCCCCGACTGAGAAAGCGTCGTACTTGTCCAGTATCCGTCGGAGGCCGCGCAAAAACTCGTGCAGGCGGGGTCCGTAGGCATAATGGATATGCGCCGGTTGGAACTCGTCATGCGGAATGGTGATTGGAGCGTCCGGGAAACCTGGAGTCTTGCTGATCAAGTTGATCACGTCCATTCTAAAACCGTCTACCCCCTTTGACAACCAGAAATCCATGACATCGTGGACCTCACGAACAACTGCAGGATTCTCCCAGTTGAGGTCAGGTTGTTCTCTGGCGAACAAGCGCAGATAGTATTCCCCTGTATGCTCGTCATACGACCATGCACTGCCTATTGCAGCTCGAGTCAGTTCTTTCAATAGTAAGATGAACACGTGTGCAAGCTCACCGCCAAAAATGGATGCCCAGTTGTTTGGTGGATGGCGGTTTCCTTGGTCATCGATCCTTGGTCTTTTCCAGACATACCAATCCCTCTTAGGGTTGTCTTTCGATGACTTCGATTCTTGAAACCATTCATGCTTTGCCAAAAAGGTCAATTCGGCATAGTGGCCGCTGTGTGTGGGTGAGGGCTTACTTGATCAGAAGTATGATTTACCACCAAGTCCATGATTAGCTTCATCCCTCTTTGGTGCAGCCCGTCTATCAGTGTTTCCACATCATCCATGGACCCATATGGCCCGTGTATGGAGCGGTAATCTGAAATGTCGTAACCCATATCAACTTGGGGAGACTCGTAGACTTTTTACTTTAGTTTCCTCGCGAAGGCGTCATGGAAGATGATTTTAGCCCAGCGGCTGGGTGATAGTTCAACTTACCAGGACAGAGCCAAACCACGTCCACACCAAGGGCTTTCAAGTAGTCAAGCTTGCTCACGACGCCAGGAATATCGCCGAAGCCATCGCCATTAGCATCACAGAATGAAGCAGGGTATATCTGGTATACCGAAGCTTCCTTCCACCAAGTCCTGCGCTGCGGTCCATTTGCAAAGACACCCTTGGGGCTGGCTGATGGGCCGACAGTCATGGTGGATGAAAACTTGGGTTTCGGGTGCCGGCTCACGGAGAGGACGGCAAGACTATTCGAGGGGCTGAACTGAATAGAAACCGAATGGTGATGGGCATAGAGTTGTGATCCGCTCGAGGACGACAAGGCAGGTGTCTTTATCAAGGACCCAACGCCCCCACGTTGTCGGCGATAATGGCCCCACCATCCGCCGATTGGGTTCCGGAAAATTACCATGTTAGGAAAAGCCTTTCCGGGGGCATAACTGGAGGCCCCGAATCAGACCCGCCCATTGTCTCCCACCAGACAAGATCCTTCATGAAGAGTCGCCCTGTTTGTTTTGGCAAATGCCCGAAATACGGAACACGGGCGGCTAATATGATGTCCTACTATTGCCGCCAGTCGGCATCAGCCCTCCTACAAACAAGACCGTGTGGAGACCCTAGCTCAGATGCAATTCAGCATCACGGGTATATATCGAAAGCTGTAGTCTCTGGGCTACGGCCCTCTGGACTGCAACTGATATCGGGCCTGCTCCTGCACACCTGAAGCCGCGGAATTTGCTCTCAACCACATCATTCGGCAGGTGGCACAATATCTGAATCTTAGGCAAGCCATAGGTTAACATTGCATCTCGCGATAACCTCGGACGCATGGCAGAACCATTGGCATGGGGCATGATAGAACTAAGAACGATCTTGAACGTCTCACATACCCAGATAGAAGACGGCAAACTACTTGAGCGTCTTGTTCCATTGTCCGACGGGCATCCGAGGATCCTTCGAAACTGTAACCACTGGAGCAATGCGCGCGGTCGTCGTCTCCTTCTGAGCAGCACCACGGAGAAATTGCCGACATGTCTCAATCGTTACAAGGGTCGGAATTATCCTAACATAACTCTACAAATTAGGTTTGACCCTAGATGGTGGATGCGCGCGGTCGACGAGCTTCTGTCTCTAGAAATCATCACGAACCTAACGAGGAGGATCTACTTCGAAGTCATGTCGTTGCGGGATATCGACGACAGCACTAAAGACTTACCGTTAGATACATCACGGTTAGGCACAAATGACTACGAGGTTTGACGTTCGCACAAAAGTAAGATTGTTGAGAAGTGAACATGTACTGGTTTGGAGTAGGAACTCAACCCTCACCGACCCGGCCAAATGAGTGTTGTCCCCCTATCAGGCAACCAAGACAGTACAGTGCCCGAAGAGCAGTCAATTGATTCAGATTGGCGATGGAGCACTGCACTCTAATCTGGCCTTATCGCACCTTAACCGGTCCAGACGGGTGGCCCGGGAATAGTGTACGACTTGGGCTAACACAGATCAGTAATTGTACGGTAACAGAGCGTCATTACTGAGTTCTTACCGGGGGGTAGTAGTTATTGAAGTAGATACCAGGATCGTCATTGCTGTAAGCTCCGGGGAAAGCGACCAATGGTCCGGGTTGTCCCGAACCACCAGACACCACTTCAACCTGGCCGCAGGCTACGAAGAATTGCGCACCTCCGTAGTTGGCGGCGTTGTGTACGCCAATATGTTCAATCCTTACCAGGTACGTGCCGCTTGGAACTGCTGCCGGAATGTTGAACTCATAGCTCATGAGACCTAGCGGCAGTGTGAGGGAGGTATCGTTAGCTGTTGTCGTCCACACTCTACATGAACAATGGCAGAAGAATACCAAGCTGTGGCCATTGGATTGATCCGCCTGGAAAGTCTGGGCCCCATTCATTGATCTTGAACCAGACTTCGCCAGAGCCGTCCCACTGAGACGGGTCTCCGGGGGCCTTCGCCATGTACACCAGGACCGGGCCAATATGTCCAATCGAATTGCTCAGAGTGAAGCCGACCTGGCTCATGCGTTAGACATAAAGAAGTATCCTGACAGGTGCTTGCTTAAAGAATTACGCACCTTAGATCCTGCTGAAACAGTGACCGTCCCAGTCTTGGAGGCGGACGCCAGTCCACCTTCATTGCATCGGAGATCCAACGAGTTCAAGTCTAAAAGGGGATTGATGTTGTTTGTGTTCTCTCGAACGTACTGATAGTCCCCAGTAACCTGTCCCTTGATGATCATGGCCGGCCACTTGTAGTGAGCATATACAGTGGGTGCAACGGACAAGAGTCCGGCAAAGCCCGTCGTCAACTTCATGGCCGTGATAATTGAAAAGAGAGATGCAGCGATTCTTGGGTTGATGCACGCTGCCCCAGTATGATGTGATGCCCTCTTTTATATGGCACCTAACTACATCCCCAAGTTACCGTGGCGTCACTTCGCTGTGAATGGCAATTCCCCATTCTGCCTCAAGTCCTGGGTCATCAAACAGGGCTACCGACCTGCAAAGTGATTCCCCGTGGGGTTCACAGAAGACCCTTCCCAATGACGCATAGCACCTTCAAGCGCCTGCATATGCCGGAGACGCACCCTAGTGGCGTCCATGACAGGTGTCGCTCATCTGGAACATGCTGGGCCCTGTTGCGGCCATTAGTTGTAGCTCCCGCTTGATGGCAGCGGGTAGTAGCTGCTGGACCGAATATCAAGGCAATCATAGTCAAATCTTCCCCTCCCTGTCCATGACACTGTGGTAGGACGTTGGCACCGATGCTTGTTCTTGATAGGGCTATGAGCTTGGGCGTACGATTTAGCTGACATGAAGTGTAGCGAAGTCAAGTGCCGCCGTGTTTCGTAGTTCGAGACCAGAGTGGTGGCAATTCTCCGGCTCCAGCCCGATCCAGAGTTGGGCCGAGTATAACTGAAATGCGCCCGCTTTCGTTAGACTGCGCATGGAGCAGTGGCACATCGTCGTCCAGACCAAGGAAGACTAGCAATGGTTTGGCCGCTGTGTGAGCCACGTTCGTTTTACATCCAACTGCCGCCGGCCCCCCGTGGGGTAACAAGGCGGAGGCGTGGGGTAACCGGGCGGTTCCCGTTCTGAGTAATACGCCTTCTGATTGTGCCAATCTGGAGCGGTGGTCGCTGCAGGGGGATGGCCCTTCTAACTTCTTTCTTTTAAGCTTATGAAACTAGGCCAGGTGGTGGCTGTGGCAAGTCTCAACAGCGCCATAGATTGAATCAGACCCCCCGCAACATGTGTCCCGCCCCAGAACTCCTGCGTCTTCGGTCCTCTCCCGGGAAGAGAGTGCGCCGTCACCAAGGCTATAAATACTTGGGGTATGTTAGCATAGTCTCGTTATGTAGCCCTTTTCAATCTTTACTGGTCCATCTCTAAAGGCATACACACAGTGAGGCTGATTTTCGGCCATTGTCCTGTACACTTACCTGTCAAGCGGCATCATGCGTTGGCCTGGTAATTTTCTCACTCTCGCGACGGCGCTGCAAGCTGCTGGGAACCTCGCCGCAAGCGTCCATCACAGGTGTGATCAGCAGAATCAAGCGCTACACACATGGTGGCACGAAAAGTCTGCTGTCAACGACGCGGGGGCTGTCGCAGCAGATGAAGTTCGCCAATCGCGCAAGTACGATGTCTCTGTGTCCGTTCGCGGTGAATCCAAATTCCGGGACTCGTTTGTCTACGAGACCATCCCGCGGAACGGCAACGGCAAGATGTACGACCCGGCCAATCCTGGTCAGGAATACAACCTGGCGGACGGGGATGGCATCACCGTCGAAGAGGACGCAAAGATCAACATGGCTTGGACGCAGTTTCAATACGCCAAAGATGTTGAAGTTCGCATCACCTCCAAGGATGGTTCTGCACTGGGGCCAACTAGCAACGTTGTCATCCGCCCCTCGGATATCAGGTACGACATCAGCAGCCCAGACAGCAGCACTGTTATAATCCAGGTTCCATACGACCTGAGGGGCCGACGATTCTCCGTCGAGTTCCAAAACGACTTATACGCCTACCGCTCGAACGGCAAATCATATGTCAATGACGGCGGCGTTCTCGTGAGCGAGGAACCGCGCAATGCGCTGCTTATCTTCGCCAGTCCATTCATTCCCCAGGAACTCATCCCGTCCAAGACATCAGGCGATACGCAAGTCCTCAAGCCGGGCAAGATCACCGACAGCACCATTGGCGCGAAGCCGACACTCTACTTTGAGGCAGGCACCTACTGGGTAGAGAAAGACGGCCGCCTCGGTAAAAGTCACATCAAGCTGAACGCCAACACGCACTACGTCTACTTCGAGCCAGGAACTTATATCAAAGGCGCCTTTGAGTACACCACTTCGAAGAATGACTTTTATACCGTCGGACATGGAGTAGTCTCGGGCGAAAATTACGCATACATGGCAAACACTGCCAAGAACTATGTTGCGGAAAAGAGTGACCGGACCAGTCTTAGGATCTTTTCGCACCAGGCAGTTTCGGACAGCCAGATATGGCATTGCATTGGACCTACCCTTAATGCACCGCCCTTTAATACCGTGGACCTGTTTCCAAAGAACCAGACGCCAAACGAGGAAGACAACAAGGTGCGGAACGACATCTCTGACTACAAACAGGTCGGCGCGTTCTACTTCCAGACTGATGGGCCGCAAATATACTCTGGAACCGTCAAGGACTGCTTCTGGCATGTTAATGACGACGCTATCAAGTTGTACCACTCGGACGCGAAGGTCGAACGGGTGACCATCTGGAAGTGTCACAACGACCCCGTTATCCAAATGGGCTGGAAACCACGTGGAGTCTCTGGAACTACCATTTCTGAACTCAAGGTCATCCACACTCGATGGTTTAAGAGCGAGACGGTTGTTCCTTCCGCCATTATTGGAGCCTCACCCTACTACGGCGACCCAAAGATTGTGGATGCGTCTAGGACAGGGTGGTTTTCCATACCCAAGTATGGAAATACCCTTTCCATACTATTGTATGGACAGGGTATGGACATGGATCCATAGTATTTCAATACTCATTCAATAATTGGCCGAATAACGCCACTGACCGGGGCCCCGGCCAGTTCATCGTTCAGGGGTCTCAAGGGCCT